TTTGTTGGAAAGGGAGCGGGGGGAAACTCGGCTGGATGTGCTGGATGCGGGTATGAACTGGATATATTCTCCTGTTGTGCCAAGGGGCTTGAAGTTCTCGGCTGAAAGGGCACGACATTGGAAGCGGCATAGCTTGTTGGAGGCTGCGACGCATATTTACCTGAAGGAGTCCTGCTGGATGCGGGTGGGGCAGGGGAGTATCTTGGAGATGATGGGGGCTTGGATCCAGGGTGTAATGTAGGGGGCCTTGGAGAATAACGCGCGGATGGTCCAGAGACGGTTGGGCCTGGTGGAACAGGGAGGGAGGAATAAGGGTCTAGCCGTTCAGGCTTCTGCAGCTGAAACTGGTCACTTGTTTCCGGGCCTGAGTTAGGGGTTGGGATTGCATTGGGAGGTATAAAATTGGATGGAGGGGGCGTGGGCTGAGTCCCCGTTTGCAGGGGAGCATATTTGGAAGCAGTTGAGGGACGAGATCTCGAAACGGTTGGCAACTCCGCGAAAAAGTTGCTGCTAGGAGCTCTCTCGGTTTCTCGACGAGATAATGGGGGAGGTGTAGGCTTTAACGGGGTATAGGCGGAACTTGAACTTGAAGGACGAGCTGCTGTCATACTGCTCTTGCGTGGAGGCGGTTGTATCGAGGTATTCGTAGTTGAAAGAGGCTGAAGAACAGTTTGCTGCGAAGCACGATGCTTTGGCCGAGTGATTTCCATTGGCAAATCATATGGGGATTGGTAGCCGGCCTTCGTTTGATTGGAGAAGCTTTCAGGCATATTTGGATTGGAGTCTCCCGAATATTGTTGGGCATGAATGGCAAAAGGACTAACTGTCACATCGGCATTATGCAACCCATAATCGGAGCCGGGAAAGGACGACATGAGGTCTGAGGATGACGGTTGATGTGGAGTATAGGGGTTCACACGTGGTGGTTGCTGGGTCGGCAAATGTGAGGCTTGCACAGGTTCCGAAGCATAATTGGCCAACGAGTCTTCAGAAGCGCCATTCGGTAGACTTCCTTGGATGTTTTGTTGGGCATCCAAATCATCATCAATTAGTAGGTCATCATCATCGAGAACTGCCTTCCACCTCTCTGCTAAGTCCTCCTCGCGGACCTCTTTTTCGTCAGATAGAACTTCATTAACTCGGCTGTCAATAACTTCATCATTTGTCGAAGCAGCCATCGTCTGGACGTGCTCTAAATGCTGAGAATCCGGAACCTGGGAAGTTGATTTGCAGTTAAACGGTGGGATGTCCGGCTCGGAAACAAAAAAGCCCGTTTCGTCAACTGATTCATCCTCCTTGAAGATTGCTTCAATACTATCGACTTGGTTATTGTCAGTCGGATATGATGACTCTATATTATTCATCAACATGTCTTCTTCAAATTTCGACTCTGCTTCCAACGGCGTATAAATGGGCTTCGTTTGAGTATTAAGTTGATTGAAAAATTCGCCGGAAGGGTCTTCATCAACAGTGGTTGCACCCCACGGTGAGAAATCACTTTGCTCATTCGATCCTGGGTATAAATTCCCCTCAGTTGAAGATAGCATGTTGGAAGACTCTTGATTGTGAGCTCCATGTGTAATTTCGGGATATGCATTTTCGTGGGAGTCGAGATTATGAGAGTCATCCACTGGCGGGAAAGAATTTCTCTGATCAGCCATACCCAATCCATTAAACTGGTCTGTCGTAGAGGGTGAAATGTCCCAAGCGGGGGATGCGTCGGCACCGTCCCCCCAAGGAAGGCCTTCAGATGCAGTTGGTTTATTGGAAGCTCCTCGTTCGGCGGATGGAGATTCCGCTTGGAAAGGCTGTATGGGCTTGTGAACCTTCGCAGATATATCATTGTTTGGTATATCGTTGGGGGGCTCCTCCGGTTCGGCCTGAGATGATGAATGTGCTGTTTGCATGTCGTTGTCCCAGGCACCCTGTAATACGCCGTCCGATGGGCCAGGTGAAAGTTCAGCATGTGTCGCCGTTGATGGGGAGTCTCCGGTCGTGGACAATGTTGGCTGCAGCATGGGCTTATGTAAATTCTTCGAGGGCGTCGTCGAGAGCTTCGAGGGTAACGGAGTTGAGTTCGAGTCTGCCAGCGATAGCAACGAATCCTGCTGAGGGCTGTTATCCGGTCTCAACGCAGGATTCCATGATCCTAGTTGAATCATCTTGGATTCAAGGCCACCTCGACGTTCGAAAACAAGATCCTGTGCCATTTAAATGAGACAGTTTCCAAGCACCCTATTGAAAACGGCCTTTTCAGTTCAAAGGTCAGATACGGCCATGTCGCAAAAGGGGGGCGATGCGGGCACCAACTCACACCCGGTCGAGAAAAAGAACGGAAAATAACACGCGTTAACAATGATCAAATATAGCAGCGCTGGAAACGAAACATGGCCACATTTAATAAAATAGAATCGTCCGCGTGGTCACGCAAGGTCGAGGAATATGTATATACGAAACTCGTCGTTGAAGCCGTTGTCGTCCAAACTTCTGAGGAAGCCCGATGCGAGTTCGGAATCGGAGAAACGTCGAGCTGAAGTAGCCAGCTAAGCGTTCTGTGCGGATTATGTCATCAGCAAGATCTTGGAACGGAGACCCGTAAGATTTACGATACAGGTACCAAGTTGTTGCCTGGGAGGGTATGCCACGTGATAAAATTACAGATTCCATCGATCCGTCAGAGCTGTTTTGATGAATGTTGAACTCCCAACAGCAGATATTCCTCTACGGTCGACGACACTCTGCAGACCGACCTCGTATCGGGACACGGCCTCGGTTTTCGATGAGCACTGATTCTCGGTGAAATGCAAATAATATGGTTGGGATGCGTGGCGATCTGACGTTCTGTCGATACATTCCTTTGTGATGCCATTCACAATTGATTTGATTGATGATTGATTGATATATATATATATATATATATATATATATACATATACTCAGCTCTCGAACTTTTGCCCCGAGTATAGGCATGACTGTATTAGGCGAGGCCTTTGACAGATATATTCCTACCTACCTCTCCTCAGTATGGTGCTCATGCATGAATACAAGATGCCGAATGCACAAGACCGGTCCGACGATGCTGAATCCGATGACGATCTCGACCTCGATGAACTTGACCCGGAGGCTTCTGTGCCTCTTCACAACGAGCATAGTCCTAAAATTGGAGGAAGGGTTGGCACCACTCCACTATATGGGCCTGGTATAGCATTGAGAAACTTGCGAACTGGAGCTCGGGATCGCATATGGAATCGTGGTGGAGCCAGATCAAGCCAACAGGATGGCGAAGAAGATATTGATAGCTTGCTTGATGACCACGATGGTGGCAATCAGGAAGTTTCAGGAACTAGTTCGATATATGCTGAAGCTGATATGCCCCTTCTTAATGGACACAGTCAGCCTCGATCAACCCCTGCGGCATATAAACGCATATACTCACGGCTTGGCTCCAAGCTCCGCTTTCTTAGATTTGGCTCCGCGCTGTCACTTGATAATTCGCCTGATAGGCCCGTCGATCCGCCATTACACTCCAGCCCCGATCACCAAACAACACGACAAGTGCTTGTTGGGCAAACTCAACCAACTCGTTATCCCGCCAATGTTGTATCAAACGCTAAATATACCCCGTGGAGCTTCCTCCCCCGCACGCTCTACAATGAATTTTCTTTTTTTTTCAACATTTACTTTCTTCTGGTGGCATTGTCGCAGATAATACCCGTTCTAAGAATCGGCTATATGTCCTCTTATATTGCGCCTCTGGCCTTTGTAGTATCGATTTCACTGGGAAAAGAGGCACTGGATGACATTGCTCGGCGACGAAGAGATGCAGAAGCAAACTCAGAAGAATACACTGTCATATCATATACCCCGTCATCTTCCCGAAAAGCAGTCGTCCGAAATAGGTCTACAGTTTCTGATCAAGACTCTGGTCTGCCTGGAACTAAAATGTTCGAGATCACAAAAAAGTCCCGTGATTTGAAGGTTGGGGATATTTTGAAGCTGCAGAAGGATCAACGTCTTCCTGCTGATGTAGTCATTCTGAAAAGCGCGTTGCCAGAAGTTTCCGCTTCTCAGGATACTAATCCAACTGCAGAGCCAGGCGACAGAAACCATGACGAAAATGCTGGGGAATCAACTGGCGACCCCGATGTACTTCTGCCAACCCATGAATCTGCTAACAATCTTGATGGGTCAAGCGATACTTTTATACGAACAGACCAGCTGGATGGCGAGACGGATTGGAAATTACGTCTTCCTTCTCCTCTAACACAAAATTTACCTATCTCTGAGCTGCATAGGATACAGATCATCGCAGGCGAACCTGAGAAAAGCGTACATAATTTTGTTGGAACTATTTCTCTAGCACCCCATACTCATAGTTCTTACGATCCTCATATCAGCAAAACCGATGCAACAGCTCATTCCGCAACCAATCCGCAGTCGACCGACGGTCGTCCTCAAAGTCTCTCCGAGCGACAGTCGGCTCCTCTTACAATCGACAACACTGCTTGGGCCAGTACAGTTCTTGCGTCAAACACAATAACAATCGCCGCAGTAATTTACACCGGGGCTCAAACTCGATCAGCGATGTCGACATCACCGTCTCGTTCGAAGGTCGGATTGCTCGAATACGAAATCAATAGCCTGACGAAAATTCTGTGTGTTTTAACGTTATCCCTCTCCGCAATTCTTGTTGCTCTGCAAGGTTTTGAGGGTACGAACGATAAGCCATGGTATATTGCCATCATGATATATCTTATCCTCTTTTCCACCATTATTCCTATGAGTTTACGCGTTAACCTGGACATGGCGAAGTCTGTGTATGGGAGGTTTATTGAGCGAGATGCTGGTATTCCAGGCACTGTTGTCAGAACCAGCACCATTCCAGAGGACCTGGGAAGGATAGAGTATTTGCTCTCTGATAAAACTGGGACCCTGACCCAGAACGGTAAGCAATATGATGTGAGTGTTGCAATAGTAATCCCGAGCTAACAGCGCTTTTAGAAATGGAACTCAAGAAAATCCATGTCGGAACGGTTTCTTACGCGAATGAGGCGATGGATGAAGTGGCGTCTTATCTTCTGCAAGGCTTCTCTACAGCCCCCTCTGACCAATCATCGCTCGTAACCCCGACAACTATAAATGGTGTTCACACTGGTTTGGCTTCAACGACACGGACTCGACGAGAGATTGGATCTCGCGTCCGAGATATAATCCTAGCTCTCGCGCTCTGTCATAATGTTACTCCAACAACGGACGAGCAAGACGGAGAGAGAGTGACAACCTACCAGGCTTCGTCCCCTGATGAGATTGCGATTGTGAAATATACACAGGAGGTGGGACTCCAGTTAGTACACAGAGATAGGCAAAGGATTGTTCTCAAGTCAGTAAACACTGGCAACGTTGTTGTGCGTGTTCGGATTCTGGATATATTCCCTTTTACTTCTGATAGCAAGCGCATGGGCATTATCGTTCTATTCGAACAAGGTTCCGATTTGGACAAATCAACAGCGCAGGATGAGGAGATTTGGTTTTATCAAAAAGGTGCTGACACCGTCATGTCTTCTATTGTTGCCGCTAATGACTGGCTCGATGAGGAGACCGCAAACATGGGAAGAGAAGGACTTCGTACTCTGGTCATTGGCAGGAAAAAACTCTCTCAAGCGCAGTACAGAGACTTTTCAACCAGCTACAAACAGGCTTCGCTGTCCCTACAGAACAGAGACACCGAAATGGCACGAGTTGCCCAACAATATCTGGAGCAGAATCTCGAACTTCTGGGCGTCACCGGCGTTGAGGACAAGCTCCAGAAGGACGTCAAACCGTCTCTCGAACTCCTTCGTAACGCAGGTGTGAAAATATGGATGCTTACAGGTGATAAAGTTGAAACGGCACGTTGCGTGGCCGTGTCCGCGAAACTTGTTGCAAGAGGCCAATATATCCACACTGTCACCAAGCTAAAAGGCAAAGGGTCTGCCCAGGAAACGCTCGACTTCCTCCGGAACAAAACGGATTCGTGCCTTCTGATCGACGGTGAATCGCTTGCCCTTTTACTTTCCCAATTCCGTACTCCCTTCATATCAATCGCCGTACTTCTCCCTGCCGTGATTGCCTGCCGCTGCTCCCCAACACAGAAAGCCGAGATCGCCTGTTTAATCAGGGAACATACCAAAAAACGCATCTGCTGCATCGGCGATGGCGGGAATGATGTCTCCATGATCCAGGCCGCAGATGTCGGTATTGGAATTATCGGCAAGGAAGGTCGACAGGCCTCACTGGCTGCCGACTTCAGCATAACACAATTCCATCACCTCACAAAGCTTCTTGTCTGGCACGGGCGAAATTCATACAAACGCTCTGCCAAACTCGCTCAGTTTATCATGCACCGCGGTTTAATCATCAGCGCTTGCCAGACCATGTACAGCATTGCGGGCCACTTCGACCCCAAGGGGCTGTTTATCAACTGGCTGTTGGTCGGTTATGCTACAGTCTACACAAACGCGCCAGTCTTCTCTCTTGTTCTGGACCGCGACGTCGACGAGGAGCTAGCAAATCTGTACCCTGAACTGTACAAGGAATTGAAAACGGGGCACAGCCTCAGTTACCGCTCGTTCTTCACCTGGGTCCTCGTCAGTGTCTACCAGGGCTCAATAATCCAAGGTCTTGCACAGATTCTCGTCGGGGAGGTCACCGGGCCGAAATTGATCAGTGTCTCGTTCACAGCGCTGGTGTTGAATGAGCTGGTCATGGTAGCTGTGTCGATAACGACGTGGCATCCCGTGATGATCCTGTGTATTGCCGGCACTGCCGTCGTCTATGCGGCCAGCGTGCCGTTCCTCGGTGATTACTTCGACTTGAAATATGTGGTTACCTTGGCATGGGTGTGGCGGGTTGTTGTTGTTGCTGCTGTTGCGCTCGTGCCTGTCTGGGCTGTAAAGCTGATAACCAGGACATGGAGCCCGCCGAGTTATCGGAAGGTCAGGGGCTGATTTCATGTTAATGACTTTAGTGTTGTCATGAGCGTCTGTCTTTTATGATTTCTTTTTTGTTGGCTTTTTTTTTTATGTGATCATTTTTATCCCAGTGTCCTTTATGTAACGATATTCGTTCTTGTAAATCTCGTTTTTGTTTTTTGGATTAGGTGCATGGAATGGCATAGAATCATCGATTTTTTTCCGTTATTTATTTGACCCATACCATGCATGTTTCTGGGCTGTGCTTCAAGTAAAATTCCCACCCGTTTATGTTGAATATCACTCTTTTAATTGCATGAATAGACTTTCGTATTAGCTGATCGTCTCGATAACATGGAACAAGTTATATTCACGCTCCTTTCCAGGATATTTATGTACAGAAAAAATGATGCAGAGGGGGGGGAACTACCATCAAAAACATGCTGAGCAACACTACAAGAAAAGCAGGAAGAAACGGTGACTGCAAATACATGCCCTGCGGGGAAAAAATATGTTACTAAATGCTCAACAAATAACAATGAAGCAAAAATTCCCGTAAAACGCCCGGCCTGGAGGGATAATACGCAATTGGAAAGATGAATAAGTTCACAATCACCAAGAAAAGTATAGAAAATCCGGCATATTCATTTGGCAGATATCCTCATCGAGGTCCACGCGGCTGTCCAGCCCGTTCCCACGGACGACTTGACCCGTAAGTTTGTCCACCGCCACCGCTCTGTTCATTTCTACTGTATCCGGGACTCGGGGTGCGGGAGGGGGACGAATTTGCGCTACCCCCATGCAGCCTTGCCCGCAGCCTCTCCTGGGCTGACACAGCCGATGTAGACTTTTCGAGTTCCGAACCCAGTCTATTTTGCTGCTGCTGCGCAGCCTGGGAGGTTTGATAAGAGCCCGCGAGCTGGCTAGGGAGCGGACGAGCACTTGTAGTTGTGGGAGGTGGCGGGGTGCGGGAATTCTGGCCATCAAAATATAAGCCCGTGGTGCGTGGGGTGGGTGCTGAAGTGGCTGGTCGGGGGGGTCCATTCGGAGGCGAAGGCATGAGATGTGATGAGGACGTCGGCTGGGGTTGGTGTGACGCGTTGCGACCCAGGCGTAGGCTGGAGGTTTGCTGTTGCTGCGGTGGGTGCCTGGCAGGCGACGGGTCCCCCCATAGATCACCTAAGCCGCCTCCTGCAGCGCCGCCCGGTGGCGGAGCTCCGCCGTATCCCTGGATGGAGGCTTGGGTTGCGACGGCAACTGTTGGGGGTGGAGGAGCGGGGGACTTGGGGTCTGGAGGCAGCCAGGCAGGAAACCTGCGGCCTTTTTCAGTGTAGTATGCTCGAAGGACATTGGATATGTGAGAGCAGTCTTCGGAGTCTGGGTCGTCGGTCTCATCGCCAGATGATATGGCACGGCGGAGAGAGTTGAAACGCGTGCTGAAGTTGGAGATTGCGGAGGAGGATTTGAGAGAGGAGAAGTAGGATGCCATGGCTCTCTATGGCCCTAATGTGTGTTTCAGAGGTTCCTTGTGCTTGCGTTTGGGCTGGTTTTGATCCGTTCCTATGAATATACGTTGATTTGGCGAGTAAAATATGAATGTCGGGAGGTGGAAGTTCCGTTGATGTTTCGAACGGCGAAACAGAGGGGCAAATAGAGTCCAACCGGCCAACGCAGGGTCAGCGCCGACAGTAGTAAATTGCTCCGAAGCGCGTCGCCATCCACTGTGCCTCGTGGTCCTTATTCGAATGATGTAGCGAGATTTGAGCAGCAATATACCTAGATGTTGTCACAACGTGTGTTTTATTCGAGGTCTGAGTTGCCGTTGCGGAGTTTGCGAGGCGTAACACGTGACGACGATGGGGTCTTTGTCAGTGCTCCAGGAAGAAACCAGTACTGTGATGAAGGGTAATCAATTAATGGGCTCCATTGTGTGGCAGCCAGAAGGTATCTATACAAATACACAGAGATCCTTTGAAGAAAGAATTATCTTGGTGGGGTGGATTTCTAACATATCACGGCCATTCTATAAAACCCCTGGCCGCTGAACTCTTAGAGATCCCTAAACGCCATCCACGGATGCAACGAAAAGTCCCAAGTGAGATTAAATCAAACCAAATGTTTTTTCGTCATCGCAATTGTATTCAAGTATATATCCCCTCCTTCGATGGTCCCTCAGTCTCATACTCAATCTCAATCCGGCCACCCTTCTTCCTTGGTTTGGGAGGGAGTGGAGCACGTTTCCGCTTGCTGCCAGGTACAGGTTTCTTGGGGGCTTCGTCCACTTCGCTGCTCTCCTCACTATTGTCGTTGCTTTCATCGTCATCATGGTCATCATCATCCTCGTCGTCGTCGTCGTCCTCCTCCTCCTCTACACTGTCGCCACCTAACCAGTCCTCCATATCCTCCAAATCGTCATCCTCCTCGTCAATGTCACTTACATACTCAACCTCGCCAACACCTTCCTCTTCCTCCTCCTCTTCCTCAATGCCTTCGTCGAGATCCTCATCCCGCTCACCCTCTCCCTGCCTCTCCAAGCCGCGCAGAACCTTCTTCCAAATGCCCTCCTCCACATTCAGCGGTCGATCACCATAGGCGCCACTCCTTAATCTCTCAATCAGCTCTCTCTCAATGGCCCTTTCCACCTTCGCAGCAGCCTCTGCCTTGCGTTCACGAGTCTCCTCTCTTCTCCTGACCTTAGGCGCTAGCTTCGCAACCAATTTCTCTCCCAGCCTTTCCTCTTCCTTAATAAGCTTCCTCGTCCGTATTGACACCTGCGTGAGCCTAGTAAGTCGCTGCTTGCACTTGTGGATTAAAAACTTGGGCCAGTAGATCAGGCGCTCATCGAGTTGCTCGAGGGCTTTTGCGTAGTTGGATGATAATCGTATCCGCTCCCACCATTTGCTGGGCATGTGAGATCTCTCAATTGTCTTCATGTACAGGTACATCGCGCCTGTTGCTGGGTCGGAGCGAACCGTGGCATATCGGGAGTTTGCGAGCGGACATGACTGTCTATTGCACAGGCCGGTCACGTTATATTCGTTGCGGCAGAAGTTTTGGCCTTTGGTTGTCCTGCATAATGTTGGCGATTATTAGATCGGATTTTTACGCACCGCACCCGCGGTCAGCTATCTCATGGACTTAGAACATACTTGAGTTTGTAGGAGCAAAATTGCTGGTTTATAACCTGCCACACGATTTCGTCGGAAGACATATTCGTAAATGTGGTTTCATGAGCGCTCCTCTAAACGGTTATGGAGTGTGGCAGAGTGATCTGATGTTCGCCGTTTTACTTCTGTATTTCTGGATTTTGGAAAAAAAAAAAAAAAAAGATCGTGTTGGAGAATCACGTGGTTTTCCTGTCAACCCCTTTTCTTTTTATTTTCTTTCTTACATCGCAACAATTCACAAACACAACAATGTGGACGTTGTTGTTGGGTATGACGAAAGTAATAAAGAAAAGTGTTTTAAATACTCTTTCTATTTGCTTCACATCGTCTACTTTTCTTAGCCCATTTCTTCATTTGTTTTCTCAAGTTCTATGTCTGAGCATTGCTCCACTTGATAATAACTACTAGTATTATCAGGATCTCTCTTCGCTGACAGGAGATATCTATTTAGAACTCTGATTCCTACATACTAGTACTTTCGTTGACCTGTTCTTCATATGTTTTATGTTTCTGTTGTTAATTCACTCGTTCCAGGTGAATGATTCTCTACCATCCGGCAATCACTGTTCCCGAGGATATTCTCAAGAGAGGAGCAGTCTCAGCTATTTCTTAATATCTCTAGCATTTTGTTATAAAGTACGATTGGTACTGCTGCTCCCCGTGGCATCAAATTTCAAGCTTGTGTTTGTTTTTTTCATGAGATCCTTGATATGCTGGCAATTGTCACCAGGGTTTTCTCAACATTCGTTCAAACCCTCTCAGACCCTTGCGATTCTAATCCTTCTCACACAGCCACAACTTTTAATATGGTCAAACAAGAATCACCCTCCCTATCTAGCCTTAGAAGGGGGGTTGGAGCTTCTAGTATCGTTTCCGATGGTACTTCCTCGAGCCGAAACAGTTGCGGAATATGCTATACAGAGGTCAATTTGAAAACCAGCGCTGCCTTGCAAGAACACCTCGAAAAGGCTCATTTTTACTGTGGATCCTGTCGTTGGTTCGCGGAATCAGCGGAACTCCTTGTTCAGCATAACGAGTCGATTCATCGTATGTGTGTAGACTGTGCAAAAGTGGTTTCAAATGGGCGAGGAATATGTGAAGTAAGTCTATTCCAATTTGACCCTGTATCTATTGAAATATCTTCCAGAGGTGTCATTATTTCATTTACTGATACCCCACTTTCAGCATCTCACCAAATACAACCTGCGTACAATCAAATGTTACTGCTGCGACGCTACCTTTATCTCCGTTTCGTCCATGTTCTACCATCTCGAAAATGAATCCTGTCCCTCTGGCATTAATCGACAGGATATTGAGAAATTAACGACATATTACCTTAACTACCTTCAGTATCAGGGCGTCTTCTTGTACTACTGTGGTCGCTGTAGACGTCCCTTTCGTTCCATGTTTGACCTTCTACGACATGTCGAGGACGTACCCTGCATGAGACTGGGTTTGTATGGTCGTGGCAGTCTCATTGACTATATCGCAACCAATATTGGGAGCCTTACTAAAAGTCCCATTGAAAGGAACGATACCGCTGCTGTACGAACAACTCTTCCGGATTCAAAGGAGAATGAAGAATTTATTATCAAATCAGACTCCGATAGCATCCGAGGGAATAAAGCCAAAGAAACCGGAAATAATGAAGGCGGGCTCATACCCCGAATCATCATAACTCGAGTCGACGGATCTACTATTAAATGGTAGAAATAATTTGCTATTCAGCTTGTCGTTCTCTCCTCTTTTGCGACAGTTAGCACTAACTCTCCAGGCGTTTCCGTTCTTTTCTCGGTTTATTATTTCTTCTCTCGAACAGCGATAATATAGCAATTACCAATCCTCAACCTACACGAGTCATGTCTTACTATAAGACTTCTCCCTGCTTAATTTGCCTGTTATTTTCAAGGTTTCACAAAGTCTTGATCGGGATTAGGCTTAATTGGACACAATCTTGTTAATCCCCACGCGAAACCATTTTTACTCATCCCCTTGCTGTTTCTATAGGGCAATTAATATAGAATCATTCCTGCCCTTTGGTTAGTTGCGCGCTCTTTCTCAATATCTGTGTCTTCTCTCGATATCTCAATTTAGTATGATGATGACCCTCATACCCCTCTATTAAGTCAATCCAATGCGCATCACACTTATTCTACTCATTTCATATCTATTTTCTCTGTCCTCATTATGTCTCTTATCTCCTCTCATTACCAGGCTGCATCTGATACACTTGCCCTTTATTTCACTCATGAATGACTGCTTCGTCTACCTGTTCGATGTGTCCATTCAAAACTTTAATCACTAAATCCAATACTAAAATTTTGGCTATACGAACATACTTGGTCCCTTGCATGAGCAAACAGGTTGCTGCTTCCAGAGCCGCTCCCCAATCTAGGAGCGAACACATATCCAGGAATATTCTTGATGAAATAACGCGGACACTATAAACCTAAGAAGGCAATGGATGAAATGATCTTGAAATCTTCACCACCAGCATCACCTAGCATAAATCTACTCCAAAAGGCTCTCCCAAGACATCCGATCTATTTATTTCAGACTCTCTATAACCTTCCCGATCGAAATAGCCTTTTCTTCTCCAAATCTCCCCGTCACGACTTGCAGCGAAACCGGCATCCATTTAACTAGGTTCACATTATCTGCATTCATCTGATCAGCAACCACAATACAAACACTTTTTTCATCTGCAATAGTGTCCCAAAGCCCACGGAATGACAATACATGTATGGACCACTCACATTGCTGATGATTAAAGGCATCCGATTCATTTCGAGCCTTGTGCTCAACCCACTCACTGCCCGGTGCGTCAACGACAGGATCAACCTTGGTAATTGGGACTGTCAGGGCTGCGTAGTCGAGCAAGTTCCAGAGAGCACTGTAGCCGAGCAGCTGCTTGCTCTCAACCCAAGTACGTGGCTTGAAATTAACCCAGGCCATAACTGGCATTACCAGTGCGTCGATGCCGATTTTGTTCCAGTGAGCAAGGTACATTTCCCTATACGCAATTTTCTGCATCTCAAGCTATGTTTGGTTGGGTTAACTTCGTCCAAGAAGCAAAGCGGAATTGGCACAGAAGAGAGCAAAAGCCATCGTGTTTCTGGCGACTAACCGGGAAAAGAAAAGAAAAGAAAAGAAAACACACGAAAAAAAGAAACAAAAAGAATCTGGTTAAACATACCTGCTGCCGTTGGCGGATGTCTAGTTTATCCCGCTCCTCACCGACAAGCATACCTTGAATCAGGGGCTCGTCAACCAACTTACACATGTTGTGACAATCCTCTCCACCATCGGCCAATACTGCTTTCAACCATAAATTGATTCCCTCGTCATGTGAACTGGCGTCCCACTCAATTACTGCCAATTGTTAACGGCCATTTCACATCACTGTATAAGGGTTCTGCTGGGCTTTACCTTCATGCCCTGCTGCCTTGAGTCTAGCCGCGGTTTCTCGCAGAGCTCGAGATATTGGAGGCTGTGGTTTCACAACCCCATCATCAAAAATGAAGGCTATCCTTAACGGTCCGGTGGGCGGTTTAGCAAGCTCTTCCCTCCATGGAATTGGTAAGGCCCTCGGATCGGTTTTCCACGGACATGAAGAAGAGACAGCTTTCATAAACATTTCAATGTTCCCCAGCGTATGGCTGATTGGGCCAGCAACTGGCTGGACGATGTAATTTTGGGTCATCCTGAATTGGGGATTGGCTTAACAAAAAACCTTGGAAGCTTATCAATGGCGAAGATGTTGTATACATACGATGATTTTTCCCATGGGATGCGTCCGACTGACGGTAAAAGCCCGTACAAGCCCTGCAACGCAGCAGGAATCCGGATTGAGCCCCCTATATCTGTCCCGACACCAATGATACTACCCTGAGCCCCAACCAAAGCGCCTTCGCCACCCGAGCTGCCCCCTGAGATAAGATGTTTATTGAAAGCGTTGATGGATTGGCCGAATACATGGTTATACGAATCCGACATCTGTGGCAGCGGATATCAGGACCACATTGAAGCTAATTTGTCCGAACAGGAGCAAACGTACCATGAGTGATTGTGGTATGTTCGTTTTGACGTACAACACTGCACCTAAAGAAAGCAGCAGTCGAACGACGCTCCCGGATCTCTCAGCTGGTTTTCCAATCAAACCAGCCCATCCTGAGTTGTCGTTTGTCAGCACTTAATACAATATAACTGCCGTTGCAACAACCCGCAGCATAAAATGATGTATTGAGTCCAAAAAATGAGAGAGGAAAAAAAGAAAAAAACTCATACCAACAGTTGTATCAATGCCCTCGATTTCAAATCCATCCTTGATCGAGATCGGTAAACCATGCAGTGGTCCAACCACACTCCCCGTCCTGGCCAAATGATCATCAAGCTCTTTCGCTTGCTTCAAAGCACGTTCAAAGAACATCTCCGTGCAGCAGTTGATTAATTGGTGTGCAATTGCAGCCCGTTTGCAGAACGCGGTCGTCACCTCCAAACAAAATAGCTCTCCAGAAGCCATTTTGCGAAGTAGTGCGGGTGCATCGGTGATTTTTGTGATTTGTCTCTCCTTGTTAGAAAGAATATCACAAGATTCAATAACATCCATGGAATTGACGAAATCTTCGGGAATAAATGGCAATCGCCATGCGGGAGGGATGGATTCGGCTTGACTCCGGCGCTTCTCTCGAACGATTTCTTTCCAGTGCACCATAGTTTCTCAGGAGCCTTAACTCGGGGAATATTTGTCACTTCTATACCTTCAGCAGAATTACACTTTAATTTTCAAAGCGCTGTCTGCCATAAAAAACTGGTTGCCGGCAATGTATGGGATCAACTAGCTACTTTAGGCAGCAAAGTAGAGCCAGTGCATCCAGAAAGCACAAACGACCAGGTCGAGTCTATGGGCCACTAGTACTCTAGAGCAGTTGCAATGTTGACGACCAATTCGCAGGATGTCGTGTGAGAGGATATGGCGATGAAGCAATCATTTAATTGCAATAGCCATGGGTAAATAAAAAACAAATGCCACGGTAACTTCGGCTGTGGCTGCCCCACCTTCGGCATTCAGCGTTAGCCGGAAGCCCCGCTGCCCAAATGAGGTAATATGTTTGGATTCACATCCAACTAGTTACGAGTATCCACCACGCCTAGCATTTAGAACGCTGAGCTACTATCACGGTATGTCCTCCTGGATGCATGGGTACGTACTCATGTGTTATACATGGACATCCTTTTCTCGCCTCCAACCCACAGATCTTGAATGGCAGAGCAAATGGGGCCAAGGACTGACGACGTGTCACACAGGTCCCTGCCAAGATACCTGTTCCAAGGAGATAACGAGGGGGAATTAATAACTCGAGTCGATATCCACTTAATTGGAAATCATAAATAATAAGCCCCAGCATGTCCTTGCCCCAGATCCAATCCAAAACGGCACTGGTGGTGCCATCAACTGCGGATACTTTCGTGCGGAACCTCCTTGAAAAACACGGCGTTCCTCCTCAAAACGCCTCCATAATCGCGAAATGCCTTGTCGAAGCCGACCTGCGCGGCGTCGACAGCCATGGCATAAATCGGATACCTTCATACCTCACCCGAATCCGACAGGGTGTACTGAACCCCACCGCAATCCCCTCCTTGAAACAAATCACACCCGTCGTTGCCCAAGTAGATGGGCATAACGGGTTTGGTTTCGTCGCCGCACACGCTGCCATGGACCATGCAATTGCCATGGGGAAGGAATATGGCATTGGTATGGTATCTGTCACGCACTCGAACCACTTTGGCATGTCAGCCTCGTTTGTCCGGCAGGCAGTGGATGCGGATATGATGAGCCTTGTCTTTACGAACTCCTCGCCTGCGCTTCCTGCATGGGGCGGGAAGGAGAAACTATTGGGCGTCTCACCTATCGCATGTGGAGCGCCCGCCGGCGCATCTGGGGTGCCGTTCATCCTTGATATGTCCCCGTCGGTTGCTGCTAGGGGCAAAATATACAAAGCGCGAAGAAGGGGCGAGCAGATTCCGGAGGGCTGGGCATTAGACGAAAATGGCGCGCAGACTACGGATCCTGTTGCGGCGTTGGGAGGGGTGATGTTACCAATGGGCGGGCCTAAAGGGTCAGCGTTGGCGATTATGATGGATGTTTTTTCAGGAGTTTTGTCTGGCTCTGCTTTTGCGGGACATGTTACTGGTCCGTATGACCCATCGAAGGAAGCTGATGTGGGGCATTTCATTGTGGCCATTAAACCTGACCTGTTTATGGAATTGGAGGAGTTTAAATCGCGGATGGATTACTTGTACCAGAGGGTCGTCGGCGGGGAGAGGATGAAAGGTGTCGATAGGATCTACTATCCGGGCGAAATTGAGCTGTTAACAGCGCAGAGAAGGAGGGAAGAGGGGATCCCATATGTGCAAGCGGAAATTGAGGCGTTGAATCGTGAAGCAGATATGATTGGAGTTGCACGTTTAGAAGTGCTATGATTCGAGGCGTTAGAGGCGTTTGCCAGTGCCTAGACCATTTTGGAGAAATATAGCAATTGATTGTAGCGGACTACTGTATGTGGTATTAACCATGCAGCTATCTCAAGGACATTCGTAATTTAGAAAACGAAAAAATATGTGCCAGAAGCGGGTAGAAATTGGCCAGCAATTCTTACATGTCCTTGGACATGAGAGTACCGCCGACAACTCACAAGCAAAAAATCATGCTGAAGCCGAGTGGCTCAGTAACGAAGTAAACTTTGGAAGTAGCTGTATCAGAAATCAAACATTGGACATCTTGGATATCAAATTCAAACAAGAAAAATCGAAAGGAGGGGTAGGATAATGTAAATCATAGCCTCTAGAAATGATAATCTCTCTTATAACCCATAATCCCTTCAACGATAAACCAACAACCTCAAAACTGGCGCATATCACAAACGAAAAGCAAGCATTTCTCAATATAGCACCTAGGAAAACAAGTCAAACAAGCCAATCACAAAGTGACTGTCTCCCTGATCACCAAGTATCCGATTGTGCCACTCCAGGCTCTGACCATTCCACCCCATTAACCCCCGAAAGCGGCTCACCTTCCTCGCTAGCTGTGTTGGCCAGTTCATCTCCGTTAACCCCCCACCCCATACTCTCCAGCTCCCGCACGAAGAAATCCCGTTCCTCGTCCATCAGTGTGTTCGCATCCTCAAACGCCATCGTATCTTTATACTTGCGCAGGTGCCACCAGTGCGTGAGTCCACGCAAGGTCTGTTCCATGGGCAATGCCTCTTCAACCTCAGCATCCACGTCACTCCCGGCCAGCCAGTCATCGCGCAGTTCCGGGCGACAATACAGGTAAATTGCTGTGATGACGCGCATGTGGTTCTGACGCCACTTTCGACCGCAATACGGGACTTGCGATTTCACTAGCTTGAGTGTATAAAGGCGAAGACGTGGATCGGGGACCTTGATCCCCTTACGCAAGATGTTGCTAGATTTGTATTGGACAAGCAGCAGGCATCGGTGCGCTTTGCCTCGGGTTATTTTTTGCATGATGTGCAAGAAGTTGATGGAAGAGAAGAAGTTTCGGAAGGAGAAGGTGGTTATTGGCCCAGCGGTGGCGGGAGCACTTGGATAACCCAACTCATCGACTTCAGGAAGGGGTGCCGAACGTTCGCGAGGATGAGGTGGTAGCTTTTGTGGTGATACTGAGCGGGCAGAGCTATCTGGTGCAGGTTGTTGGGGCCGGGCCTTTCGAGGGATCGGGGGTGGGGCAGCATCGTCCTCACTGTCAGGCTCTTCTGGTTCTGATGAGGTTGCAAGTTCCGGGGGTTGGTTAGAATGGATATGGCAGAAATGGAAAAAACTAAACCAAATTAGCAATGAAGCCCATCAGTTATTACAGTAATTGCAGCTCGGAGTCACCAACCTCAGATCATCTCGGTCATTTCGTTGCGCAACTGCTCTATCGATCTCCTGGTGGATGAACATTTTTAATATAAGAGGGAGGTAGTTAGAATCGAGTAGCAACTGCGTCATGTATTCGAATTTCAAGATGTCTGAGAATTTGAATCAGCAAAAATCCGACCAACAGCAGATCTCGTGCTGGAACATACGGGATCGTTTGAACCACTTCAGTATTAATAATAAACACCCTGAAATAGCGCTAGAAGTTATTTCTCGGTGCCTGATGGCATCAAGTTCTTCGCTATCATGAGGGCCGTCTCCCCCCTCTATATCTTGAGAGGCTGAATATGGCGCAGCCGTCTCGTCGAACAAGGTGGGATTGGGGGCGCTAATACATTATGTGTGTTAGCTCTTTCAAATTTATACCTCTAAACGTCAAGCCGGGAGCCCATACCCTTGTTTATAGCCATTCTGTCCGTTCATCTTCGACTGCAACGCGGCAGCTTCCGTGATATTTACTAAAATTTCTTTTAAAAGGACAATAACAATCGATTGTAGATTTGGAAAGGCTTGGCTCTACAAAACGCAGATATTAGCTAGGCAATGTACACAGGTCAGAGTTTAACGAAACTTACATAGAAGTCTTCGACAGCATCTAACCGATCTTGGATATACGGGTCGTCGGATTCCTTTACATGTTGGAAACCTATGTCAGGCTTCTCATTTTCTGGCTTCCCTTGTCCCGATTTTGAGTCAACATCGTTCGACCAGTCAGATGGCGGTTTATTGTCTAAATCTGTGGCATCCCAGCCCCTATCATACTTCAGAAATTTCTCTCGCTCCTCCCAGAGTTGACGCATTGCTCTTGTCATCTTCATTCGACTAGAGAACAGATGGCCGGCCTCGATTATAGATGCAGGCACATCACTGCCTTCCCATTTTTTACCCACCACCCTATCCTGAACTTCACTGCTTCCCTTTCCGCCAATGTCATTACTGGTCTGGTCAAGGGGTGGATACATGAAAGGAAAATGTTGGTTTGTTTGATAATTTTGTTTTTTACCGCCTTTCCCACCTGGGCCCATGGGAGACGGAGGAGGTGATGGAGCAGGAGTGGCGATGTGAACTGATTGGTGAAGAATAGATCCGTTTCCACTTAGGGAGGCTGGTCCAATGCCAGAAAATAGGGTTGATTCAGAGTTATATCTGCACGAATAGCTTGGTAATGGCGGAAGGATAGAATTGTTTTCCAACTCAAAAGGTACTAACGGAGGAGGGGGATTGTACGCTGGGTATTTGGAGGTAATTTCCTGTCGAAAAATGTGATAATCAAGTGGTGAAGCAGTAAGAACTGGTAGCTTGGACGATTTAGATGCTGCTTCCAAGGTACCGTATTTGGGTTCCAGGCCAGCTTTCACCCTAGCTAAGCTGTCGGATCCTCCAAATAAGAGCAACAGGCATTTCCATAGCAGGAGAATAACCTAGGGACCTTTAGAATGACGGACTTCAAATAGAAATGGGGGCTAAACTTACTCTGCTCAATGGAATCGTCGCTGCATCCTCCCATCGCAATCGAGCAATAATTTCGACAAGGAAAACGAGAATATTCGGTTTTAAGGCGGCTTCCAAAAGAATGGTTAGCTATGATTTAATCTTTTCCGAGGATGCGACAGTCAAAAATATACCAATATCCTTCTTCAAGTCCGCTTGATTCGGACTCGACTCTTCCTGTTTGCGAGCTACCTCTACAATTAAGTACATAGAAGTCAAGATGAGATTTGCTTCCTTCTCACGAGCAGCATAGTACGCTGCCGTTCCGTTCTCCGTCTCGAAAAATTTCGCATCCGTGTTTGTTACCGGCCTAGTATACGCATATTAGAAAAACGAGAACGCAAATAAAAACGGAAAATCCGTGATATATGGATTAACTAACGGGTCCTTCTCAAAAATGCGGTTCATAGCCCGAAACAATACGGCAATTCCACCACATCGTTGTACAAGTAAAACATTGTTTACCATCCATCTAATCTGCATCGACCTTGAATTTGGACACTCATCCGAGGATTCAAATTTTGAAAATCCGCCAGGAACATCTTCCGAAACTTTCCCTGCGGTAACGGCCCATGCTCCAGTAATAATGTAGCAGACGACCTCGAGGGCTTCAATACGAGTGAAGAAATCCGGATTATCGAGAGACTCAATCATGCACGACACGAACCTCTCTCGGGTCTCTTCGTCAACATCGATCCACGAGATCTCCGACACAGCTGGGGGACACGCCAGGTTCTGACAAAAATCCGACCACTTCTGCTCAAAAAAGGCCTTGGACCCCAACAGCATAAGACGATCCGGTTCATTGTACTGAAACCATTCATCCACTTCCTTTGGGAATGGCTGACAGTCGGCGTATTCAAATGCGTAAGAAGGCTGTTCAGGCCGAGGCATCTCGTGCACTAGTTTCCGCAGCTGGGACAGGCTTAACGAATCTGTTGGGGAGCCTGTATTCTGCTGCACAGGTGCAGGTGGTGGCGGCTTCATCGGCGGTGGTGGAGCAGCCGCGGCTGTATCCCTTCGCAATTCGGGGCGCACTGGTTCTCGTCCATGACGTTGGGGAAAGCCAGGAAAGTCGTTGAGATCAGGTTTGCGAGCCTGTTCAGCCTTGAAGCCTTCTACCAGCTCCAGCATGAGTTGATCATCGGGGACTGTAGAAATATCACTCCCCAGCTGGTCGATCTCATCGGCGTGGACGATATGGTGTTCCGGCATGTCAGCACGTCGAGACTTGGAGGGAGGCTCCATGATATTTTGAAGTTTTAAAGCAGGCCAAATGCCGGGTATTCTAACTAGCAAAACAGAAATAGGTCTATATATGCGCAATGTAAAGCAGAAACTCGAATGCTAGTATTCCCACGTCCAACGACAACCTTCAACTCGGCTCAGGCTAAGGAGAAGTTGGAAAGTGAGGCCGACAAGCCGCAGCGCAGGGATTCTGAGGCAGAATCCTTCATGGTCAACGGTAATAGATGTCAGGTTGAGGCCAAATCATCCATAGTCCGCTTCCGCTACGCCAATACTCAGCTCATTATCAATTTATCCTCCAGTTGAAGCTCTGGTGATGAGCCGGGAACCGGATGAAGGAAAATCCGATAGTGTCACATGACATTTTTTGAGATCTTTTTCCTCTCACAGCGATCAAAAAACGTTATTAGAATCATTGATGGCGACAATTTGGATGGTTTAACAAACAATTGGCGGTTCGCTGCTCTACAACTCCAAGCGGCATTATACTATGTATGAGTGTACAGATACAAGTCCACAGCTCTAAAAAGAGCATCATCAGAACAGAAAACGCCATACACGCCAATCCAGTGCAATGTATCAGACACTAAGCAGTGGTTCCGCGTGCATATTCTAAATAAATGCACAGGACCCCGGTCGACCTGTCAATTAAGCTTACGAGAAGGTTTAGCTCTCCGCTTGAATGCCACTCTTCGGTCGTTCCACCGTTGCCAACCTGCCTCGACGAGGTCTTCTTCAATAAGCAGATCACGCATTCTAGCCATTCTCGCTAGCTGTGTTTCTAAAGCCCAATCAACCCAGCCTTCCCATCGTAGATAGCTGGAGAACCAGAACCACGATATTCCGCAAACCAACCCTGCAGTATAACCCGCTAGAACCTGCTTCGGAGTGTGATAATTGAGATACACGCGGCTGGCAGCGACTGCGCCAGCACATATACAGGCTAAGACCGAAAGCGCTGCTCGTTGCATAAATGTAGAGGAAGAACGATTGGTTGAAGGGTCAGGTACATGTCGGACAAGGAGAAAAAATGTAAGGGAGAGGGAGAAGAAAGCGACGAATTGGGAATGTGAAGATGGCATCCCATAGCCCTTCCCAAACATCTCTGTTGGGGTTGAGATAAGTCAAATTAGCACCATTTGTAAAGGAGCCCGTCTGGATAAATAGAGAGTAAACTGATACGAAAGGGAGTGATAACATACGAGCTGGTCTCTCCTCGCGTATCAACCTCTTCAAGACGAAATTCAACCCTTCGCATAGCATCTGACCGGCAAACATAAGCAGGACCTCCACCTCGCGCGTTGCCCAGATGAGAGTGACATAAATAATGCATATTGCTTGTGGGACTAGAGCTAGGAAGGCAGACGCGTGGGATATGGGGTCGTCCGGGTTCTAGGAGGCGGTATCCGAGGACAAATATGTCAGTTTAGATGAAACGCGAAGTCGAGAGAGCGGGATGGCACACTCACGTAATGGACATGGGTTAATGACAGTGATGCCAAAGGGGCTTCCATCTCGGACATTACAAAAGGAAGCCTGCGAGAATGGTCAAAACCAGCAGTGCGTACTATCTCTGAGATAGTAGTTATATTTTATGGGCGCGTCAGCAAAAAGAAATAGAAGAATCACCACCAGGCTATACAAAAAGTGGGAGATTTAAGTTGAATATAGCTCGTAGTGTAACCTCCCGATTCATGGGCGACCGGCGTTTGCTATTGGGTGTGGAGCATTTGGTTCGTGGTGCGGGTTGTTCTTCAGATGTTTCTGTCCTTATATATACCAGGTCTCTCCCCCCTTCTGACAACCTCATACTCTCTCCCTCTATAACCGCGATGAATCCGTGCAGGCGGTCATCTCGTTGCAGCATGGATATAATGAGGACAAAGCGAAAGAGTCGAGTATTCTCACAGCCGGGAAAAATGAAAAGAAGAGAAAAGGAACAGGGTGAAGGAAACCTAATTGCGCGAAATGATGCCTTACTAATGTTGGGCAGGAAAGTTCAACGACACCTCGAGTGCGGCGAAAATGCCATCCCACTTTCACTTCATTTTCTTATTTGACTGAATCGGCGTATTAAATAGGACAAAAGAGACAATAGAATTCCCCTGCGGGAGGGCGAGTATTTATATATCTATTCTGCTCGTGTTCCATCCAAAGATCCGTGTCCGAGTGGCCTTCCAGATACTTAAATAACATCCCACTTCCCCGCAATGGCGAGATGACAAGACTGAGGATAAGGTATGCAAGACGTCTCATTTTCCCACCATTTATTTCTTCCACTGCTCTGCTCTGCTCTGCTTTCTGCCTGGAGAACAAGTCGAACTTGGATTCTAACAAGACAGATGTTCAGCCACTCGTGTCCATTTCCCCGACCAAGGCTCTCACTGGCTGAAACCCCGCTGTTCCTCCGTGAACGAGAGATACATATCAAACGCGAGAGGGATAGGCGATAATACTTACCCAAAAAATTTTTAAAATTAAAATAAAATTATACAAACAAATAATAAATAAATGGACGACCTATGCGAAGATGAGAGAGCCGTTGAGCTGTCGTCCATTGCTGCGATATACCCCGAAATCGTTATAGACTCTGGTTCGAAATTCAGAGCTTCACTTGAGCTTCCCGTCTCTCCCCGCAATCCTTTAAAGGTTATTTTCCTACGACCTCAACCGTCACTCCCATCCCCACCGGCATCTCTCAGTGCCCGTGAGGATGGAGACGCTTTACACGATGACGCGGAAGAAGTGGAGCCATGCTCCCTCTCACATCTTCCATCGCTTAAGCTGGAAATTGAACTTCCGGACGGTTATCCCAGACTTTCACCTCCTCGCTTTTCTATCACGACGAATCCAGAGTGGTTACCTCCGTCAAAAGTAGCGGAATTAGTAACTTGTGGGAAGAAATTATGGGAGGAATGTGGGATGGATGTGATCATATTTGCATATATCGATCATCTACAGCAGTTAGGAGAGCGGTCATTCGATCTTTCGACGGACCCCGAATTGCCCGTTATCCTATCGCGAGATTTAAAAGTCGCACTTATGGATTTTGACATGCAATCTCGGCGCCAAAAGTTTGAACAGGAAACTTTTGAGTGTGGGGTTTGTTTGGAACCTAAGAAAGGGGTTAATTGCCATAGAATGTTGCTCTGCTCCCATGTTTTCTGCGTTAGTTGCCTTCAGGGCTTTTATAACACTTGTATAAAGGAAGGAGATGTTGGCAAGGTGAAATGTTTGGCCCCGAACTGCGGGAGGGATCCGGAAAATGGACCACAAGATGGACCTGTGGGACACGGCATTCCTGGGCGGCTGAGGAAAAAGGATCGAACCCTCAACCCAAGTGAGCTGTTACAAATCCCACTAGACCAGGAAGTTGTCCAACGCTACGTCCACTTCAAAAGGAAGCGGAAACTGGAATCAGACAAAACGACTATTTATTGTCCCCGCCAATGGTGTCAGGGCGCCGCTCGCTCAAAACGGCACGCAAAGCCAAATTCGATAAACGAAGAGATGGAGTTGTCGGACAACGAGGATGACGAGGATGACGAAAACTCGCGCCCCCCATTTGATCCACTAGGAACAGAAGATCAACTTCCACCAATGTCAGAACGTCTCTCGGTATGTGAGGATTGCAGCTACGCGTTCTGCTGCGTCTGCAAAAAGGGTTGGCACGGCGAGCTAGCATTCTGCTACCCACGACGAGCCGCCGATTTATCAGCAGCCGAAAAGGCAAGCGAAGAATATATCAAGACATACACCGCACCCTGCCCAACATGCGATACTCGCTGCCAGAAATCAATGGGCTGTAACCATATGATCTGTTTCAAGTGCAATACACACTTCTGTTACCTCTGCTCAAGCTGGCTCTTCGAATCCAACCCGTACAGCCACTTCAACGATCCGAAAGGGAGTTGCTACATGCGTCTTTGGGAATTGGAAGAAGGTCACGATTCCGGACCCGGCGGACCAGATTGGGATCTCGCCGCGGCACAGATGCAAGCTGAAGTGGACAGCGATGATGACAGCGAAGACCTCGAGCAGGAAATCGCCGCTGAAACCGGCAACAACGGCCAGGGGGCGAATAACTACAACTGGGGCCGAAATCAACGTCCACCTCCGCCAGCACCCGCTCCTCCAAACGCAGCACGATTTCGAGCACCACCCCCTGCACCGGTGCCTCCTGGTGCTCATGCCAACCAGCAAAATGGCCGTCGTCCAGATGATGCAGCTAGGGCTGCGGCCGCGGAGCGGCAATTACAGGTTCAAGCAATGGCGGAAGCGCGAGCTCTGCAACATAACCCGCCCAATGCGCCACCGCCCCTGAGGCAGATGGCCGGGTTACAGCGATTTTTGGAACTGGTGCAGAATGACCAGGAAGATGAATGGGACAGCGATGAGCTAGATTTTTGATACGAAAATGACTATAACCTCGGCGATCTCCTTTTCTTGTTGAAATTAACCAGCGGTGATCAGCCTAAGTTACATTTTCAGCGGCTTAATCTGTGACGCACTGGATGGCATGTTTCCTGCCGGATCGAAGAGTTTGGTTTTGTGTAATTTATATTTAATTTCTTTTACGTTTTTGGCAATGATTGAAGCATTTTTTACATGCGATAGGATTGGAGATGAAAAACCTTTGCATGAATTATCACGTACCCCTGTATATACATATATTCTCATGTCAGCCATGTTATTTTTATTCCCTTTACAATATTACCTGCACGATATATCCTTATGCCCCACCAATATAATGTTCTATGCACAATCATTCCCCATCTTTATTGTTAGGATGTTTATCATTTTATCCCTTAAACGGGTAAAATCATATCATTCAGATGATCCCACCTATCCCCCGTAATCCCATAAGTGTCAATATGATGTATTGTTCTGTACGTTCTTCTGGTGGTAATCAACAACTCTGCCCACTCTCCTCTGTATTTTCTGTTGAGATTTAAACTATAGGTCTCAAAACTGAAAAAGAAGAAGAGTTCATGACGGAGGGGAGATAAGTTCAGAGGGAGTTCAGAGGTTGCGTTTAACAATATAGCTTAATACCACGCCCTTTACACTTCTCTCTTCACTCCAATTCAATTCCCACTTTGAGACCTCATTGTGTCCCGTACGGGACAACAATCCAGTTAACGATAAAAGTCAAGCCTGGCGCTCTGGGCCGCTGCTCTATTAAGATAAAAATAAAACCTCATATCAATAAAAAGGCAAGGAAATGATAGAAACCGAGAGAAATGACTAGACAAAAGGAGTAAAAAAGATAGTATCGTCAAGGACACAAGCATCGCTTCGATGAAAACGATGACTATAGAACAAAAAGTTGAAAAAAAAAAAAAAAAAAAAGAGGGGTTTAGTTTGTATACCCACAGCCTTGATCACGGCCTCAATAGGGATCCTCTCCCAACCTCCTGTAGAAGCTGACCATGAGGGCCCATCATATCTGCGGGCCAGTCGTAGAAGAGCTCATAGTGTAGTACGGTCAGATTTGTAAACATTAGTATGACGCGGTAGCGGCGCGAGAATTCAATGCCGTGCCATTGTTCTTGGCGAACTTGAAAGTCGTTATCCGGAACTTGGCGGCCGGAGTAGGTTCGAGAGCTATGTTCACCCGTTTGGGCGCTCCCTGTATGGTTTCCTACACTACGGCTGTGGTATGAATGATGTGACTGCCTAGCAGAAGTAGCGTGGTTGTCTTCTGTTAGTGGAGAGGAGGACATAGAGTAGCTGATCTCGTCGAGAGGAATGAGATGGCTTTCCACAGGGCCTACTGCCATTCCCGCAAGTTGAACGAAAGGTCTGGCTCTCTGTCGCTCTTGACTTTCAGATGGAATGACATGGTCCAGCCTAAAAGCCATGCCATCAGGATATTCGGTCAGAGAGAATATTCCGACCCGCCCCTTTTGCGAAGCTGCCAGGACGATGCCAAGTTCCGGGATCTGGTGGACAATGTTGAAACGATCGACCATGTCAAGATCCAGGGGGATGTTGATGAGATCTTGGGTCAGAGCATCGCGGAGGATGAAAGTCGACTTTTTGGCAAATGGATGAGGGAACATGCGGACCGAGGTTTGAGTGAAATGAAGAATGGGGAAATCTGCGAATAAGGGTTTAAGTGGCTCCAGATCTTCGGTGTCGGGAAGCCAGTCCGAAATATCGGGGAAGAGTGGGTCGATAGAGTCTCCACCCTGGTTATGTTGCTGAAGACTTTCAAAAAGGGAGTTGTCGCCATTGCTCCCGCCGTATTGGAAGGCAGCGTATTCGTAGTTGTACACTTCTTCGTCACCTCGGGTATCCTCATGCTCTTCCTCTTCCTCTTCCTCTTCTTCGACCTCTTCATCGTCTTCTTCATCCGCGTGATCCAAATATTCATCGCCATCGTCTCCGTCATCCTCTTGGATGTCAGAGTCATTTTCATTACTAGGAATATCTTCGGTGGTGTCAATCACAGAAAGAATAAGATCATCAACCAGCTCAGGGTCAGTTACCAGACCTGTCGGGTCACCATGGAGAGAAGGCCATGACCCTGGAAGGCGATTGAGGTCGCTATTCCAAGGGGCATCCTCCATTGAGTCTGAAATCGACTCTTGAAGTAAATTGTGTAGTTGCGCATCATTCTCGTCCTCATTACCTCTATCTAAACACATATTTTGTTCGCTCTCAAGATTTCCAAAGGGCTTCTGATTATTCCCATACTCCTTCCCTTCACCAGGATACATTGGACAGCAAGGTGAGAAGTGATCCAAACCCGTTTCGTCGGTGGCCATGGGCGAGTCTAACGAAGCAGGGATATCAGATCCTAGTGAAAATGTTTCGTCTGATAAATCGTCTGATTCATCAGCGACATCATCAGGATGTAGAGGCTCCTCTGGCAGATAGTTGGATCGCATGCGTTGTGCAAGAGCAGTCAAATCATAAACGTCTTCATTATGAATATGTTTACGCGGAGTGCCGCCACAAGCTTCTTTCAAGGTTGATTTGGGCCTGAAGTTACGTGGATCAAGAGCCAGAACACTCCACCCAAGTTGGCGGCTAAATTCAAGTAAGTAGGTTAGAGATTATTGCTTAGAAAGGTAGTGAACAAGCTTACTTGTCATGTGAATGACCCGGATGATTTGGTGGGTCCTGCTGAATGTCGATGACTCTCACCGGAGTGGGATATTCCCAGATATTGAACATCATAAGTTTGTTACCGATGTCGGTGCTAATCAACCAATCACCGTCTGGATCAAGATCAGAGTTTAAAAAGTCAATGTTTGGAATATTCTTTTTGTGGCCAACTAAAGTGAACCGAATGTTAAAGGCCCGCCGTTTTTCTGGTTTTATTCGCCGGAGTATGTTATACTGTGACTCTGAACTCACATTCGTCCACTCTAAGGATTGACGAGCTGTGGGTGAAGACTGCGGAGTGCCTAAACTCTTCGCAGAATCACTCGCAACGGACGCATCATCCACCAACGCAAAAGCGAAAACAGTAATACACCAGGAATTGGAGCTTACTGCAATCATTCTGGCAGTCTTGTGGATCGCAAGGCCCCAAGCACTTTGGCCTACCCAATCATTAAAAAAGCAGTCAACAAGTTCACCAAGTTCTGTCGGCTTGTCATTCCCAGTGACCCTGGCTTCTTCGATGACCCCAAATATACGTTCAGTCCGATAGGCCGCAATGTTGCCCGAATCAGTGGCAAGAAGTAGTATCTCCTCATGTCCGAGATCCTCAACACGAATGACGTTAATAATATGTGGGTTGTGCCGGGTGATGTAACCAGGAGCAGTAGGATTTTTAGCTACCGGTGTTAATATCATTTCGGGCTTAGGTGCAAGCACGCGATCGCGACTAGGAGGCTGATATACGTAAATCTGATGCCCAAAGGCCACAAAGTAAAGGTTGCGGTGCTGAGATAGAGCAGTCTAGAAACGTCGTCAACCAATGCAGCAGCAGCTAAGAGGTGGGGAGGACCAAAGTAATATACCAAATTATTTCTCCAGTAGGCAGACCGGGGAGGAGCTTCATTGGATTCTCTTAAATACATTAATTAGTAAGGCGTTCAGGCTGCCGTGTAGTCTGGTCAAGCCGGGGCCATACCGTAGGAACTACTGCCCGATTAGCCGCGATCCAATCTCGTCAGAAGAGCTATCGATCTCATAATGGATGTCCTAGGCGGTGACATACATATTTGCTTCCTATCTCAACTCCATTCTCCTTTACATGAACTTTTTCGTCCCGATCCTGGAAGGGTAGGCGAACGAGGGGCTCTCCTTTCGTGAGGTTCACACGTCCCGACTCCATGGGAAATATAAACCCATGTAACAGGAAAAGAAAACCTCCACTTCAACATCAATCGAGATGTTGCAACCCAGCAGCTCCAGGCTTAGATAGCTGACCAGATATAAAAGCCAAAGAGATGCAGGAAATACTTAGAGCCGTTCATTTAGAGTGGCAGGTGGCCAAGGGTACTTAATGAAACTAGCTAGAGGTTTGATTGATGACAATGGTGCATAGCACACGGACGAGGTAGCAGCGCAATATAACTCGCGACGTCTAAACTGCACTTCAATTTATGTGCCCCATATCACCGACGCTGGCTTTGCACATGGAGTATCGAAGTGGGAGTTTGGATCTTCGAGGCGGTTGTCAGTTGAGGTCATAGCTCCAATCCACTAAGACCTATTAGGCTAAAATTCCTGCACCCCAGACTTTGACTTAGTCATCCAGAAAGCTTCAAGAACATTGAACATCGCATTCATAAAGTGCGTGCAGCATTGCCACAACCATCACCAAGTCCTTCATGTCGATCTGAACCCTCAAACCTCTTATTAACGTGAATTCAATATTGGATTCCCCTATTTCCTCCCGGTTTGGTCTTTGAGCGCTCTCCTACGTGCTGATGTTGGGAGTAGTGGTGCCAACAATTCCCAAGGATTGATAAAGTAATCCCAAGCCACGTCTCGCCAAAGCAACAATGGATCTCGTGGCGAGTATTCGAAAGGAAGGCAGCCGGTTAGAAATCCCACAACTTATTCCCCTCCTCCCCCACATTTGAATAGAGCAAATTTCTATCACTTGAAAGGAAAATCCGGCAAAAAAAACATATATTCTAACTGACCCCTAACTGACCCCTAACAGCGGCGGCCGCGACTCTTTCAAATGGTCCGACGTCAAAACTTCCACCCATCGCGAAAACTACCTTGGTCACTCCCTCATGGCCCCCGTCGGACGGTGGCAGCAAAATCGCGATCTATCCTGGTATGCCAAGGGAGACAAGGACGCAGCAGGATCTGCCGAAGAAGCTGCGGCGAAACTACGCAGCGAGCGGGAGGAGGAGATTAAACGCATTAAGGAGGCGGAACAAGAAGCGATGGCACGCGCATTAGGTTTACCTGTCGCCTCGAGGAGCTCCAATAATGCAAATATGACGCCTCTGGGTGGGAAAGAGGTAGAGAGGGCTATTCAGGAATCTAGTGCGGCAGACGAGGGAGCGCAGGATGGTGGCGGTTCCAGGGGTGTTGGGTTTGGGTCGTTTCGGGGAACGGGAGGGACAAAGGCTGGAGATCAGGGAGATAGAATGGAAGGGACAGGGTATGAAATGGTGCCAGAAAAAGGGCTGGAGCGGCGTGGGACACGAGATGGGCGGGGAACTCGGGGCGGGCGTGGTGAGAATGGCGATCGTCGAAGGGGAGATATGAATAGCGATGAAGATCGCGCAGCAGGAAGAGATAGGAGGAGTAAAAGATACGAAAGAGTTGATGAACGCCAAATAAGACGAAGGCGCCACTCTCCATCTGCGGATAGAGATTATGGGGTTCGATGCCGGGACCGCTCGAGATCGACTGGGAGGCGAAGACATCGTTCGAGATCAAGTGATATGGACGCCTATAAAAGGCACCGTCCATTATCTAGATCACGGAGCCAAAACCGATGGCGGGGAAGAGGCGCGAGGGAGAAGCGTGCCCGTGAACGGAGCTCCTCTCCCGCCCAGCGTCGAAGTCATCATGATCGCCGTTCCAGGAGGAACGAAGACTACGATCGAGGAAGATAGAAAGGAACACAATTATTAATGAGATAATGAGGGTCACTGGAAATGCACGGGTTGGCGGGAATCCGGCGATGGAGCCTTTTGCAAAGTTTAACATCACCGCTACAATACAATACACCTAAATATAACCCACATGCTAATGAAAATAAAAGGGAAAAAAATCAAAAAACTCTAATATGTCTATGTATAAATAAGAAAATATCCCTTGTAGGCGATACTCTTACAATTCCTCATGGCGGGTTCCGTGGTCTGCGCTCAAATCTGGCATGACCATCATCTTCACCACTAAACTCGTCCACCCCGTGAAATGCTGTGTTCGTTGGCCAGCGCCTGTCTCAGGGTTATATTGTTCCCATGCGAATCCAGTCTCTTTCCACTGATTAAACACATTGTCAACAATATTCTGACGGAGTTGGGTATACATTTTACGTGCTTGTTCTTGATGTGGTCCAGGCACCGTGGCGACATCCTATATTTATATATATATTAGGAGCATTCTTTGAGGTTCAATTCATCGATTTAAAATGGATTTCCAGATCAGGTTACGACTTACAAGAAGATTTTTGAGAATCATGTAGTTGATGTTAATCCAGATAGGGCCCCTCCAGTAGTTTTCGTCTGTTCCATAGAATTCGTCCTTTTTGCTCAGACTACGAATACCGTAATCGCTCCAGAGCTCTTTTGGGTCCTGGATAAGATCCAAAGTAGGCCCAAGCCGCGGACTATCCGCAGGCATCAGACCCGTCATAAATGGGAAAAGGGATATATATCCCTTGTGGCAGACATGCACATGCTCCTCAAAATCATCAACAGTAGCATCGCAAAAAGTCTGAGCATCTTTGTCCCAATGTAGATCGTCAATATTTCGAATGATCCTGGTCTCATAGGCCGCAAATTCTTTCGCATCTTCAGTTTCTTCTAAGGTTTCGGCAATCCGCCTAATCGCTCGGCTCATCATTCCCATCCAGCTGATCAAATCGACATGAAGCTCACCAGGATGAGGCGGCTGGGGTCTCGGGTAATCGTCGAGTCCGGAAGTTAGAATGTGCTTAATAGATCGCCCTCGCCATCTGTAGGCTTCCTTCGAAGAGAAAGCTTCCCGATCGTACGATTTGAGGTCACCCCACTGAGTTTTCTTAAACCAAAAGAACTGGCGTTTAAGTAGAGGGTATACAGACCGAAGGTACAAAATAGCAAGATCCGGGTTTTCCAAATGTGCTGAACGGATATCGGAGGGAGCATCGCGAACCCCAGCTTGTTCCCGGCTCAATTGGATTTTCTCCACGAATGCCTCAAGGATCATAAATAATGTTGGAGGATTCGCATAATGTGGGTACTGAACCTGGAACTCAGTGGGCACCTTACTACGGGCTTCAGGACCCAGGATCTGTTCACGTGCAATCCATCCATCATCATCCATAAGATTGAACCAGCTCCTCGTTATTTCCAATCTACTACCTGTTAGCAATTGCCATCAAAACCTGGTTCGGCAAAAAAACATACGCCAAGTCGAGGTCCCACTCAATAACAGGGATCAAGTGGAATCCTTCATCCCAGAGGAAGCCACGCGGGAAGAATGGCCGAGACGGTATACTTGTAAACAGCTCTGATGGGCCATCTACGCTAGGCTTTACCTGAGCTCGTGCTTGTTCGGTCTCTTCCCAAAATAATTCGTTTTCTTCTTCGTATTCTGGTGAATTGGATCGATCGACAACGGAATCGCCATAGAAATATCCAACGCCACCAACCAAGTTCGAAAACATGGCTTTCGAAAACTCGGTGTATTTCGGTAAGTTAAAAGGGGGAAGGGGGGGGAATACCTCTTTGAACTTTTTGGAGAAGGAGGCGGAGGCGGGCTCAATCTCTTCCGTGAGTACCGTCGCTGTGGAGTATTAGATAGGGTCCTAGGATCCCTTCCATGTGCAGGGTGGCTAAGAGGAGTTCAACGTACAAGTCATAGGGGCTGGCGACGAAGCAGATGAGAAAAGAATATCGAACTTTCCATAGTCAGCAAGGAATATTAAGAGGTGGTTGTAGTAGAACGAGGACAGACCTCAAATGAACCTTCAAAGGCCCTTTGCACGAAATACATGTTCCCAGCATCGGGCTTATTCGCAATTGTGATAAGTTGCGCGGGAGGAAGGGGATTATCCGTTCCGTACTTCTTCAAGGTAGCATCGATCTCCTCTTTCATGTGCATAAAAAGAAGCGCTTCGGACGCCAGCGTTACCATCAGCATATATTAACCTTTCTCTGGAAAACAGTACACAGATGGAATATAAAGGTATGAGTCAAACATTTTGCGTTCCAAAGTACGTCTGCGGGCACCTGAAGTCCTGCAACCATCGTCCTGTCCAATGGTTTGTCATCATACGCCGCATGTCTCCTGGGAGGGTGCGCATTACTCTCGGGTCCGCGAGTTAAGTCGAGAGTGAAATCACCAAGGCCTACGGTAGATCCCGTAAATTTCACATCATCTTTGTATCCCAGAGCATCAACCTCGTTGGCGAGTTCCAAAGTCCCCAAGCCTTCGATCGCAGCGTAGAAGACAACCGTTGTCGCTTGGTCAGGAGAAGCATCCGCGCGAGGAGTACCCTTGACACGTGCACCCCAATTCCCTCCGTTACCTCCGCCCGGCACCTTTATAAAGTCGATAGTGAGGTCTATGGCGTTTCCCGTATCGTGGATCGTCTGGCGGCCGCCCTTGCGGATATCGTACTCATCCCACCCATACCCAGCCATGCCCTCGTTTTGTTCGCATGTATGTCTAAACTCTTCAGGAAAAGTTAGCAGGTCGCAAGTAATTGATATAGGTAAAACAACGACGTAGTAGCTTCGGGGCGATCCCAAATTCCTCTTAACAATAAAGGTGTACCTACTCTCTTGTATATTTTGAAATTCATCCACGTTCGCCCACATCAATCCCATGATCAAGCTCTTAGGAAGGCGCGGGCGGACACCGAAATACAAATTCGGCCTATACGGGCCCCATAATAGCGATTCATTAGAAGCTCTCCCTAGCTCCTTTGCTAATATTGGGACTTCGTGGCTGGCGGCGGATGAGTCCTCTTTAGCCGCGAGGGATATGGATAACAGCAAAAATAAGAGGGACTGCAGAGCTAACACCATTTTCTCTGAATTGACACAGGGATCTAAACCATTGGCGCCAAGTTTGAATCCACAAACGGTTGGAAATTTCTCGCAGCACCTGTAGTCGGTTGATTGAGCTGGGCAGCGGATAAAATGTCGTTCGGATCGCAATATCTGTCCCATTTGGGCTCGGAGAAGGTGGTCCAAGCTCCTTGCGCTAGGAATTACTTAAATTGCTCGCTTCACCAGCACAACCATCACTCAATCAGGAACAACAGCCTCTTGGATGGAACGAACTGGTTAGACTTGCTTATATTTACGGCTTTGGACTCGCAAGTCCCTGGGTTAAATTTCCACTGCATATCACGTCACCCAGTTGATCCAGCTCCTCATAAAACGATGCCCCCATCGCCTTGCGAAAGTTATTTACTATCTAATCGTCCCTCAGTTAGGACTTTGATAGCTCCAAAAAAGTATTAACTCGGAACCTTTTCTACAAGTCAAAAAGGAAATCCTTGATACTGTTCAGTATGTTTTTTAACTCCTTAATTGCATTATTCGCATGCAGATAACCCTGTATAACCTGTAAGCGACACTTTGCTGGAAATTGAAACTTATATCAAGCCAAGAGACAAGACAAATGGCAGGACATATTAAAAGGTATGATGGAGCTTTTGACATGTGGCAACTGGTGAAAATAACCTATGTTAAAAGATGACAACAAAAAACAACGCTTACAATTATTATTGCTACTCAACACAATATCCAAGCCAGGTATCACCCCTATCTTGTTCAATACACCATTTACACCTCGGCTCCTGGTGACGGCAGTCAACACTCCAACGGCAACTAAGAGGCGTGCAAAGGTCACGATATGGTGACAAAATATTCAGTTTACGTGACTGCAGTCCCATACTCTCTTTGTTGGCTTCAAGTTCTGGTAATTGGAACGAAGGAATACGATCATGAAATGGATTCCAAATTTCGCTATCATCAATTAAAGAGCTACTCTCTGACCAATGTTTAAGAGAATCTTTCGCCTCCTTGTTCAAGTATACTTTACTTAGCATATTAAAATCTTCCTTTGAAAGTTTCTGATAGTCAATAACTTTATTGTCCCTGTTGAAGGATCGCAAAATCCCCGTATTATCGAGATGAAAAAATCCATCATCGTTGCCTTTCATATTGTCAATAATTGTAGACAGCGAAGTTGCTGCTAGGCGAGATTTCTATAATTAGTATAAATTAGCAAGTGAATTAAAAACAATAAATTAAATCAGAGACACATACCAATATTCCGTGTGCTTGTACATGTACATGTACATTAGAAATGATTAAAAGAAAAAAAGAGAATTTTAAAAAATGAAATATCTTATTTATTATAAACATAGTAAAAAATTGTAAAAATAATTGATTAATTAGATCTTTGATTATTTTGTTCCCCTTCTGTTCCCGGAGAAAAATGGTAAAATTTAAAGTCCGCTTAGACTTCAAAAAGCCAGATATATATAGTCATAGAAACCGATCTCAAATCGCTACCTGACAGCCATCGGATCACCGGCCTGGCACACGGGGATTATAGATATTTCAGGATTGGTTGGTTATTGTAGTTAGTTATATATTTCCTTATCCCCTCGTCTGGGGGCGAGGCAACAATTAGCGTATTTTTCTGCCACCCCAATTCATGACTGCTTACTGGCTGGAAGCCGATAATTCAGCTTGCCTATTGGCCATATAAAGGCGGTCAGGCACGACGCTAATTGTTGCCTCGCCCCCAGACGAGGGGATAGTTAAAATTAGTGAATCGCCAATATTTTTAAGCGGTACATGATGGCCTGTCGTTGGTATTAGACTGGTGGAAAACATCCTCAAAGGTAGTAACTTGCCAATGAAATCACTGGAGCTTCAACCTCATACATTTATACAAAAAGAGAAAGAATGAGTCATTATAGACTTATTTCAACTGTTTTAGCAGTTCAGAGTCAAGAATTAGCTCACAGAAGAGCTGCTTTCTATATATCTAAACCATATTTACGGATTATCCCATCAAAAGTTTCGACTTTCACTAAGAATTTAAGCTGCAATCTCGCTACCAATCTCAAGGATATTCATTCCAAAGCACCTTGAGATTTAGGTTATCAGGTGTAACTAATGGCTAAGACATGGAATAGAAATACTCTTAATGCCGGTTACAATATTACAGCTTAAATTCCTAGTGTTAATCAACCCTTTTGAGAGGATCCTCCATACATCTATATCCTGATGTTTAGAATTACTACTCCGTAGTCTGTATGATAAAGTCAAGCAAGTGCCATGAGAATTCAGGGCCTGTGTGGTGATTTCTGTTTGTAAAGTCGCGTTCGCAGAAGAAGTGGATATTATACTTTTGACGGTATTATTAACTGTATTTGCTTGGTGTCACTGGACGACTGGACAGCCAACATGTTTTTTTTTTCCCTTTCTCACCATCTTTTGCGTAGACATGGAATTGCCACAAGTCCGCGCCACACTGTCGTGGTAATCACACTGCAATGGTAATAATTATCTGATCTTCAAAAAATCATCATCATTCAACACCACATCTATCTATAATATAAAGATCATCTATATGCTATATAGGGGATGCAGGGCACAAGAGCAATAGAGCACTGCAGAGTAACTACGGAGGGAAGCTCTGGAGCTAGTGTAGATGAGGGAATATGTAGTGGGTGGGCAAGCAGTCGGCTAGCTAACTGGAAATCTCCATTCTTATAGGGATCAAGCGGATATAGCTAGCTAGGTAGCAATCTCTATTTGAATAGGGATCTGAGGGATATAGAGCAGATAGGCTCCTAGCTAGCCAGGAATATCTATTTGAATAGAAATCTCAATCTAATAGCGATGTAGCAAATATCAGACAGGCACCTTGCTAGCTAGGAATATCCATTCAAATAGTGGTCGATCGGATATCGGGAAGGGAGGTAGGTATCTCGAAATCGCTATTCAAATAACGATCGAGCAAGGATAGAGCAGCTAGGCACCTAGCACGTTAGCAACTCCGATTCCCATAGGGGTCAAAGGTAGGATGGGGCAAGCGGGAAGGTAGCTAGAAATCTCTAACACCTACACCAATCGCATCATCAATATGCCTTGCAATAATCTTAGCCAATGATTCGACACATAATGGCCCACCAGAGAAGGAATCAATTAGATAGAATAAACCAAATCAATGAAGAACTTAATCACATAGTAAGGGGAAAGCTCAGGAACCGAGGTCACATCAAACTCAAAATGGGTCATTCTCAGCAGCAACAGCTACAACAGATATATACTTGGTACATAGTAAATATACATGATGGGAATCAACGCGTCCACGCTCAAACACAGAATGGTAGTAAATGTGCTGTACATACAATTATCAATAATGACATAGATAAGAACCCGGGTCAGTGTAAACCATGAAGAATTGGAATGAAGTCACTCGAAAACACTCGCGAGATGTGATAATCAAGGTAAAATCGCCATCACCACAAATGAGGAAAATACGAAAAGCGATATAGAATCTTCAGACTCAACGTGTCGGGCTCAATGGCCTGTTGAATCCTCCTTGGCGATTCATATATTGTCTGTATTGTGTCTTCTTCTCCTTGCGCACGCCATAGATATTGTTTCCAGGCACCTTAGTGTTTTGTGTAGTCCGGAACGACGAGAACCCCATCGTTTTCCGAATCAATTGGTCCAGGTCTTCGGCATCTGCACTGTCGATATCTACGCCCATACTCTCTAGCACAGGTTGGATTTTAGATTTTGTTGAACCATGCCGTCTCGATTCAGAAGAAATCCCATTCGCCCCCATCTTTGCCGATTCCCAGACCTGGTCTCGGGGTGGTAGGTCGCCTCGACGGTCAGGTCTCGAGCCCCGCGGCGGTGGAGGTGACCGTGACCTTCTAGACCGGGTGGAGGCAGAACCATTCCTTGCGGGCGAGCGTGCTGGAGAGAGGGAACGGGACCAGGATCTATCACGACCTCGTTCGCGGTATTGAGCCGTCTTTCCATAATCCCCTACATAGAGTATTAGAACACACAGTCAATTTCTCATCATGGACGTCAAACAGAAAAATTTAGCCATACCCCATCTAGTATATCTGCCCCTGCTGCCGCTCCTGTCTCTGTCCTTCCGACCAGCTCTATCCCTATCCCTGTCCCTGTCCCTGTCCCTTTCTCTCCGTTCCCTTGATCTGCTCTTGTCCCTCCTATCTCTCGATCTACTCCGGTCACGTCTTCGATCATCCCTATCTCTGGAGCGGGATCTGCGCTCATTTCTCGACATGTTGCTTCGTTTTCTATCGTCTTTGGTTGACGCTTCTCGTTTTGACATGCCACCATGTAGCTCGTTGTTGTCATAATCGTCTGAGTGGGATTTCGTGTCATTCATCTCCCACATTGTCGAGCTATCCGTCCTCCTAGCGCGTTTGGCTGGAGGTTCAGCCATTGTGGCACTATTGTCGAGCTAACCGAGCGGACGCTGGCGAAGGGATGTTGAAAGACGAAATGGGTGTATTGTCGAATGCTGCCGGGATCTACTGTTGTAAATTTGTTTCTATGCATCTATTGCGTAGGGAGGAAAGGAGTTCAATCGTCGCCGAAGCTGTCCCGCTTAACAAGACGATGTTGAAGAGGCTTTGAGATTATTTGTCCTGCGCTTTGGGCTAGTTACGGTAGCCGGTTACTGCCTTTAATGCTTTCACTGGAAACAACATCTACATCCATACTTAGACTAACTAACTAAAAAAAACGAACGAGTTCACATCAACCTTAAAGAGAAAAGCAAATTCATCTGGAGAATTTGATATATATTATTGGCATAAATCATGTCGCCTACCAGTGCTTCCCACCGTCGCACGCATAATTTACTCTTAATATCCAAGCTACTCAGTCTTCGCGATTCTACGTCTCCGTTAACCCTTCTCCTAGACTCTCTCGAACAGCCTGCTACACCCTTGATTAAGGAATATATTAGAAGAGCAAAGGTACTGTTTGTTACCTTTATATTCTTCGCTTAACTTCAATGATTTGATTTGATTTTAATCCCGTGCTGTTCTTTTTTGGTTGATTTGTTCGTAGTAAACTTTGATTTATTGATCCCAATTCCCTCATCTTATATATATATATATACTTATGTATAAATTTATTTCATACTCGTTGCTCAATCTGTTATAATAATGAATATCTGTGTCTCCATCGCAAACGCATCCATTGATGCTTGTGCGGAAATATTGTTTTCCACTGGGAGACGTGAATGAACGTCCCATGTTGACTGTATCCGTAATAGCTATCAAAAGTCCATGTTATATTTGTCTCCTTCGAGACTCTGACGCGCCCAGATGGCATCGATACATTTATCCTGGCCCGACGAAACAGTTTGGCAGACATTGCAAAAGAAGTGGTCTCCGCAGCATCGTCACCACTGCTGCCATATCCTTCAGCAGCAACGGCTTCAAATAGTATGTTGTTCCCGTTTCTCCTGCTCAATAATATAAACATCGGCAGGAAATGCCATACTTATGTTTCCATACAGAATCCCTTGTAATTATCGACTCTGTCAATCCAATGATAGATCGTAAGAGCGACGCGAACAAGGAGGTGAATCCAGCTGCATATCTACGCTCATTGCTAGGGTCACCCTCAACCAGCCCACAGAGCCATGCTTCTACTTCCCTGATTGTCGTGTATCACCAGGATATACCCGCATGCCTACAGAAACAAACATTATACACACCAACCACTTTATCTCTACTAACATATCTCGCCACAACAATCTTCACCGTTCACTCCATGAGCCACATCCTCGCCGAAAAAGCCGCGAGAGACAGGAGCCTTATGGCCCCCGTCTTCGGTCTAGCAGAAGAAGCAGACGGCGTCATCATCGGTCGCCGCATCGAGCACGGCAAGAGCACCGATGACGGTGACCTCAACGGCGTCGTTATTGAAATGGAACATCGGCGCAAGAGTGGCAGGGGAGTTGTGGAGTGGTATTTCTTGCCACCTGCGGTGAGGATTCATCGGCAGCAGGTAAAAGAGATGGTGATGTTGCTCGACGATCATCCGCTATATCACCGGGGGGAGGAGCAGGGCGGTGCTGAAAGGGGGGGATGGGAGCCGGAGTCAACATTTGAGTTAGGTTTAACGGAGCGGCAGAGGTTGGAGAGGGAAGGGGTTGTGCTGCCTTATTTCGATGCGCAGAGAGCGGAGGGGCCTGGTGAGGGCGGTAGGATCCTTTATGATATGGGAGAAGAAGATGATTTTGATGAAGAGGAGGATGAGATTTGAATATTTTATGTTTCACATGGTGCAAACGGAGAAAATTCGTCTCGCGAAGCGGGTGGGAGCAGAAATATACTGCTACGGAGGAACGGGCCTGCGGGTTGAATGTTATGAGATTTTCTACTTGAAAACCTGCGAGTTAGGGTTGCTGGTGTAGGATGCTGGAAACAGCCGATGCAAATCGCATCATGCATTTATCATGTAAGTTTGGCAATTACAAATGATGTTATACCTAGTGCATATGTGATGCAGCAAGAGACAATGGAGGCTGGCGGATATTTGAATTGAAATGAAACACAATCACACGAATAAAACTATAGCATTAGAATCAAAACAAAGCCCTATTTAGAGAAACCGCCAGAAGATTAAAACAAGCATAACGAAACCGACCGCCGCAAAGGGCCCATACTGCAACAAAGAAAAATTCCAAATTAGCAATATCTTCTTTTATGATTACCTTTGCACGCAAGCCCTTTATGCACATACCTGTTTTACAAGCAACTCCCAGTTTATCCGCACCGCTGCCTTGCGGTATTTCAGACTGTCATCCCTCAATCTCCCGGACATCTCGCCCATCCGCTCCAAGCTGTCGCCCCGGTATAGGAGGTCTTCGACATTCTTAACCATGTATTTTGTCACGTCTCGTAGTTCATCATTCAGCTTATCCAAATTCTGGGGCGCACGGCTATCTTGGTACGTCTTCACTGTTCGCTTGATGAAACTATCGAATTCAACGAAGGCGTATGGACGTAGATTGGTGGAGAGATATTGCGAAGTTGGATATGTGGTTGTGAATTCGTTGGCTAAGTCGCCAAGATAGCTAAATGCAAGTTTGCGAGGGTATGATCGGTCCGCAATGCAGAGGAAGCAAACACCATCTTTGATGATATAACTGTATATGGACTTATAAGATTCCGATATAAGAAGCTCGCGGGAGCGCCGTAGAAAATCGCGGGACTCACTGAAGGTTGCATTGTCCGCATTCAATAGTAGCTTGCGGTTCTGAGTTCCGATTCAATTGACGGGATATCAGTTTGGCTTGCGATTTTGCCTCGGACAACGCATCCACCTATGGATTCTCCATGTTAAAACAAAAAGCATTTCCCCACCTTTTCACCTTTTCACCTTTCACTGACAACACAAACCCGAGCTAGTGAGCAACAAGGGGAATACGCACCTGCTGCTCATCATCCACGGAGGCGGCAAGTGGGATGCCTACATCCACCAAAGCACTTGTTAGCACGCAGGCCAGTCAGAAACTCTAGAGAAATAAACGTTTCATTGTTTAATAAACCCACCATCCAGCCTGGAAATCTGAGTTGACAGAACCATCCTCACTGCACAAGATCTTTTTTGGTCTCTTTAACTCGTTATTACCTCCTTATCCCATCACAGGATTCTGTGGTGCTATTTATATGGCAACAACAGAAGCAAAGACAGCTCCTCCTTGTTGGTTTTGTTGTTTCATCAAGCCAGATATCCACCCCTTCGCCGGTCTAACTTTGACCTGGTAAAGCTTTCCTTTGATCGTTGGTGACAAAGACGTCAACTGAGTCAGCAGATATGGGCCGACCGAGGAAACGGAAGGCGGTCAGCGGCGGCAAAACACAGTCTCGACATGCATCCAAGTATGAAATTCAAATCCGTCAGCATTTTCGTCGGCTCTATCGGAATGTCTATTAGGCTTCTTTACTATATATACTCATATGCAATTTTTCGGCTATAGATGCTGTGGCAAAGCTAACTATGTTGAAGACCGCGCGCTCCCCGCCGTGCTTCTGGTGCAGCTGGACCGCCGTGTGAGAAGACAAAGTCACCCAGAATGACAACCCATAAGAAATCTACTGGCGCACGGCGTGGCCCATCACGAACTCCTAAGAAAAACCCTTGGAGTGAAGAGCAATTGACCACCAGCACTAGTTCGCGTATCATTGATATTGATCTGGTTGTAAGTGATTGGGGAAGTCTCTGCTAGAAAAGTGGAAGCTAATTTAACAATCCCTAGAAACTACTAGCTGACCCCAAAGCATGGACTTGTCTGGACGAAGATGAGAAGAAAGAGATCATAGCTCTGCTTCCGGATGATATACAGCGACATGCTGATCCCGGCCCAAATGCCGAAGGTCAAGAAGACCCCCGTAACTTTATTATCCCACCGCTTCCTGAATCCTTTGTCCGCTATTCCAATAGCTGGCGGGATGCAATTCGCCAATTCCAGTTCGACCTACAGACTGGAAGGTATGATCCAGAATGGCAACGCCAGGCGGCGGCGGCTATGGAGGAGAGAGCTCAAGGGAAGTACGATAAATTCAAGGAGGAGCAATTCGAGGAGTTCTGGGGACAGAAACAGAAGCTTGATAGTGATGTTATTGCGGGGAAAAGTAGTACGGTCAAGCTGGGGACTTTGGTTGAAAATGGTGTCGTGAGGGTTGGCGATGTCTGGAGATACTCGAGGTGTTTTAGGAGGGGGGATGAGAAACTTCTTCTGGAAAAGGAGGTTCGGGTGGGTGATATGCTTCTTTATCTCCCGTATTTTTGTTCTGCCACGAGAGATTTTCCCTAACTGATCCTATTTCAAACAGATTGTAGACAGAGACGGCTGTACACTCACTTTCGCAATTCCTCCGGGTCGACGTGTATTTCTATATAACTCTTCTGAAGTCGACCAAAAATTTACAAACCAAGGTATGCAGACAGAAGCTATCGATACAGCAGCTCATATAGTAAGCAATGCCACTCCACTGGTTAGAAATTTTTCTCAGGAGGACAAACACACGGGCCCCGTTACAGGTTCTGTGTGTTTGGCGAACACGACAAATCTACACCGAGACAGGATCTTAACCAATGAGTCTGAAAATCCGACAATAGACTCTCAACCTATTTCCGACAAGCAGTCTTCTGGTGAACCCGTACGGAGTCCAGGTTTTGTCTGCGCGAATACGCCAGGAAACTCTTTGAACCTAACCGTTGAACCGAAACCCGTAAATATCGATTACGTCAAGTATGGCATGATGCTCCCGGGAATCCATGAGATGGCTTCCGCCGATGCCAGCTTAGAGTTGTCATCAGCAAGAGAGATGCCCCCTCCTCCATATTTGAAAGATGAGACTCAACTTCCAGCAACTACCGCAACGAACAATGGAACTTCTGCCAGTGAGCCGATGGTTGAAGCCGTACCGAAGGAGACGTCGTTAAATGAAACTCCTGGCCTGGAACTTGCGAGCCAGCAGCCGTCCCGCGTACCCAAGTTGTTATATTCTGGTGACTGTGCTACTGACTCTAATTCGGAGGCCACAGCCAATGATAAACAACCGAAGGGTTCAATGGAGCCAGCTCTACCCAGTTCTCACCCTAATGGAATCGCCGCTATCACTGGGAGCACAGTGGAAGCTAACAGCACTGTTGGCGCTTCAGATGAAACAATAGCGGAAGCCACAGGCGAAACCACAACAGACACTGCGCCAGAACCTACATCGGGGCAAACACAAGAATCCATCCCAAAAGACATAATATTCAGTGGAGTCTCCGGACCCGGTCGCCTTGCTAACAAGATCCTACAAATCGACGGGCGTATTACTGAGCCTCCCAACGGAAATGCCTGGAAAGAGTTCCGTTGTTTCAGAAATAACCAAGACATGGGAAGTTTGTGGGAATGCAGGCAGTCGTGGTTCGTGAAAGGGAAATAATAGCATAAGCTAAACTTTGAAAGCTTTTGGCCTTTTCTTCTTCTTTTCTTTGAATTTCCCATGTTCCTGTTCTGGTCCATGGCCGTTCTACTTTCCGGTGTTGCTTTGCCGATGCAACTGGTGATGTCTGCGCCAACTTTTCATCAAATTTCAATTTTCCAAATGCAGTCTTCCATCGCCCTACCGCACTATGGACACATGAGCCTTGATCTGCCATAAGTTGGAAATTACATACTGCGTACTACGTGCCGCCGGAACTCTTTCACCGGTACGCGAACGTCATTTTGCTTTATTTATTTATTCATTATTTTTTTTTTTTAAAAAAAACCTCGCCAATTTTCTTTCTTTCTTTCTTTAGAACTCTCGCGTTCCCAGGAGATCATTTTAAATCGACTACAGGGGTGCGGGGTATAGGATATGTGATATGTACTGGGAAATCCTGGCGTTCTGATTTACAGCTGAAGAATCTGAATTCTGCGTATAAGCAACGACAAAATTTTGCCATTTAGATGCAGTATAGTTATAAACCTCATCAACAATATTTAACTGTACTTCCCAGTTGATGGAAATTACGATACACGGATGGTATATCTTCGTAGCTTCCTCGAAGATTTTGCTTGACGGCTCCGAATATTGATAGGCATATATTAGGTACGTCTAAACACCTAGTTGTGCTCGACAAAGAACACTTTATATGGATACTCATATATATTAAACCATATACGCATACGCTCTCATGAGCAACACTTGTGTTTGTTCCCAGCCCACTTCCGCCTCCAACTTCACCTCGTCCACCACTCGCACTCAGGTTCCCGCATCTGGATCAACACTAATATCTACAGCACTACTACACTCGATGAAATCCTCCAGTTCCTCCGTGACTGTCTTCAACTTCTCTTTCACAGCTGCAACTCCCTCCGCACCCACAATATGTCGAGCAGGCGGGTTCTCATGGCCGCCAATGGACGTGATCGCATGGATGGTTTCTGCGATAAGCACATCCAGATGCGCGGGACTCAGTGGTGGATAAATAGATACCACCGCTGGTGCAGAGAGGGGCCCGTTGGAACCTGAATCGATGTGGACTTCGTCATGGTCCGCTTCGGCTGCTTCCGCTTGCCTGCGCGCGTTAGTGCTTGGATTTGTCTCATTGTTAGTTGGGGGTCTTGTGCAAGTCGATGCAGTTGATGACGAGGATGGAGACAGTGGGGTGCATGGGGGAAACGCCTCAGACGCTTCCTCCGGGGATTGATTGAAGGATCCCTGGAGATTCGGCAGGCGCGAGAGAAGGCCATTCATGATACCGCGGAATAAGGGGGCGTAGTTTGTGGAAGGGGAGTAGGCTGGGAGGATGGGAGGGACGCTGGTGATGAGGTTTGTGAGAATGCCAATTTCGATGCTGCATTGGAGAATGGTGAGGCGGACATTGAAAGGCGCGATTTCGTAGGCGAGGCTCTGTTTGATATTTGTTAGATTTTCCGTCCCTTAAAACTCTTTCTTTCTTTCTTTCTTTCTTTTTCATCGCCATTCATCTCTTCCTCGTCATAGCATTAGCCTCGTTTTGGCCGTGTGGCAAAACGTACATCACAGAAACCCTCCAAGGCCCACCCTGCTGCACAGTAAACTCCTAGCCCAGGGGTACCTATATGGCTGGCTGGTAATAATAATTAGACCATGTTGCCTTTTTATGCCATAAATCGATCTACGTACTGATACCCCCCAGTACGAGGATGTGACCGTTCTTCTGCTTCCTTAATTGGGGTAAAACGGCCTTGATCAAATTTACTGGACCAAAGTAATTGAGTTCAAATTGGTCCTTTACTAGCAATCGGGTCCGTTCGGATGCAGAAAGCTCTTCGACAGTGCCGATTATTGCTGGAGATGTGAGGTTATAAGTCAGTCATATAAATGTTGGTTGATACTGGCACACATAATAAGTACTCAACAGAGGGAAGACGTTCGCAACCACCTACCCTGGCTTGAACAGCATATCAAAATATCAATTCTCCCGAATGCGCTAATGGCCTCTGCAATGATAACTTGGCATTCATTCATTATTCTGCAACAAATATTTGGCCATAAGGAATCAGTCCCACCATTCGTGTAGTATAGATTTTTGGCTCGCTTTCCGACCGAAACAATGCGTCCACCTCTTCAGTTAAATCTTTGGGGACGCAGACCTGATGTCCATGATCACAGGTTTCATCCGCTCCTCCCAGTCTGAACCTTTAGAAGCTAGCTCGTCCAGAAAGGCTTCAAAATCGGCGCCGTGAGGATCTTCCCGTTCGAGGTTCGATTCTGGAACTCCTGCGACGACGATATCGCCATGCGCAAGTAGCTGGCGAGCCAGCGCGATGCCGATGGGTGAGCTTCCCGCTGAAATGACCCAAACCCTTGGCCCATCATGAGCAGGGAAATGAGAAGGCACGGAGGCTTGGGACATGGGGTTGCGCTTTATCTGTGAGTAGAGCTCGACTATGGAGGAACGTGATGGTCCATATCGCTGACCTGCAGCTGAAACAGACGATCTATGGCATTTAATGCAGTGTCCTCATACAGGGTATCAAGCTCCAAATATTCCACAGAGGAAAGAAAGAATCCTATATCTCCACGAAATTGAAACATGGAGCTCGAATGTTATATGCTGGTTCAAGGGAAATACCATGTGACTCCTCATTCGCTCGGCGTTGTTGTGCCGGAGCTCCGACCCCAGCTCGCCTGTTCGTAAGTCATCCATGGATATAAAAAGTCTCTTCTTGTGCTGACGAGGATCCACCCGCCAATGCTTTTGGTATTGCGTCCACCAGCTTATCAACATGTCGGGTCGCAGGCAACAACAAGAAGAGCAAGGCCTAGGTGTAAGCATGCTCTCCTGCTTTCCAAATCATTGGCAATTTATCGTTACTAATCATGTTGGACACAGTCTTTCATGAAGACTGCCCTTCAAGGTTTGGCCTTTTTCGTCGCATCCCAGTTCCTTTTTTCGCAAATACTCGGGACGTCAAAATCAGGACAAAATAGCGGAAATGTCGGTTCTGTTTCTGGGGGAAATGCGGCCATTCCAGCGTTCACGGACCGGCCGGACATCCGTAGCATTCCGAACGCGACTATCGTCCCTTACAAGGTCGCACCGATATGGCCTATGAATAGCTCTGTAGACATCTCCATTTACGTCTCGCCATCTACCAGCATCCCGTCACTGGATGCTCTCCCAGAGGACGCAAAAGTGCTCGAGGAGAAGAATTTTACTATCGGTGATTGGGATGACACTAGGGAAATCGTGACGAGCTTCAAAGTGCCGAAAGAAGTGCAACAGAATGGGACGCTATGGGCGCATTTTTACATGTCGCTTAGTGGACATCCATTGAATCCAAACGACAAGGGCTATAGCTCTGCCAATGCTGTTTACTTCTGTCGCCTTCTGAACCACTATTTGCCTAAAAAGAAAGTGAAGAAGCTAAAAAATCTGCTTAGCGCAGATGAAGCAGAAGAGGATGAGGTACTCCCACAAGGGATTCAAATTGGGTCGTTTTATCACCCTAACTTCACCCTCTCGGTCATCCCGGATACCGGGATTGTTACTTTGCCCTCAATGGCTCCAGCAGCGCGACAATATCTCCAGCTTGAAACAACAGGTGCGAGAGATGCCACTGGCCAGAATGGATGGTATTATCCAATCCTTTTCGTCAATACGTTTTGGCAGTTGAAGAGCCATATGATTGAACTAAATTCCACTGTTGAAACCTTGCCCCTTCATATCACGTTAAAAAACTTGCAGAATTGGAAATTCACACTGCTGGCCAACATTGACGAGAGCACAAAGCAAAATCAAAGACAAGCTGCAAGTGGGGGGCCCTTCCCTGCTGGTGGTGATGGAAGCGAATTCGAAACTTTTAAGGAGATCTTGTTGGACACCAATAGCTATCTTTTGGCTACCACATTCTTCGTCAGCATCCTCCATATGATTTTCGAAGGGCTTGCATTTAAGAATGATATTGTAAGTGTGTCCCTTGTCTAGCCTTATCTCATACATGAAGTGCTATGCAGCTAATATGCAAACAGTCTCACTGGCGTCAGAAGAAAGATTCAGTTGGCACTTCTCTTCGCACCATTCTTGCGAACGTCTTTATGCAAACCGTCATTTTCCTGTACCTTCTCGATAACAGTGAGGGCACCTCTTGGATGATTCTCGGGGGACAAGCTTTTGGCATTGTCCTGGAAGCATGGAAGATCACCAAGACCGTTGATGTTAGACTTCGTCGCCCACGGCCGGGATCGGCTTTCTCGTTTCTGCCATACGTTGTTGTCTTCGAAGATAAACACAAGCTCAGTGAGACAGAACAGAAAACGAAAGAATATGATGAAATAGCTTTTAGGTACCTTTATATGCTCGCGGTCCCATTGCTGGCTGCATATGCAGTTTACAGCCTTATGTATGAAGACCATAAGTCATGGTACTCCTTTGTGATCGAAACCTTGGTGGGCAGCGTCTACGCTTACGGATTCCTTATGATGGTACCCAGCCTCTACATTAACTACCGTTTGAAGGTAAGGATGGCTTTGACTCTAGGTCCATGGAATTCATGTCTTCGTTGCAATCCTGCTAACACCACTTTTCCCAGTCTGTCGCACATATGCCCGGAAAAGCGCTCACGTATAAATTCCTGAATACATTTATCGACGATCTCTTCGCGTTCACCATTAAGATGCCTACTCTCCATAGAATCGCCACACTTAGAGACGATGTTATCTTCTTTATTTGGTTGTATCAGAGCTACAAATACAAGGTTGACTATACCCGTGTCAATGAATTTGGTCAGGGTGGAGAGGCGGAAGAAAATGAAGAAACCAAAGCCGAAGAACAACCAAAGTCTCTCAAGGACTCTGAACCTGTTACTGCTTCAGAGCCTGAAACAAGTACATTAGGAACTAAAACAAAAACGGAATCTGTTCGCAAGCGGAAGTAAACTCGATTCTTCCAGGGCTGGACAAGGAAGGGTTGCAGTGGAATTGAGATACAAGAGTTGGATCATAGAATATTTATTCCTCTCTTGACTGATTTTTTAAATTGGATAGAGGTACTACATATGAATTTTACTGCCATTGTAGACCAAACAAATTTATCTCAAGTTCCCTAGTTATCATCGCATTCCGGTCATGTGATATCGTGTCAAGATTCTACACTCAAGAAAACGTCCATGTCATTTTCAATAATACTCAACAAAACATTTGGCTTATATCAAAATTATGATCAGAGCTCCTCTCAGCTAATTCGATTCCATCTATGCCCTCCCGGGTCGATGTATGTTTCTTTGCTGATTGCCATCGCCACATCAACATTCGTAACGCGTTAACGCGTCGCAAACATTGCGCTGCATCGTAGGAGTACTGAGCCTGATAGGAGAATTCGTTCATTCAAGTGTACATTTCCCGAAAATGTAACTGCACAAACACTTGAAAAAGAGGATTTTGTCTGCAATTGGCGATTGCATTCTTTCTATTTCCAGCTTGACTTCGAGAAATTGGAAAAGACTGCGAACTTGAATAATATATTCGAACCGTCCAGGGTATTTAATCCTCCAGGAAAATATAGAACATCCAGGTTATTCTAAAGAGCGCGGCTCGGGGGGTGCATCAAGGTGAGATATTGTTTCTGTAAACCTTTGTTGGTTGTGTACATGTCAGATTCGATATCTAATATAGTTAGATTCTATAGCCAGAAAATGGAGGACGCAATTGAGCAGCTGGAAAATGGTAACAACACGAGCAAAACCGTCCATTTCATGCATGAAAAACAGATAGCTGACATGCCCACACAGTTGCCTCCATCTCACCAAAGCAGCGACACACCAGCGTCGCCGACCTCGCGAAATCGATTGCGTCCAATGCTTACGAGTCAGGCATTCCAACTCACCTGCTGGAACGTCTAATTACTATCATCTCAAAATCCAAACATCTAGACCAAAGTACCATCACGACTATAGTCAAAAATCTCTACCCATCCGAGCGTGTGCGCCCTCGCACCGTCTCAATGGTCATCTCCTGCTTCGGACCAAGCAGAAACAAGCCATCGCCTGCAACCCAGGCCCTATTGCTCCGTTGGCTAATTCTAGTGTACGATGATATGGATGATCAATCGTATTTGTCAAGATTCTATGGTGTCTTGTTTAATTTCCTGGACATGATCAGTCTACGCAGGTCACTATGTCATCTCCTGTCGTTAATCTCGCGTAGGAAACACATAAAACCGTTCCGCATCCAGGCGCTAATGGAACTAATGAGAAACACCGGTGGTGAAGAGCGGGAGCTTCTAGGCCTGATGAAGGTTTTCAAGAGCTATTACCCCGACATAATTATCGGGGATACCTACGCGTCAACGGGGCGAGCAACTTATTTCTTCAAACATCCCGATCCGGAGTGGGTCAAGCAGATGAGACATGTTCAGGAGAGAACTGCTGCTGCTGGAATGACAAATCCTGGTCAAAACGTTCCTCAGACGTTTCAAGTTGTGCGGCGCGGTGAGGTGAAGAGGAGTCGAATTGAGGTTGTTATCCCTGTCGTGCAGACGTCGCGGGTCAAGAGCGACTTCACGTCACTGGAGGAAATACGAAGTGCAAATGATTTCGTGCAGAAATTGGACAGGATCGAGATGCCCAACCAAGTTGCTGCTGCGTTAGCGGATCCGCTTGCGCAAAGGTATTTGGTGTTCGTCAGGAATGAAGGGGCGACGCGGCGGTTGGAGAGTTGGTTGGATAGCTTTTTCGAGGACGAAGTGGCTAGAATACAGGCAAGGGAGGAAGGAGATGACGAGGGGAATGACCCAGAGCATCTTGAATATGTGCTTGATGTCCTTATTGGGTTTGTGCGGTTTACAAAAGTGGGTCTATTAAGCTTCTCTTCCAGCTCCAGCTTCTTGGAATTGTTTATATTGACTCCGTTTTCCCGCAGAGCATGCCTCAAGCTGTGGATAAGTTTTTGCGCAAGTACCTCCTCTCCTGGAACGGTCATGACAGCCGAACTGCCATCCTGTCGCTCCTGGAGTATATACCCATACAGGACTACAATACCCTTCGACAAAATTACTTCATTCCACTAGAAAAGGCTATTCTAACTGATCAACGCGAAACGAAAATTCTTATACTTCAATACTATTCGTCTTTAATCCAACACTGGGGTTCTGTAATCCGCGCCACTCCCTCTCTGTTCCCTGTACCTCCTCTGCCCCAGGTCATTGGCAGGGCGGAACTCCTTGCCCTAACTATCCTTGAGAGTCCGCAGGGACCCAAGGGGAACGGAACGAATCCAAAGATATCCGGGACATTGGCGGTACTTCGCTTTTATACCGATCTTGCAGAGCTTTTCCATCATGCGTCCACGAATGGCAACATACGCATCGTGGTCCCGCAACCTCAATTAATATATATGCTTACGTTCACACCGACCCTAAGCCATCTATCGACGATATGTTCTGTTTTGGCGATGTTTAAACAGTCCTTTGAAACCTCACTCAAATCACCTACACTGCAAAGCAACGGATCGCTCGAACAATCATATCCAACAGAAGTAGTTTCTCGGTTTAATGGTTACGTGATTGATATTTGCAATCTGTTGTGGCGAAACAGAGGTTTAAACTCGGACGATCCTAATGCCTTGGGCTGCATTATTCCAGCTTTAACGGTAAACAAGCTTTCGCAGTATATGCAGGCGCTCAATGAAAGGCCAAGTGGTGGCGGTGAAGAGCACAAATATCAAATTTCCTCTGTATTCTCATTAAGTCAAAATGTCGCATTTTGCAATGTCTCCTCTGCGTGTTTTAGGGGGATTGAAGAGTCGATAGTAAACACCCCAGGGAAATCCTTGTCCGTGACACTGACACGGCCCGTGACGCAAAAGGCACTAGCTGCGCTACATAAAGACGGAGGGATAAGGATAAACTGGCAAGAGTACAGATTAAGGATGCTTGAATGGTTGGACGGAATAGGTGCGGAAGGTGTTGGGAATCTGATGAGGAGTACAATGAAAGCACTGCGGTAGTAGTATACCTGATAATGATATATTGTACATTGGGTTTGAGCTTTCTGCATTTTCTTTTCTTTTCTTTTTATACTATAGTTGAATTGGTATATATATCCTGGACACTGGAGTCCTCTCGAATGGTATTAAGGATATCCTCGATTTTATCAGCATCTTCTCCCGATTGTAGTTCCACAATCGTATCCTTATTTGGGTCCCAAATAATGTCGGCAGTCTCGATTTTCAATCCAGTTACTGCTGAAAGTTTGTCACCAACGGACTTTGTATCTGCATGTTCTGTGAATACTCTCAGTCGACCTTGATCGTCCATGTCTACATCGATCGCCCCAGCATCAATGGCTTGCTCTAGGTGGTCGTCTACATTCAATCCCTCGACCTTCTCAAACACAATTCTGCCTTTCTTCTCAAATAGATAGCTCGTCGGCGTAACTGTTCCCCCATGATGTTTAATCAAAAAGCGGATATCTTGCAGTGTCCGCGCCTTCTGATCCGTCATACATTCGATCACGACAGCAACTGATGATGGTAGAAGGGCTTCTATCGTTACCGGTTCGAGAGTCGCACCCGTAGACGATATGCCTTGACCCCGTGCAATAGCAGCTTCGATTGTACTCTTTGACATTCCGCTTCGTTTCGCTTTGCTGATAACAAGAGCGAGCCGTGCATTTGAGGCCGGGTCGGGTCCAAATACTTTGCAGATGGTTAGTATATAAGGGACATGCAGAAAGGGGAAAAAAAAAAAACCCTTAAGAACTTAACCTACACTTCGACGCATTGATTAAATCTCTGGCGTGGAGAACGCGCTCCTTGCTCTTTGCCGCATCGTTTTTACCCTTGTCGTGCTTTATTGTTGACCAACGGCTGTGGCCGGCCTGCACGATGGTGGAGGAACTCAGGGCTCGACAGCTCTCGCACACCCAAGGGCGCAGACTCCGAGGCCCTCCCAAGAGTCTCAATCCAAGTGCTGAAGCCATGGAATCTATGGTAGCTATGCCGAAGTGCAATGGCAATAGGGATTTCAACTATCACAGTTTGAAGCCTCGTTCACCAGGATGGACTCGGCCCGACTGTTGATCCGAGCTTGCTGGATCGGGCATCTCCAACGCGAAGTTTGGGGAAAGACGACCGAGTTTAGAATACCTTGAAAACATTCAGTCCGCGCATATTGCCAATGTGCCTGGAAGCATTCCTATGAGGCACCAGCGCCAATGTCTGCTCCTGAAGCCGCTGCATCTGCGGGGCAAGACAATGCGGATTCCCACGCCGAACTAAATGTGTCCAAGCTTCATTCTCTCCCCTCCGAGCAGCAAGACCTGTACCTCCTGAGGTTTACCGCGGATCTCGTTCAATATGCTGCAACACTCGATAAAGTAGGCCTATCTTCCAAACAAAGGTCAATCATCCAGGAACTCTTTAAAATATTGAAGCTCCCATCGCCCAGCCCTACTAGAGTGATACGAAATAATATTGGCCGATGCTTCAACGCCATCTTCAGCAAGGGCGACCGAAGCACGCTCTATGACAGTGTCACACAGCTTTTGGGGATACTCAATGCAGGAAAGAGTGATTGGGAGCTGAAGACTAAGCATGCGGCAGCTGTCGCGATAGGCGATATCTATGCGAGTGCTGGAGACAGTCTGTTCACACAGTCAAGTGTCGTCTGTTCTGCCCTGTTGAGGCTATTCAAGTCGGCCCAAAACCATGCAGGGTTGAGAATTTCATTATATACGGCCTTGAAAAAGGTGATTGGAGGGATCAGCTCACCCGCGGATGAGCAGACAGCGAAGGATATCTGGAAGCATGCTCGAAATACAGCCACGAACGACAAGGCCATCGCCGCCCAAGTGAGTGCCTGTTATTGCCTTGAGCAGTTGATTAAGAGCACACCATATTTTGGAACTCTAGCCGATTTTGAGAACCTCAAAGCTACAGTTTGGAAAGTGATTGACAGCCCCAGTCCCTCCGTAAGGCATGCAGCCGCCTCATGCCTTGCGGCCTTTCTGATCAAAGCTCACGCAAATGGAAACCAGGCGCAGGAAGTGCCGACCATTCGACGGCCCAAAAAGCAACCAAAGAAACAGACAACTTCCCCTGACGGTGATGGAGTACCTGAGCGAGCGCAATCGCCGCAACCCCCTGCAGGCCGAAAAGTGGACCTTCATATTTCGTTCAAACTCCCTGAGCTTTTAAAACAACTTTCTTTGCAGTACTGCCGAAGCTCAACAGGCAACCGTGCAAGGGCAGGAATTTGTATGTGTTATAAGCAGATCCTCAGAGGTCTCGGTAATGCCTTTGTTGAAGAGCATTATGCGGAAATTGCCGGTCATTTTCTAGTTACCCTATTAAGCCACCCAACCATAACTTACAATCGGTACCGACTCCTGATGACCAGGCAATTTATCAGGAACTTGCTGGAGGATACTGTGGGCTGTGAGATACTTCGCGAAAACAGTCGAATTAACGCCGCCAAATGGCTGGTTAATGGCGTGCTCAAAGATTATCCGAAAGTAGTCCAAGAGCGACCCGAACCAAGCAAGTACACTTTAACATGCACCCTGAGTGCATTGTCTGCCATTATATCCTCGTTAGGCTCTGCCATCGCGATTATCGGAGACAGCTGTCGTGATGCGCTACTCCAAATACTCCAGCATCCTAGTTACACCGTTCAAATACACACTGCCAGGTGTTTGCGCAACTTTGTCCTTGCTTGTCCTCAGCAACTCCTCTTTTGTGTGACTGTCTGCATGAATAGCCTCAACAGAGAGATTGGTCAGCTATCCACTCCACGACATTCCAATAGACGATGCCTTGGATATGCCCACGGTTTAGCGTCTATGCTAAGTACCTCTCGACTGCAGCCACTGTATGGCTCCGTCGATGTATACGCACGGGTCCTATCACGAGCTACAGATCTCCTAAAAACAAGTAGTAGCTTGGAATTGAGAATTGCAAGCACACAAATACAGGTTGCATGGATTTTAATTGGAGGTCTAATGCCGCTTGGACCTAGCTTCACTAAAATACACCTCAACCAGCTACTCCTGTTATGGAAAAATGCACTTCCAAAACCGTTGCCTAAAGATAACCTGGCTCAACGCGGTCCTCTGGAGATGAGTTTTCTGGCCCACGTCCGAGAATGCGCCCTCGGTTCAATCTACGTTTTTTTAGAGTTTAATAGCAACCTCGTAACAGCAGACGGATCAAGACGTATTGCTGCAATGCTTCAGAATACGGTGATGTTTTTGGACAACCTACCCAAACTCAAATCCGCGGAAGATTTATCTCAACGGCTATCGCCCTCGCTACAATTAAAGGATTTCGCTACAATGATTCGTCGACGTGTATTGCAGTGTTTTTCCAAGATAGTCAATGTAGACCATGCGAATTCAGAAGTTCTTTCTTTGCCGAATATCTTAGGTCTGGCAATCTCATCATTTGCTGATCCAGAGGTTGTCTCGGCAAATCCATTTGATACATCCATTGCTAGTTCGACTACTCACTTCGATAACATATGGGATCTTGACGATAATTTTGGATTTGGTGTAACCGGTTTAGCACATGAGTATGTTGTCGAGATCATCTCTGGGCGTCGCAAAGGAGATAACTCGCCCGGTTGGATAGCAGTGGAATTGTCTGACCAAGCAATTGACCATATCGTAAGCTTTGAACCAAATATCTCGGCGAATGCAATTCTAACTGCTCTCTGTAGTTATTGTCCCCTACATGCCAAGCAATGGAGCATGACTCTGTACTCCTCTATTCGGTGATTGATCGAGATGGCGGCTCGTACTCGGACCCTTCCGACACTGAAGTTGTAAATGCTGCAATAGATTTATTTGCGAAGGCGTTGCCATTACAATCCCCCAAGGTTCAGGAAAGTAGTGTAGAGCAAATAGCCACATTACTCTCTGCCCAAAGTCTAAACCGCAACCCTGGGCGAAGATCAGCCATGACCGTCAATATTGCTGTGGCCCTGCTCCTTACTCTTAAAATTGCCGTGAAGGAGACCCCATCGGCGCCTGGGAGCTTGAGATATCCGGCAACTGAGAAGGTTATGCAGGAGCTTATTCAGGTAAGCCGATCGTTCCGCACAATGATTTATATATACTAAGGATGAGTAGACATTTGCTATCCACGCCGATCCTATTGTACGGTATATAGGATCCGAAGCGCTAGGATTGTTATGCAATAGCTCCGGCAATGCCTTTACGAATAGCCAAATCAATTCCCTAGTCGATTTGATTGTCGAAAACCGAGATCCTAGCACGCGTGCTGGGTGTGCAACTGCTCTAGGTTGTATTCACTCTCAAGTTGGTGGCATGGCAGCTGGTTTCCATTTGAAAACCATTGTGGGCGTCCTCATGTCGCTCTGTAGCGATCCACATCCGATAGTTCATTTTTGGGCATTAGAAGGCGTAGGGCGAGTGGCAGAATCTGCAGGTTTGACATTTTCAGCCTACGTGTCAAGCACCCTCGGCATGCTTGCTAGGTTGTATATAGCCGATACCCATAACGAAGAGGCCTCGTCAGTGACAACATCCAATCTGGAAGCCGCATTTCCCACTCCTGTATCTATTAGCCGTTGTGTTGATTCGTTGATCAACGTGCTTGGTCCGGATTTACGGGATATTTCAAAAACTCGAGAACTAATTTTCACACTCGTCAAGGAATTTCAGCTTGAAAAGTCAACAGCCTTGGTAGTAGAAAGCTCTAAATGTTTGGACCATTTATCTTTATATGCCCCAAGCCACTTGGACTTCTCAGCCTATGTTCGATGGCTTCAACAAGAACTTGCATCCAAAAAAGCGTCCATGCAGGATGCCTCTATTCGAGGTTTCAACAACTTGATGAAAAGGGATGCCGATTTGGTTGTTCGGACTGCCTTGCCAAGTCTTGAGGATGAATTTTGGCTCGCCTTTGACACTGCGACGGATAACGAAGCGTTAAAAAACATTATCCACAATTGGATGCAGCAAACTGGGCTCACGGATACAGATGTTTGGATACAACGGTTTCAGAAAGTCCTCACGAAGACACGATCGAAACAACACGATGTTCCTCAACCCGCCACGGTCAATACCGCTCCTATTCATGATATTGCAGACGACGAAGTAGCGGGATTTGCTGCAGCCGTTGGAGGGGAGCCCGGCGAACCAGCCAACGAGTCTTCCTCTGGTCAGGAACTGCTAAGGTGGCAAACCAGAAATTTCGTTATGAGTTGCTTAAGTGAGCTTTTGTCCATGGTCAGCAAAGAACTATTGCCCGATCAAACAATCCCCGCGGAAATGGCCCTGCAAGAAAGAGTTGGCGATATCATTCGAATGGCGTTTTCTGCATCAACTGCCAATGTCATCGAACTTCGAGTTTGGGGTTTGAAGATAATTGATCAAATATTGAAGGTTGGTGACCTCTGATTTTCAATCTTGCTCAGTATCTGCTAAAAGCGAAAATTATTTAGATGTTTGGCAAAACGCCAGATCCCGATTTTGCAGAAGCGTCACTCTTGGAACAATATCAAGCTCAGATTAGCTCCGCATTAACTCCCGCATTTGCAGCGGACTCGTCATCTGAGTTAGCCTCGGAGGCGATTAATGTTTGCGCAACCTTCGTTGGTACTGGAATCGTAACTAACGTGGATCGCATGGGTCGTATTTTCAAACTGCTAGTTGTTGGCCTCGACAACTTTGCGAGTATGTGTGTTTCCATCCCATAGCAGCTGAGAACTATGCTAATCGTCCTTTCATTCCTCAGACAGGAATGACGCCACAGAGATCGGTGATCTCAATGGGCTTAATTATAATGCGCGTGTTATGGTGAAGCTTGCGCTCTTCTCTGCTTGGGCTAAATTACAGATAGCAAGCAACGACCAGAATTGGCTGGCTCAGATTGTGCAACCGTATACCGCTATTCTCACTCCGCTTTGGCTTGCCTCCCTCCAGGAATTTGCACGCCTCAGATTTGAACCAGAAATATCCAGCACTCTTGGCCCTAGCGTGTCTGACAATCTGGACGAAGTGTATGCAGCATTGAACCGGGAAACATTATTGAAGGTATGCATTCCGGCTCTGCCATGTCTTGCTCTACACCACTGACATTTATGTTCGATTAGTTTTATCAAGATTCCTGGCTGAATTTTGTTGATGCGATCGCTAGTTTGGTTGAGAAAGATAGCGATTTTGTTTTTGATGCCCTCGACGGGAAACTCGAACCGTCAAAAGAAGTAGTAACTCCGGATAAACCCCAAGCAAATGGCGAGAAGGATAAAGGAACCCATATAAACTATCGTGACGAACCGGTCGCCTTCTTTTTCATTCTCTTTGGCCTTGCCTTCGAGGCCCTTGTTACTCAAAGCCATGAACAATCAAATCAGTCACTGGAAATCCTGCGAGCCTTGCGAAAAATCCTGCATCCATCTGTTGCAGGAAATGCAGTGTACCAACCCGCTGTATTTTCTGAAACAATGGATACGTTGGACAGATTAGTGATGACCGAAGGTTCCAGTGTGCAAACAGTCATTGTCCAAATGGCACGAGATCTGGCTCTGCACCATCACTCTGCGCTCAACAACCAGCCTCGCTCTGACAATCTATCGGACGATATTGAGCAACTTTTCGAACTCACACGAAACATTACTCTTGTTCTTACAGGGCTCCTACCCAATTTCGGTGAATCTCCAACACACACTCGTTTTTATGTATCCGATGAAGCGGCGTCCCTTATTACACTATCCCTCTCCTCGCTTGTCGATGTCACCTCTGTTTTCCCCTCCATCATCCGCGCCGATCTCCGCGCCTGTATCCTCCATATCTTCACCACAATCCTGGCCACAGGCATCTGCCAAGCCGAAGTGGTCCCCCAAGCTCTCCCCATATTTCGCCGTTTCATCCAGGGCATCACCCGCCCATCAATGTCAACCGCTACTCCCCCTACACTCACCAACTCCAACTCCACAGCCTCACCTCCTCCCGCAGAAGCCCCGGAAATTGTCTCTCGTCAAATTCGCGGTTGCATCTCCCGTCTTCTCCACACCCTCACAATTGCCCAGCGCCGCGAATCTGAGACCTCCCTCCCTTGCGCCAAAAACACACTTTTATCCCTAACCATCATACTGACAACAAGCAGCCATGTAATTCCACCCCAAGATCCCTTAATCCCTCGCATACTGTCCGAGTTTCTCGATTGTTTACAAGACTTGGGCCTCGCTACCGTCGCTGCGGGTTGCCTCCGCTCCATCCTTCTCAGCCCATCCCCCCAGACTACTCGCTCCCCGACAGACGACGCTATAGCTCGTTTCCTCCTCCCACGACTCATCGCATTCATCATGAGCCTTCCCACTAACGAACTTCAGGCACCTGTCGACCCCGAAAATGTCAAGGGAACTGTCACCCTTACGCTCGCCTCCTTTATTGGGTTAGGGACAATTGCGCCAGCGAATGTGCCGATGGCAATGGCTCTACTTATCCCGGCGCTTCTGATGCGCGCTAGGAATGAAGGGGAAGGCACTTATAAGGAAATAGCTGCTGCGCTTCTTGAGCTAGCAAAGGTCGATGCACAGACATTTAGGGGTATGGTGACCCGGATGGATGCTGAGCAACGATCATTTACAGAGGAGATTCTGAGAAAGGGGGGAATTGGGGGTGGAGGCGGGAAACAAGGCAATGATGGTGCTGAAGGAGCAGATGGTGAAGAACAAAATGTGCCGAGCATTGCATTGCGGATGGACTTTTAGACTTCCTTTGCTTGACTTTGGATGTGATGTGCAGGTCTAGTTGACTCAATCGCGAACTTATTACGTCCATAGTCTATTTGAACGCTTATATACCTCATCGCGCTTATGCGACAATTCTTAAATAAAATTCCGTAACCAACCTTTCCATCTGGCATGTGGGACTCGAAAATTCCTCCACCTTTCGAGGAATTAATAATTCTATATACCATTTGAATAATTAATTGCGGTATAGAGTGTTCCAAAATGGATGCGCGAGCAGACGACTGATAGAAATCTAACGTTCTAGCAAGTTCATCATCAACCAGGGAAGCAAAGGGGAAAATATCTAGGGGCGGATAAAAAAGAATGTGTGTTAGAATTATATGCAAGAAAAGGTTAGTTTGTATATGAGCTTTCTGCCTCCTTCGGGTCTTATCCAATCGGCTCCACGACCATTGACGCTGGATGAGCAACAGGTGGCAATGGCTGATCAGACGCAGGATGGCTAATCACTTTCACCTCAGCAGCAGCGGCTTTTGCAGCGGTTTCTTTTTCGCGCTGTTTATACGAAAAATACCTGAGAGCGAGGATGATCATGGCTAATTTAGGAAACCAGTCAGTATGGGAGTCAAAAGCTAGGACGATTTTTTTAAGGAAAAGAAGAAGAAGAAGAAGAAGAAGAAGAAGAAGAGATGAAAAAGGCGTGGGATGAGGCAAAAAGGGAACTGACTGGCACTTGTGGCAATAGCCAAAGCGGCCCTCCTCGTCAAAATCCACCGTAACCCCTCAACCTCGCTCTTCCCATCACTATTCAGCGACACCGTGATCTGATAGTTCAATTCTTGGATCGCCGTATCCAGTGAGCGTTGTAGTTCTCTCGTCGAAATTTTTTGATCATCGAACATTTCCTTCAAGTCATCTTTCAACCCTGCCAGTTCCTGCGTCATGCGTTGCGTCAAGATATCCAACTCGTGCTGCAGCTGGGCACGTTGTGAGCGCTGAGCCTGTATGGCTGCATTTCGGGAGGTCTGAAGGGAGTTTCGAAGCTCCGAACATGCGGCCTGAAAAAGATACGTCTCGTTTTCCACGTCGGATTTGGATATGAGGCCCTTCCGCGCCAGCTCCAAATTGTCAGCCAATAAGCCACGTATTGCCTTCATAATGGAGACGGATTGCTCCTCTGTAAAACCAGAACGACCGAGATCTTTCACCAAGGAATAGGTATCGAAGTGGTGTACGTATGGGTGTGGACTCAGATGAGGAGGTTTATGGTGTTGAGAATCACCCAACAACATAGATTCAGACGGAGGCTCACCCGTGGGTGATGACGAAGAAATGGGCACCGGCATTTGAAATACAAAATCCTGAGGACCCTTCGATGGGTCAACTTTTTCTTCGTCTGCCGCAGCTCCGGTGTCCGTCCTCTGCACCGGGTGGCTTGCTACATTGTCCTGCGAAAGTAACTCGGCTGATATGTTCGTTGCGGAGGCGGAGATTGCGGATGAGGAGGGCGAGGACTTCTTGGATCTAGGATCGTATTTAGCTTCTTTCCCCGCATCTTTTACATCCTTTGGCTCAGACTCATTAGTCCTCTTGTTGTTCTTGCCCGAACCGGTTTGGCTAGCCTCTGGTGCAGCTTTATCCGTTGGCTTCGGGGGGGGAGGCATTCGGGGTTCTGCAGCCTGTCCATATCGCTGGTGGAATGGTTCTGCATCATTGCGTTGGCTGGTGTGAAAGGATGAGTATAACCCTGAGGTTTGGTGTGGTGGGGGGAGTCTTATCGAGCGATAAGTTGTCGGCTCACAGGCCCTTACTGAACGCAGTAGGTTCGGATACAGGAAAGGGAGTCTTAGAGCTGCCATGCCAGCTCCTTGTTGTTATCCAATATAAGATAATAGATCTCACGTTTTTTTATAACTATTGCATGGAGGAAATGAATTTTGAAAGGAGACATCAGAGCTGACATAAGCGGGATGATGCATGGGGTCATGTGATGTCCTTACTCTACCTAGGCACAGTGCGAATGGAAGCAGCCTCAAGGAGAAAGACAGGACACACATCGTACCATTAGGTCCAGATGACCCTGATCTTTAAATGGATAGATGGACAGGTATTGTTAGCACAAATTCATTTATTACGTGCAGTAAAATAGAATGACATTATATCAACAGTCCAAATAAGAGCTGAGTTTGCTTCCAGTACTCATGTGCTCTGCTCTCGAGAATAGCTAACTCTGTATCACCATCCAGCTCAATATCCTTTTTCACCAGCTCGACAATAGAGGAAATTTCATCTTCTGCTTGGGGCCGACCGGTATTCCGCATAGATAGCGCTTTCCCTAGATAAAACACATCAAATACAAGCTGAATTTTGCGGTCTCGTAAGACCTCGGGACAACAAACATCTGCCTGTGTTGTTGCCTTGTGGGTGGATTCTGTCACAGTAGCTTCTGTGGAATCGTCGCCGTTGGGAGTTTCGCTAGTAGGCTGCTGCTCATTTTGTATAAGGCGTCCGGCATCTGAACGAGCGTTATGGGTGCTCTTTTCAAAATCAAGGGAAATGCATGACGATATCGTTTGACGGAGTTTATTTTTCAACATATCCACAGCTGAAGGGTTCCAAAGGTCGGGGCCTTGTCGCTCCATCGCCGTGGCCAGTCTCCGTAACAACCTAAAAGCCACTGGGGATGGCTGAATGGGTAGCGGAGGGTTACCTTCCCAGAGCGCGCGACCAGCACATCCTGCTCCCTGAGGCTTCCCAAGAGCTCGGATGATAGCATATGGCGAAACTTGAGAGCCCACTTCAGCAGCTAGTATGTCGTGTAATTTTGGAACAAGGTCATCAGCAAATAGGTGATCTTGAGCAGAAAGTGACCTGGGGATACGCTCTCGAATTTCTCGAATAACTCGTAGTATAAAAGCTGCTTGTCTCCCACAGTGCGACCCGGTCATGTTCTCCAGGGCGCTGTGTAGCGATGTTTGTAGCGCTTCGAAACTGTTAATCAAGGTAGCTTCGTATTCCTTCTGGAGAAGGTCGGGGTCATCCTTGTTCAAAATCCGAATGGTTTTTTGCAGAACCTCTTCATCTTCTTCATCTTCAATGATATCCTCCCATCTGATCTTTTTGAGCTCGTCGATCATGTCTTTGCATTCTTCAACACCAAACAGCCAAGTAGTATAGGATCTCGATATCCTCAGTACATTAATATCTCTGCCTCGAGACCTGTTAATGATCTCGTGTTTGAAGTTAGTGGCTCCTCCTGAAAAATCCAGGAACACAATATCCGGATCCCAGAGTGATGGAGTGGGGATTTGTTCTTCAATCTCACTCCAGCTAGTAATTGTGGATGAGATCTCAAGCCCAACCAAAGTCAATCCCTTAGCTTGCGCGTGAAGAGTGGAAATAAGTTGTTTGTTCACGGTGCCACGGATGCCCTGAAGTATCTCCACCGACGAATGGCATGCCGTGGAGCTTTGGACTGGTAACCAAATGTCCAATAGGTTTCTGCGAAGCAGTAAGACCTCTTTCAAATTCTGAGATCGCTCTAAATTCTTGCTCAACCCGCTAGCGAACGTTCCAAACGCCTGTTTCGACCAGTCCTTTATTGTTTTTTCAGCCTCCAATTCGGATAAAGGAGTATGTTTCACCCATGGCGTAAAATTCCTAATGTCGTTGGCGACCCATTGATGAAAGATGTCAATGGCCAGCCCATCTAAATTTCGTACCTCAAGGTCATCGAGGATTGGGAGAGCGGTTAGTTTTCTAAGCGCATCCGATAGACTGCCGGAGACTAGCTCTGACGCGTTTTGTAAGGTCTGAATAAAAAGCTTCAAGCTCTTTTCAATATTTGTGAAGTTTGGGTCTTCTCGCAAGAGCATGGACTGTAGCGCATCGAAACGGACTTGCTGAAAATGACGTAGTACATCAGTAGAAGAGGAACTGGTCGCTAGGCAATAAGCTGACATTGTCTCGATTATTTCTGGGGTTGAATACTTGGGAGAGGCTAGCCTGCATTCGATGCGTTTGAGTAGGCTGCGACGGAGAGCCGCCAACTGACTTCGGAGGTTTTCAAGGAAGATGGGAGCACGACTGTTTTGAGAAAGGGTCTTGTGAAGAAGTCGCGATATCACCAGGAGCTTTGCGATCAAGAGGTTCGAACTATGTTTCCGGAACAATCTATAACTGGCGGATGTGCATCTATGCAGCAGGGCCAATTGCGCGGCAATTGCTCTCTCATCTACACCTACAACTAACACGTTAACTACACAGAAAATGCAAAAATGTAGCCGATGCCGTGCTTGGTGGTGGTATGCGAACCTTCATCCATGACAGCGACATCCAACTTCTTCTCGACCAGCCGGGGATTGCATCTCCTACTAATGTTGGATAGCTTCGTCTCGACCTCCTGTATCTCGTCGTTCATTTCGACAATAGTCTGCGCGGTGCCTAGAAGTTCTCGATATCTCACGCTAATATGCAGAAAAAGGGAATTAGCAAATTGATAATATCAGCGTAGAATCAAATCTTACCCGACAAGAGAACGCAACTTGTCCTTGTTGCTGGCAACGTCGCGACGGAGGTCTTGTTCGAACCGCCGAACGGTGGGGATTGGGTGTTGAAACGCCTCCTGCCATGATTGAAGGCTATTGGCATCTGCAACATCTGTAGTCATGCTTTACGAACGGAAGCCAGTGGTCAGGTCGCTGGCTCCGGGTGGGAGATGCAGCTGATGAGAGAGTGCAAAAGAACTTGAATTGTTGAGCTCATTAATCCGCAATCTTCAAACATCGCTTGGTCCGTGCATGGCTAACTAAATAAATACCAGAAAGACTTCAGCCAAATGCTTCAGACAAGTGAGATCTACGACACATACCGGGGGTTATCAAGGAATTCCAGTTTAGAGTAAATGCTCCAAACCCGATCAGTTATACCAACTCAGCACGGTATCAATTCGAACGTCGACTTACGCTCCAGATGAAGGCCTGGTTAGGGTTTAGGGCTAAATGCTGCCTATGCGTCATCCAAACGCCGCCGCAACTGAAATGAGTCAAACTTCAACTTTACGAAAAGCAGTTTTGCGCGACAGCCCACCAAATATAGTTACTAATAATGAACCTATTTCGTGCTGTTGACTTGCGCCAGTAGCATTTCCATTTCCGACAACAAAATTTGTTCGATATTTTCAGTTCAGTCAATCGTACACCTCTTCTGGAACCGAATGGCGGGCGACAACAATACCCCTCTTGCAAGCTCCAGCGAGTTGCCATTCCCCACTCTCAAGAAGTCGCATATTCTACACTGCTCCTACCATTACTGGCATCCAAAGTACGTTGCTATCCTATAAATCCAAGGATCGTTTATTCATATGTCATTCCCGGAGGTTACTCGACGATGCCACTGACACGGCTCTTCGGGTGATGTAGATACCGCTCCGTGACCCCGAAAGCTCGCCTCATTCCCCTAAATGCTGCATTCCTCAACTATCTCCGCGCGGACGGAATCATTTTACCACCGCAAGACGAAAATCCCCCAGGCGCCGATGACGACAGTGGCATCTATTCCCTATCTGATGGTTCTGATTCGGACGATGACGATGTGGACCCTTCCATACAATGGCAAGAGATACACGCGCAGATAAAAGCGACAATAGAGGAGCTGGGCGGGAAGGTAGCTCCGAAGCTCAACTGGAGTGCCCCTAAAGACGCTACCTGGATATCCGCGACAAACGACATGCAATGCAGAACTCCGAATGATATATACCTGCTATTAAAAAGCAGCGATTTCGTGACTCATGATCTGGAGCATGCTTTCGACGGATGCGTATCAGACACAGAAGAGGAAAGCGATGGAGAGGTGGAGGTGGAGGTGGAAGAGGGGAAGGAAAAGGAGCAAAAACAAGCAGAACAATCCCGCATCCCTTACCACCTAGTCCTACGCAAATACATAACCCTAAACCCCTCCCTTGAATTCCGTTGCTTCGTCCGAGACAGGAAGCTCCTCTGTCTCTGCCAGCGCGACCTTAATCACTTCAACTTCCTCTTCGGCCTTCGCGATAACCTTCGCGACAAAATCCAAACGTTCTTTGATATCAGACTGCGCGACACATTTCCGGACCCAGATTTTGTGTTTGATGTCTACGTACCCCCGCCGCACAATCGTGTGTGGCTGATGGATATTAACCCTTTCGCACTCCGGACTGATCCCCTGCTTTTCTCGTGGTTGGAGATTTTGAATTTGAAGGTTCCGAGTTGCGACGACGATGAGGAGAGTGATACGGTGCGGGTTGAAATGTGCCGGGGTGGTGAAGAGAGAGGTACAGAAAATAGAATCGGTGATGACGAGAGTGAAGGTGGTGATGCGGATGACCACGATGATGCAACTACGTTCTCTTTCGTTCCCGAATTCCGCCTTGTGGAACACGACGATCCGGAAGCGTATGGCTTCGCGACACCACGATATTCGGCGCATAAGTTGCCTAGGGACGTAGTGGATGCATCGAGGAGTGGTCCTGGAGGAATGAGCGAGTTCCTTGGTCAATGGCAGGACATCCTTGCGAAAAGGATACAAGAGGATGAGGAGGCGGAGCTTGATGTTACGAGAGCTAATGTGGATGGCGGTTAAGATTTGAGATTACCATGTCATGAATAACTAAAAAAGCCGTTTTTATTCTCCCTCATTATTATTATTACAGTTTTCTTTGTTTCTTAGTGCATGGTATGCCGAGTATTTAGGACCGGGTAATGAGCAGTGGAGGCAAGGAGAATGTCATGTATAATATTTACGAGGCCTTTAAAGGCATGAAAGTTTTTATTTTATCTTTTACATTTCATAGAGATTCTTCCATCAGGACAAGTTAAGCTGCAGAGTTATAACTTTTCTCTGTTGCAGTTGGGTTGGCTATGGGTTCAATTATCCCTTGCTCTTCCTTAAGCAAATACATACTTTTATCATGAGCTGCCTAGACAGCTAATGAAATATGAGGATTGCATCATAGTCCAATATGAAGATGCAGTACACTGGTGCTAGATATTCTTCCGTATGGACTCTAACTCTAGAATCTATGCATGTCATACCGTCTCGTCAGATGGAGGGGTGATTAGGAACAGAGAATGAGACATATGACTAGCAAAACCAATAAAATAACGCAAGGAGCGCATTCTGAAAAACAATGAATAAATAAAATGGAACAAGCAGAAAAAATGACCTAGGCAAGCAAGCCCGAGAGAGCTCTATCCGAGCGTTTTGCACATTCACAATTTATGCTTCTTCTGCCCAGTTGCAATTTTCATAAACTCTTGCTGTGGGATGCCAGCTATAAACCTTTCCATCCCCATAAACACCTCCAGGACATTCTGGCGATCCAACACTTCCCTCCCAGGTCGTCTAATCAGGTCCTTAATCTTAAGCATGCTGTCCTGGTTGATATGGGTTCCCAGCCTCTCCTCAACCTCCTCCAATACCAATTTCAAAAACCCAGACGCATCCTCCTTCCCGCCGGGGGCAGTAAATACCTTGTTCACGTACCCAGTCGAAACCAGATCCTCAATTGGTATACGCTTGCTCATGATCAGCGCTTCGTTGGCCTTGGAGATTCCCAGGCGTTCCACAAAGGCGCTGCTGGCGCCACCCTCCGCCACGAGGCCGAGCGATGTGAAAGGCGTTAGGAGGAAGGTGTGTGGAGTGGCGTAGATGAAGTCCCCGAATGCAGTAAGAGCGGCAGAAAGCCCAACTGCCGGGCCGTTGAGTGCTACGACAAGGATTTTGGGATGTTTAGCGAAGGTGTTTGTCAAGTCCAGATTGTTGGCCACGAAGCCGCGCAGGATTTCACGGCGGGCGTCTGCGCCGTCACTGGAAGGACGGGTCTTTTGGACATCAGCGCCCCTAGAGATTTGTGTGATCATGTTAAAGGAGACATTATTCTTGATAACAGTGGGAGCTTGAGTTGGGGAGCTTTGACATTATTAATATGACTTACGCAGAAAAGAAACGGCCTGTTCCCGTCAGAACGGTGATGAAAATGTCATCGCGCTGGGCAACTTCACGCATCTTCTGTCCCAGTTCCCAGTAATGGTCACCACTCAGGGCATTAAGCTTCTTGGGCCGGTTGAGGGTGATGATTGCCACTCGGTCCTTGTAAGTAACCGTGACTTCTTGTGCTGCGGAACTCATTTCTGCGTTGTGGTCTGGCTTCTTTCTGCTGGACAAAATCAACTACTGTGTGACTGCGAACGAATGAAATGCAAACAAGTAGTGGTGATCCAGAAAGAATGTTGTTTTGTTGTGTTATTGTGTTATCTATTCAATGGCTATCTGGAAAACAGTTGAATATGTCTGCCCTTTGAGAAACAAAAAAGGTTGAGGAGAAAGAAAGAGAAGAAACAAAGAACAAGAATGGAAAACTCATTAAATAGCTATATATTCATGAATTTTTAAAGAAGACTGACTATATGGGAAAATAGCAGATATGCACTGAGTTTGGCGCCATGTTCTAGGGAGTTGAAGATACCACCCGCGGCTAAAATAAGGTGTGCTAGAGTTGAGCCGAAGACAAAAATAACTGTGGAGTTGCCGAGGTTCGGCTGAACTAACTAATGTCTGCAGGAACCAAGTTCCACAAATCGCACAAGGTCCTGACGGGACCCGCGAAAGGTCATTTCTGTTCAATTTTCTCGATTCAAGCGGGGAAGAGGGTAGGAACAGGGCATCTTCATGAGGATGGGACCTCAAAGTTACAAGCACAAGCCACCTTCTGAGCCTCCGTTAGCTGGATTTGAGGAGCCATAAAAACTAGGTGTCCCATCCATTTTCTATATGTATGGACTTTGAAATCGTGTTAAAGCTAGTGTTCAGTCCGAATTATCTCTCCAATGGAACCTAAGTCGGATTCTATGTATGCTGCTAATCAGTCATCCAACTGTGAACCGCGTCAATTAATGTAACCCAGAGGCTTTGTACTTGAAGTTTCCTTTTTTTTTTTGAGGCGCTTGACTGAGTGTTCTAGATCAGACTCCAATTTTTCATCATCTATCTGTGGTTGAAGGTTACAAGCTACACCCTCTTTCTGTAAAGCACATGAGTGCCGAAGTCGCCCCGGATAGAGTTGATCAAGGCTTATGAACAGCACCCTTGTAGGAAATTAGGTGCAACTCATAGATTTACTTCAGCTTCCTGAAGCACATCTCATAAGATATGAACTTTGTTGATTAGAGGATGGTTCTTGACTGTTGAGTTGGTGCAAGGTTAACTAGGAGTTGTAAGGGGAGAAAAGTTAGGTTGGTATGCTAACCTTACGTGATGAATGGAAAGCAAGAAAGCAAAAACAGCAACAAAAATGCAGAATTGTTAGGAAGTTATGATGCATATGATACTTGCAAGAGAAGATAGCTCACTGGGAACGGATTCTGGTATATAGGATTATAGTCAAAGGGTTGATCTGGCTCGGCTTTGAACCATCCCAGAGAAATGAGGGACCTAAGTCTACATTTCTGACTAAGATGTTACTCATTCATCTCAGATCGACCATCCTTCACCCGTTCTACGCTCCAGGAAAAAGATCCAGATAACTACTCCGTACCATCCTGGTGGATCGCGCCCTTTTCATCCAGACTCCAGTGGCCAAAACACCAAGCCCCTGCGTTTCTAACCCTCCGAAATCCATTTGCTACAGTGTACACAGCAAAACAGGCGGCTTGTTCTCTTCCAATTCCGAAAATCAATGCCCCACGGCCATCCCATAATTCAGCAATGTTCAACGCCGTCCTCCGCAGACTCCAAGGCGGGAATCTAGAAGTTTTCAAGGTATGCATGCCATGATATATAATACTACCCTCACGTCGCGCCCGCCCCTTCTGCCACCCTCCCTCTCCTCCTTTCCATTCTCAAAATTCCACTCAACTACCAACACACCATTCCACAGTTCGGCGTCTACGTCCTCTTCCCCATCGGATGGATGTACTACTTCGGCACAAATCTCGAAGAACGCTTCTCGGTACCCGGTTTCTGGCCCACGAAAGAGCAATCGCATAAGATTCCCCTAGAGCTTGGTGAGATTGAGAAGGAATTGGCACGCATGGATAGGCAAAAAGCGTTGCGGGCGGCGCGGTTGCGAGAGCAGGGTGCGGGAAGTGGGAGCGGGAGTGGGAATGGAAGTGCAGCGGAAGACTCGTGAGAGATTTAGTTTTGACGATGCATGTATGGCATTGTCGGTCAGGCAAACTGGAGGAAAAGTGGGAAATGGGCATCTGCATGGACGGGTGTTGAAAAGGCGTTTTTGTCATCGTTGATTAGTATCGGCTCAGTTTCCGTATGTATATAAATTTGAGGGATACCATTTGGCAAGGCATCGTTTTAAGGAGTTGTTTGGGCTGGATAGATTGGCTCTTCTTTCTTATCTTCTTTTTGGATGTGATGTATATACTGTGTACATTTATTAATTCTCCTCTTTTCAAATCTCCGCTAATAGCATTCCCTTTCAATTGGATATGCATGCATTCAACAGGCGGAGTACAAGGTATTGTGGTCGATGGAGGTAGGGTTGGAGATGTGCAGTCCTATTCTTTATCATTGCAATATTCACGAAGTTGCCATCACTCACAGAATTACCATGATGCGTATGACATATGTTGATTGTAATTTCCAGTGTGGAATATGGGCATTAACATATATATACAAAGATTGAACACAATTAATTATCGAAACAAAAGTTGGCGAATTAAAATAAATGGAAATACCTCTTCAAACAAAGAATGAAAATCACCCCAATTTCAAAAAAGCAAATCCCACACACAAACGAGCGCCTATTCCCTATGCATGATATAAAAACAATCCCAGAACGACTCCCACCGGTATAGACAGCCATCCTTTTTTCAAGTAAAATTAAATAGAGAAAATACTGGAATAAATATCAACAAGAAAATATCACATCTCCTAGAAAAATGCCCCATTCCATCAGAGTCCAATAACCCCAATCACGACTCTCCACCTACTGCCTTTCCTGCCGCCGCCCGCGGCTGTTTCAGCTGCTTTGTTTGTGGTCTCAATTCGTCCTTCCTACTACACTGCGGATAGGGCAGTTTTGGCCGGGCCGGAGACAGAGGTGGCAGTTGCGGCCACAGCTGCCGCGGCCGCAGCGGATGCGGAGGATACGGCAACGAAAGGGAAGTCTGTGAAGGCATCGCCTGCCCAGTAGTACCAGATGCGCTTGCTGATTGTGGTGACGTGATCGGGGAGGTAGACGTAAGCCGCTGTGAGGAGCATGGAGGTTATGAGGAGGAGGAGCGTGTCTAGGGGCTTGAGGTTAGCGTTTATCGGTTTCGACCTTGGATGGAATCACAGGCTAGGAACCAAACGTACTGAAGATGAATTTCTCTGTGGCTGTAAGCATGTAGAGGGAGATGGTGACTTCATATTGATAGTTTTTCAATCGGAGCCAGCGGACGAAGGAGGTGATGATTGAGGGGGAGGATGTTTGCGACATGGCTGGGTTGGGTTATAGGTAACGAGGAAAATTCTCGCAGATATGGTAGAGATAGAGCAGATGGGGTAGCAGGAGAAACAAGAAGATTTCGATTTCGATTTTTTGGATTTTGCAGTCGTATAAGGAATGGTACTTAGTTTTCGAGGGGGCTTGTATTCAACCGCGATGACCTACTGACGGACAGACAGCCAAAAAGGAAATAATAAGAGAAAGGGTGAATTGATTGAGTACGAGTGCACATGTATATAACACCACAGCCAAGTCGAGGATCGTGTTGAAGCTGCTCATGAAGAGTTTACGCGACAGAGCTTCCCAAGGATTAAGGATGCAGAGAACGCCATTCCAGGGGCAGCCAATAAGAGGAATTGCTCAAGGTTAGCCGCAGCGGCTCCAACTTTATCATCCATCTCATTCGCATATTCGTCTTCATATGGCAATAAATATCAGAATCATTTTAATTTCTATAAAACGTAACCCGTTCACTTCCTTGACTTCACTATTCATTCTCCAGCTGATGGAGACACCCTGAGGGACTTTCATCACCTCCAGCATCCTCCAACCAGGGCGTGCGCCAACTTAACCATGTCTCTGTGGAGGATAAGACAACAATGGCGACACCCAACTGGCTTACTGAGGGTGTTTTCACACTGCTGTCAGTTATCCGTGAAGCAAATGCCACCCCGGCCCAAACTGGACCCGTCAGAAGTCACCGGCAGCTATCTGAAAGGAACGGGCCCTGGAGGACAGGCAATTGTGAGTATATATCTATCCGCTTTCTCTTATGCTGTCTATTATTATTAATTTACAATGTTTCCTTTCGATGGCTACGAAGAAATCAGTGGCCCCAATTCCCCTCTATGTATGAGAACATCATTTGCTTGTTAAATTGGATGTTCTCTGCATACCCTTTTGGTATGCCCATGCTCCTTTGAATTGCCACCGTTTAGTATTTACCGGATTGGATTCTGTCTTCTACCCCCGATATGTATATTGATATTGCCTAGTTGGACATTGGGGTTTTCAAAATAAGATATGTGTATGTGCTACAGTATGTGTTTGCTCTAGTCCTACATTCTCGGGAAATCCAGGCAATCCATTGTATGTCCTTCGTTAGGAAAACGGCCTCTAACTGCCGGACCACGAAAAAAAAATTGGCTGTCTTCTGCTTCCTGGTTTTTTTTTTTTTTTTTTTTTTTTTGAATTCTAACGCAACTACATACTTCAGAACAAAACAAACTCGGCGGTCCAACTCATTCACAAGCCCACAGGAATCGTTGTCAAATCTCAGGCGACGAGATCACGCACGCAGAACCAAAAGATAGCCATGGGTATCTTAGCGGAAAAGGTCGAGCTACAACTAAAGGGTGAGCAAAGTCGGGCTGCTATTAAAGCTGAGACAAAGAAGAAAAAGAAGGCTAGTAGAGAGAAGAAGGCACGGAGGAAGTACAGGAGATTGGAGGAAGAGAAGAGAAAGCTTGGAGTGGAAGCGGAAGAGGGAAAGGAAAAGGGAAGTGAGGAGGTGGACTCGACAGAGTCGGATGAGCCGGTGGACGGCCATGAAGGAGAGAATCCGGATAGGAAGGAAAGTGGTGTACGCGAACAAATGAACAAAGCGGGCTCTGAGGCATAGAGCTGGCGCTAATTTATGATAGTTTGGAAAGGTATGGACCATTGACCACTTTTCGGTATTTATGTGTTGCTTCTTCTCTTTTTCTGAAATACGTTTTGGGACTACATGACGGGCGTATGGTAGCTCTCAATAATAATCCTATGTCGGATTCCATCAGCACAGATGTGATACAGCAAGCTGACCTATTACAACTAGCTACGATTGAACACCTGTAGCAGATCCTCTTCATATCCACCCTACGATCCAATATTGTACCCCCTTCAACCAAAAGGTTTTATTTTACCAAAATTTAATCGTCCCCATTTCTCCTCCAAGGTCACCACAAAGGAGATCACCGTGCCCTGCACAACCTCTCGCACAGGAATGCATCACACCAATATCAGCGCCCCATGAAAACGGATCACGCAACCATGGCGGGACTAACATGCTTCCTTCAATAAGATAAGCGCCTCTCTCGTAGGCTTCCATAGCGTATGCTTCAGTACTAAACACAGTTCCTGGAGGGTTAACGCGCGTTTCCAGCAAAAATCACATCTCCCTTTTCCCAGCTTTCAGCAGGGCAGGGCAGGGCAGGGCAGGGCACCCAAAGGCCAATATTTGAAGTCTGGGGAGACGGGAGATAACAGCCAATCACGTCATCGATGCTATGGTGCTATTCGTCTACTGATGTGCGGCGTGACCATAGGGGGATCAACTTGGCATGTAGAGCTGCTGGGTTGGTGGAATAACCCACTGCAGGCAAGTTCAGGTAGAATGAAAGGATGTTTTCGAAATCTTTTCAGCTTTCGAGCTAATAGGCGAGAGAATATGTGGGTTATGCCGTTGAAGTTGACGTCGTCCGTCTGGCTGGGTATGACTATCGTTCTTTTTTGATCCCTGATTGATTTTTTTTTGTCAGGGTGAATCGTTTATTCGAAGACCTAGGATCCTCACTCGGGATCATGGAACATCCTTAGAAATGAATTATGGTAATGCTCGAGCTAAACGACGGAGACTGTAATAATAGTAGCGCTCACTATGTCGAAACCCCATTGGATTTTGTCCCGGTTGGTCTTCCAAAGCAAGGAGACCTACGAAGCAACAGATCTAAAATATACATACGTATACTCCTTGATTAAGAGCCCAGTTATCAAAATCCAGATGAAGTATAAAAATGTAACAGGACGGCATGAAAAATGGATTCCAGTACACGTAGGCACTGTCTCTACCTACGTCACCCCGCATGACCAATCGATCAAACTAAGTATATATATCTAAATCAGCCCTAACTCATCCCCCGCTCCTTGTTTCTCACCTCTCTCCGCCCAACCAAATCTCCTCGAAAGCGAACCACATTTCATACCGCACCTCGCAAAGCATCTCAAAAGACAGAAACAAAATCCCGTGTCCTTCCAGAAGAAGAAATAGAAAAGAAAAGAAAAGAAAAGAAAAGAAAAAAAAACAAAACAATGGAACAATCCTCCATCCCACTCATCAACATGCACGGCCCCAACTGCCCAGCTTGCGGCACCCCTTACTCTGGTGGCACGACGAAGACTTGCAGCGCGTGTGGTGCGGTACGTTCAAAGCAGTAAAGAAAACAACAATAATCTCCTTCTTCGTCTCAGATGGACTCTTGCTCCTGTTGTTGTTTTCGTGTTCGTTTTGTTTTGTCAGGGAACTGATGCAGATAGCGCTAACGATATGCCCTGTTGTTGCCTCTACTGCTTTAGGCGTGCCCGGTGTAAATTGATAATCTAATCTAGACGTGGTCGACCAGTCCCCGCTCTCCTGAGGATTGGCGGATGGCGTATACGGCATATGCTTGAGCGGTCTGAACGGATGTGGTAAGGGATGAGATCTGAACATGGTGGAGCAACTGAATGATTAATGAGAAGCTATTTTCTTTGCACTTTTGTGATGTACTTAAGTTTAACCGGAGGGGCCATTCTTTCCTTTATTTCCGTTCGTCCATCTTACCAATCCGGAGCAATGGATGAGATAAGCCTGTGATGCTGCGAATTTGGTAAAATCTGTTGCCAACCCTATGCAATGAAAGACTTTGGCGGCTGGCTGAAGAGATTTGACCCCTTAAAGTTCAATCTCACCCGTTTGGACCCAAGCGTCTATATAACTCTACGTGTATGACAAGATGGGCAAACTGAATAAAAGACAATCCTCTTCCATCCAATTCAGCTTCTAGCTTCTAGCTTCCAGATTTTATCTTGATCAGATTGCCCCAATGCTCAGCATTCAATTCATATCACTAAAAAATCCTCCGCATTTCCTGTCCCGCGACAACAATAATCACCCATTAAGATATGCCGCAATCCCCGCCTTTGCCTGAGGACTCAATCTCTCCTGCGCAAAGTTGGAAATCCTCCCTCCATGCTTCTTATCCGCCTCTTTCAGATACGACCCAACCCACCCACCATACTGCGGCCCAACGATTTCTGGCCACGGATCCTTAATCGTCGGCCGGATGGTATTTAGCTTCGTAAATCCAACTCCAAACGCCATATCCTCAACGTCATTTTCGGCAATGATGTCGTCCTTAGTGGCCGGCAGGGGCGCCTGGCTGAGGATCCCCAGTAGTGCTTCACAGGTGAACGCCCATCCCTTCTTATAGCGGGATGCGAAAGCTTCAGAGTTTGCAAGTGTTTTCGTATAGGATATTAGGGCAGTTTTCCGGTCGAGAGGGCGGGCGAGTTTTTGAGTGTTAGGAAGGATTATGTTGAGGTAAATCGGGGTGAAAACGCTGGGGGAGGAGCGAGGTTTAATGTTAGCTGTTTTTTTTCGGACGAGATAAGGAAAGAGGGTCACTATACCCTGATTGGATGTTTTCCGTTATTTGGATAAAAAAATCGGCGTTGTAGCCTCTGGCATCATTGGCCGAAATGAAGTGGTAGAATCGAACAAAGCGGAGAGCGAAGTTTTCTGTCTTGGAGTTTTGAAGGCGTGTGAGGATGATTTGGATGATGGAAACAAAATATTTCTCCAGAAGTGTTCTAAACGGATAAAGCAACACAAGTCAGGAATTTATAACCACAACTGGTGAGGGATTGCAGAAACAAAGACGAAAGAATGGACGTACGAAGGAAAATTAGCAATGACACTTTCAAGAAGATCAAAACCATAGCTTTCATTCGTTTTTGAGGAGACGAGTTTCTGGAAAATACCAAGAACGGGCTCGATTTGATTGTTTTTCGTAATCCAGTCCGCTGCTCTGTGGATAATGGATGATAGCAAGCGAACAAGGGCTGGGGCATTCCCTTTCAACTCCCACATGGTTGGCATGAGTATTGGAGCGATTAGATTTTGATAATACTCAGGGAGTGTCCCAGATGGGTTGGCTTCGAGCAGCGCCGCAAGTAGCTGGAATATATAGGGACAAAACTCTGTTGGTCGTATTGGTTAATCACAAATCGTCTTAATTTTTGTATTGTTGGAGGGAAGGAGGGGGTAAAGATGAGCTCACCTTGCACGTCGTTCTGTAAGATAGCGACGAAAGGAGGGTATAACGCCTCTTCGAATTTCGTTGGTTGTGCCGATGCCGCGAATCTACCCCGATACATGTTAGATATGACGACAATGCTCTCTAAAATGATAGACTGCTGCACCCACCTAACTAAGGCACCTAGAGCCTCGAAATGGTAATAATAAAACCTCGGATTGCTTGGGTTCGTGCTCATGATTTGAGTGATGGTGATGAAGTGTCGCAAGATTCCGTCCGAGAGCGGGATGGCAGCTTCCTTAATAACGATGAGCACCCTCATAACACATCTCATCAGGAATTCATTCTCTTGTACTTTAGGTGCCGCTGGGTCCTTCTCGATTAATCGGAAAATATGCTCTAGCAGGTCACCAGCCAAGGGAGTAATCGAATCAGGTGGGATGACAGGTTGACCATTGCTGTTCGTAAGGAATAAAATTCTTTCCACTGCTACCGCGGCATAGGTGTACACCACGTACTCCGACGCACCAAGATGTTTTACAAGCAGAGGTAAGACTTCATGCCACTGATCTTTCGTTATCAGACTGCGGAATGCATATAGGAATTTGATGGCATCCACTTTAAGAATTGGCTGTACACCACTTTCGGTAACTAGGTCAGTAGCTAAATACTTTTGAAAGAAATGCGTTATATCAACCAGGTTGTTGGTGCTTGTGACGCCGTGGCTGGCGGTTGCAACGCCTTTCGCTGCGATAGCTGAAAATAAGTAGACTGCAGTATCCTTCGCTTTCCAATGTTCTGACGGGTTTTTGTTGTATTCCGCCAGGTAATGATCAGCATACTGGGTCACAACTTTTGTGACGGATTGTTCGAATTTTTCAAGGAGTTGCCTCAGGAAATCAGTAGTAGCTCGCCTCCTTGTATCACTATCTGAGCCTTCTAGATCTCTGCGGATGAATTCAATAGGCTCGTCTTCAAACATCTCAATATCAGAGTCGCGCAGGTTGATATTGGGAAGGATGACCTTTTCGGTGACTTGGCTCAGGGTACTCTCATCTTGGAAGGCGACAGCGTGTTCTGGAAATCTCGCAACAGAAGTCAAAAACTGGAGAGCTCGAGAAACCAATATGTCATATTTTGTGTCTTGTCCAATCGTCGTGAGAAGGTTCCAGGAGCTCCCGATAAACTGTTGAACATGGCTTCCAAACACGTCGATATACTTTTGTACATAAAGCATCAAAACCTCGAAGATGCCAGCTTTTACAAACTCCAATTGCCCTGACTCTGACTCATCATCCGTATGGAGTAGCGTATTGTCGTATACCAAGTACTTGAGCAGGAGTGCGGCAAGTGCCGAAAGATGGTCCTCAAACATTGGCGGTAAATCATGCGAAGATAGATCGTATAGCAACTTTATCATCAAATTGAGTTGTGTGAACCCTTGCGTGAGCTTTTGTTTATCGGATTTATTTTGCTCAAGGAAGGTATCAAGCGACTTTGCGGGTGATATGAAAAAAATCAGCATTTGCACGAACAGTTGTAGAAGAAATATAGAAATGCAATAGGTAATACCTCAAAAAGAGAGAGGTAGGGATTCCCAAATTTCCCCAAAACATGGTTGATCTCAATATACAAGTCATCCGACCGGATTAGAGGTCTCCATCTTTTGAATATAGAGTGGGCCACCTGTAAGACACCAATATTCACAATAGGATTATCGGGCGAAAATTTCGAAACAAGATCCTGTCACATCTTGTAAGCATGCTGCGATTTCTCCCCAATGCTTTGTTTAGAAGAGTGGATTTGCTTTCATACATCCACAAGAGTGTCCCATCTTTCCCAGAAGTCACTATCAGCTATTACGCTCACGGCTTCGCCCAATTGAGGCTGGATGCCCGCAGGCACAGAGATCATCAAAGCGATCAGTTCCTGCTTGATTGTGGCTACTTCGTCGAGCGGAAGCTTATAATTGCCATCCTCATCGGTCCAATTGCGCTTGATAAAATTCTTGAAGCATAGTGCGCTCGCTAGACGGGTATTATAGGGAATGGAATCGGTAGCAGTGAGCTGAAGCAGAAGGATGGAAAAGCCAGGCTTCCCCTCCTCCTGCCGAAGGGTAGCCTCAGCTGTAATTGGGGAATATTACGTGGTGAACACATTGCATATCTAACATCTGGGCATAGAGATCTTACCTTGTTTGTGCTGTCCTGGGTCCAAGCTTGCTTCAAGAAGTTGCGAAAGAGATCCTATGTTACCAGCCATGACTGCGGAGTTGAGCAGAGCTCCAGCGGGAAACGCAAATGAGTGGAGGAGTGATTCGTATTAGATAGGGATAGGGAAAATGTAATAGAACGTCCAAGACAGTTTCATGTAGGTATTTCGTTAGCGGGCAATCTTGGAACAAGAAGAATTTCTATTTTTCTCCTCACACCAACGCCCGATGTCTCCCAAGTTGATGCAATTTCTTGTTGCTCTGTCCCGCTTTTGGCAACTTGTTTGGCTTATGTCAGCACTCAAGGGGGGCAATTAAAGGCGGTGAGCCCCTTCTGCCGCTGCCCACGGTATAAATATAATCCGAGCTCAATCGGGCAAGCTCGCCTCAGCGTGTCTTGGCGTGGAGGCTGAAGCAGTCAAATGATCCAAACATTTCCCCGGATTTACTGCTGGTCCGAGCCTCACGATCGCCGTCTTCACTTCTCCTCTTCTTCCCCCTCCCTCTTCTCCCGGACACTCCTCCCGACTCCAACAGCTGTATGGCCGTTGTCTCTCCTTTGTGATGTACCTCTACTCACACCTGCTTGGGCGTTTTCTATTCTTTTCCAGGCGACGTTTCGTTCCCGCGTCGCTGTCTTCATATCCACCCAAAGGCTCATCTATTCGCTATCGCGGTTCCTACCAAATATAACAACTTTTCTCGCTGGCCGGAAACTATCGTAGGGCTACCCGTTCCCTGTTTCATGTGTGTTAGGTATATCTGTGTAAGGGCTTTCTTCGCATTTTTGAATTTTTAGTCTTATTGATTTTCTCGACCCCGCCTCCAGCCTATATCTTGATGTGCTGGCGACTCTTGGCTCTCTCCTCACTCAGCTTTGGATCCGTCAGGGTCTTTCACTATTTCTCCTATGCTAAGATCAACTTATACCTGTGTTGCAGCTTCATAGTCCTCCGGCTGTTCTCCCGGCTTTCAAATCGGTGATCCACTCGTCCAGCTGACGTATGCCTTCTGGGGATGCTCCTTCCCCACAACATAAGTCGTCTTCATCAGCTTTTGCAGATGTCTTCAAGACATTAGCAAGTGGCCGTCCAAAATCGCAATCGCCCCTACCGGATGGAAACAGCATTGGTGAAGCCTTGCCACTGGAGATGGAAGGCCGGAGGGGTAGTCGAGTCACATTCGGTTTCGAGTCGTTGCATCGCGGGGGTGGTTTGCCAGCAACCGTTCCAGACGCTCAAGAACCCCCAAATTACGAGACATTGCAAAAAGGGATTTCGCATGAATATCCAATTGCCAGCGCTCTTGAGGTAGCAGAAACTGCTGCTCGTTCCTTACACTACTTCAATGCGGAACAGGCCTTATCTCTTTGGGAAGCGGGCAGCTATCTTATCGACTGCTCTAGCTCGGCAGACGCTCGAAAAGCTGGCTCTAACCTTCTAGAAGCCATTTGTCGTCGACAAGATCTTACTTTGCCTGCCCGTCAAATTCTCTTCCATTGCGTTTCTCAATCCTTCCCGCCAGACGTCATCCCGGCTCAAGTAAACGCTTTGATCTCATTGTCGGACCATGGGAGGAAGTTGGATTTTACGGATAAACCGGTCTTGCCCACCATTGCTTCTTGGATAGTTCCACTATATAATGCAGTTGCCTCAGCACGTTCGAGATTGAAGAAGTCAAAAACTGCCCGCCAAAACGGTGTAGGATTAAGTGAGGCCATTTTGGGAGATCTATTTCAATTGGTCGTTGATATTATTACTCTGCAGCGCCACCCTCCAAATAAAGAGGAGCTCGAGCTACTCCTAGACCAAATTTTTATTATTTGCAAGCAAACAACTGCAGCACATGATATAAAAAACTCACTTTCTGTTTTTGACGCGATAATCCACACATCGGACATTCCCGACTCAAGTTTCAACGGCCTGTTGGAGGTGCTGTGCAGCATTCATGCATCCGTTAAGTCTTTGGCTGGCCCTACATCACGAGCAGCCCGTAATTTGGCGAAATCACGAAAGCAATCAGAGATGGTTTCCTTGTTGCATACTTTCCTTCTAGAAACATCGGAACGTCAAGATCGAAATCTCAATGTGACTCGTGGTGCAGTGGATATATTTAGAGATTTGCTTGCGGCCTATGACCAAGGTGGAATGCCAACCATATCCTTTGACATGCTTATCGAGTCTCTCCTGAGCGCCGCTAAAAGACACGACGGACGTATTAATACCGATATTTTGGACGTATGCTTGAGTATGATACAGGGAGAATATACCTCGACGACTTTGCAACATCCTTGGTCTGATTTCATCCGCCTAATCCTCACATGTTCTCAGATGGTCTTAGATGCTCCTGTGCTACCCAATAGTCCTGACCCAGCTATGCGACAAAATTCACCCCAAAAGATCAATGCGGTTGATGATTTGCAGTTAAATATATCTGCAAATATCTGTCGTATCCTCACCACTATCGAGTCTCTTTGGCCAAAATTGGATGTGCAACAGCGATTAGATTCAAGCAATCTCTTCGCTACGGCGCATTCCCACTTAAACCCATCTCAAGCCCGCCTTTACTTCGACTTTTGCAAATCTGAACGACTTGGTTGCCCTGAACATCCCGAGTGGACTCGTTTCTGCCGAGAGCTTGTTGACAATTTCATTTTACCACAGGATAAAAAAGTGGATGTCCGCATGCAGGCGCTTAGCACATTTGAAAATGCTTACACATCCGATAATGCCGCCCACTTATTTCACAAAGAAGGGTTTTTACAGTCCCTCTTTGCTAAATTTACGGAAGAACGTTCATATCATTTCCTCGATGCATTAGTGTCATTTTTAGTAAAGACATCGGACAACTACAATAAGGATACTTTTGCGATTTTAGTGGAAACTCTTGGCTCACCCATGACAAAAGATGAGGACATCATCGAGCAAATATCACCAATATCATCTCCAGCGCCTTCTCATTCCATATCAAGACCTGTTTCGTCCACAAATGGGTCAGAAACGTCACTGTCCAATGTTGCGATTACGGGCTTGGTCAGAATATTCCTCAAATCGTTGAAGGACGCACCAGTAAATGCTGGAATTATATATGAGAAGCTGGTGGGCATCGCCCAATCACGAAAGAGGCCGACTGACTCCCGGCTAACTGCTCTCAAATTGCTTTTCCGGCTACGTTGCGACTCAGCCGGCTCTATATATGTGACTTCTGCTACTGAGAATGAATTTTTGATTGCTGTGTTATGTCGGACAACGGACCTTTCGTCCAGGGCAAGTGTCAGTGAAGAGTCTCCCTCAGAGCGTACGACGAAGCCAGAGGAGAATCCACCTTTAAATCAGAGTGGTAGATTTTCTCTGAAAGATACAGGATCCGGATCACTTTCCACCTCCAGTGTACGGATAACCACCCAAATTCGCTCGTTAAAATTGACTCCACCCGTTTGGACTTATACAGAGCCAAAGGGCCTGCCTGAAGATCCCCTACCGTTCGCCAGCACCCACACCGTTGCCTATTTGAATAAGACACCTGAGCGGCCGGGTGAGGCACGAAAAATTCCTCTTAAGATAAATTTATGGTTGGAAACGATCATATCACTATTACAACAGGAGAAAGACTGGGATATTTATAGCTACCTGCTTGCACATCTAGGACCCCAACTAATGAATAGGGACCTTTTCCAGAGTTCAATCCCTCAAATAAAGCTCCTTCGCAGCGTCCTCTGTGAGCAAATAAAGAACGAAAGCTTTCTAGAACCCCTCGGCTCGACTGGTGTGAAGAAGGCAGATATTGCTACTTGCATTCTCGATTCTTTGACAATGCTAATCAGTTTTCACCAACACTTTGCGAAAAGCGAACAGGATGAAATGGTGCTCACATTCATCCATGGTATAGGTTCTTGGGAAGGAACCTCACGTCGTTGTATACATGCTTTGTCTGTTTGCTGCCATGAGATCCCCCTTTCAGTTACCAAGGCTCTAAACCCCATACTCGATAAGATGTCAAAAATAATCACTCGATCCAATATTGCTGTTCACATTCTTGAGTTTCTGGCGTCGCTAGCTCGATTGCCTGACGTTTACGTCAATCTACGGGACCAAGAAATTCGACCCTTATTCGGGATTTGTGTCCGATTTATTCAAACCTCGAGGGAGAGATATAGATCCGGCGATTCTTTGAACCTTAGGTCGAGTTCGTTACCATCGCGGCTAAGTGGAGGGCTGAAAGAATTAGCTTCAACCCAGTCTGCAGAATTTGTAGATTCCACAAATGCTGATGACCTCTCGAGATACGTTTACATTTTAACATACCATGTCATGGTATTCTGGTTTCTTTCTCTCAAGCTCCAAGATAGAGTGAATCACGTGAATTGGATTTCCAAGCGGCTTATCTTCACGGACGAACACGGGAATGACGTCGTTGATGAGCAAAGCCAGGTCTTAATCGATTTTATGCAGCGGGTAACCTTCTCAGACTTGGGAGATACAATCCCATTTGAGAAATTCCCACCTTCTGACTCAGACGGACCTGTTATCAAAAAATCTTGGGTTGTTGGAATGAGCATTGTTACAATTGAAACCGCAGGTGTGAGTGGATTAACTCAAATTACGAAGCGACAAGCGTCAGGAACAACATACGCTATTTATCAACAACGAACTGCGCCGGTTCTTCCGCACCAAATACCAACTCACCCTGGATCGCATTCACTCAGCGACGACCGGTTTTCGCGGACGGCGATCTTCCCGAGTCATGTCCTCCTTCAGATGACAACTACTGCCATGCCAATTCCAACTAGTATGCAGCCTATACCACTACCAGAGGATGACTTCACTCGCCGGGCAATTAGTTCATTCGACAGGAATGATATTGTAGACGGACACAAAATTGGTGTTATCTACATCAGCGATGGTCAAACCAAAGAGGCTGAAATTCTTGCAAACGTTGGGGGAAGTCCGGACTATGATTATTTCCTCTCAAACCTTGGAACAAAGGTCGCCATAAAGGATGCTAAATTCAACACCCAAGGATTACACAGCGACACGGATGGCGAATATACATATGCATGGCGCGATCGAGTGACAGAAATTATTTATCATGTTGCGACAATGATGCCCACAAATCTCGAGGCTGACCCTCAGTGCGTAAATAAGAAAAGACACATCGGCAACAGTTTTGTGAACATCATCTTCAACCGCTCCAATCTTTCCTTCAACTTTGATACCATCCCATCCCAATTCAATTTCGTCAATATCGTAATCAGCCCCGCTTCCCGAATCAGCCCTACTCACAAACCTGACTCTGAGCAAATATCCCCCGATACCCCTGATTTCAGCAGAGCCTTCTACGTCGTCAAGGTTATGACAAAGTCGGATTTCCCAGATCTGTCCCCTTCCGCAATACCCAAAGTTATCTCCGGCAAGAATCTAGCTGCCTTCGTCCGCATCATCGCACTCAACGCTTCTTTCTACTCGCTAGTTTCAAGCCGTGATTCAGGCGAGCACCTCTCGTCTTGGCATAACCGCCTCCGGGAGATTAGGCGGCTACGGGATCGTGCGTATGCATCTGCGGCAGCATTGACACCTGGTGGTGTGGAGGGCACTACCGATGGTCCAAGTGAAAGCGCCTCGTATGCGTCACACCGGCGGAATACGAAACCTATAATTCAGCCTGAAGAGATGACCACCCATGTTGCTGGAAGGCCTAGCACTTCCTCGGAATGGGCACCTCAACCAGATACCAGCGTATTCTCAAAGGTGGACTTTTCGCGATGGAGTCGATGATGGGACATGAGGGAGGCCGATATGAATGAAGATAACTAAGTTGTAGAAGCTCCTTTCCAGAGCAAGCCAAGCACCGAAAAAGGGTATCATATAGGGAAATGGACCAGGTATTGACCAAAACAGACACATGTTTACGTATCTCGATCTTACAAGAGAGGGTGACAAGTAGACGAGAAATGAGACATGTCATGGTAGCAGGAGCGTTCGTTGTTCCATTTCTCCTTACTGGAAAACTCTTTATGAGTTTTCTATTTATTATATACCTTCTCTTCCTTTCATTAGCATTTCCCCTCACTCGCGATTTGTATATTTTCCTCACGACAGGAAGGAACGGAAACAAGCGAACGAGGCCATTGTGATGTCTCCTTGCTTCTTCCATATTTTCACGTTGTCTATATATACGTATACACACACATATCCCCCGCCCTACTCTGTGTTCTTCCTGGGGCCGGCGAGAAAAGAAAAGGCAAAAAAACACAAGATATTTTTCACTCAAAAAAGTCATGTATTTATTTTTTGAAATGCCATAACTTCTACCTATCCAGGTTGTTTTTTTCCCTCTTGATTGGAAATACCAAGGAGTTCTTATCTTGGAATTGATTATACACTCTAGAACATAGAGTGAGAGAATGCAAATAAAAATAAAATAATATCAATAATCACAATGCACAGATCCTCTACTACTACTACTACTACTACTACTACTAGTAGTAGTAGTAGTATTATTATTAGATAGAGGCATCAAGACATCCATTCAAATCATTCAAAATGAAAAAAATGACCAGTTATATCAATCTATTCAGAATCTTTTCGGTGCTGGTAGATTCAGTCCAACAAGGTAGGGTACGTACTTTACATGAGCAGGGCACCGCCGCAAACGAGCCAACCTTATTCCATCCAACTCTTGCTGCGAACCAGAAAGGACACTTCTCAATTAGAAAATGCAAACAAATACAAGTCATATACGGAATGGGCTCTTGCAAAGTCTAAATCATTTATATTCGCTTAACAGAATGCGGTTCCTCGTCCTCAACTAGGACAGGTAAACAAATCACTTCAACCTTCAGCCAGCGTAGAACTTTTTGATAGCTGTATTCTAACTATGCTGATGAAGGCTGTCTTTCACATCTACACCTACATACACCAGATTTGGGGGGAAATTAGGTTAGCTAGAAATATATATATGGATATATATAGGAATAAAGAGTAAATAATAAACGAATAAACGAAGGGGGGAAAGGTCAGCTTCGCCCTATATCCCATTATTGTGCAAGCAAAGCCATCACGAGAAAAAAAATCCTGCATGCAGAAAAGAAAAAGAAAATGAAAACAAATTAAGTCACAGAAGAAAATTATAACATATTTTGTAAATAAAAACAGAACAAGGCCATGACACCCAGCTTCAAATTAACAAATGAAAAAGAAAAAAAAACGGGAAAAACAAAATAATAGTCATTCATTCGTTCATTTTCTTTGCAGCAGAAAGTTGAAAGAGAAATAAATAAATAGAAAACAGAGACCCGAGAAATAACAAGAGGTCAAATGTATTAAACAGCTAATAATTTACCAGAGATGAAAAGTGTGTGTGCTGTGAAATAAAACAATAAGAATAAGAGAAAGGGTAGGGTAGGGAGACCATGGATGGAAAAAAGAGCTTGCTAGAAAAACGAGGGATATTCGAAGATATTAGGATGGATAGAGAGTTATAGAGAGCAGCAAGCACTTGGCTTCTGTTTCTTCGCGAGGAAAAAAATAATATACCTGCGCGCTCTAATTGCGGGGTACGATGCATGGTGGGTATCAGTCATATCATGAGAAGTAAACCTGCATATATGGAGCAACGTTTCATGAAATACATTGTTTTACCACAGGACGTCTATGTTTCTTTGATTGATTTTGTGGTGACTTGAATGCAGGTATGCGCAACGGTTGGAGTGAGAAGTTTTATACTGTGGTATATAAATTAAAAATTTAAATGGTATCGAAACATGTGGCGATCGTAAATGTGCGGTGGAAAGGGAAAAAAGAATAATCGGGATAATCAGGAGAATAATGGTAATAATGATCATAACCCCGAAGTCAGATGTAAGTGTCGAGATGGTTTTAACCCTAATGTGCAAACTTGAGATCTGGGTTCTCGAGTGCAGGAACTTTTAATCCTTCATTGCACTCCGACATTGGAGTAGTGACAGCGGAGAAAACAATGTTTTGCTTTCGTTGGTCCATGGAGCCTTCGACATCGCTAGTGGTTGTGCTTGGAAGAGAGCTTGATCGGGAGCTTTGAGTCCCCAGGGAAGGGGATGTAGGTGTTCCACTGTCATCAGTACTGGACGGAGAGGTATTCAATTCACTTAGAGAGAGACGGGAACTTGTCTTGCGATGGGTGGAAAGGCTATCACTATGGCCGTCTGTGGTGTGAGAATCATAGATGAGCTTCTCGATGGCGGCGATCTGTTTTCCATAGCTGAATTTCTTAAGCTGAGTCAGTTGTGGCTCAATTTTCTTGACAAGAGCCTCACGCTCTAGCCCGTTGAGTTGACCGAGAACTTTCTCTGTGGAACCAGGAATATTAGAAAACGGAAGGCCAAACAAAAACATGTCCAAAGTGGTAGAAAAACTTACGAATGACATAATTCCCGTATTGATCCCTCATGAGGCCTAGGAGTGGGCTTTCTCCTCGATCATTTGGCGTTGTCAATTGACGTAGAATTTCAGCTCGCTGGTCATCTGCACCAAATTCAATACTTTTCTCAACCACGTTACTGGCAAATTTGTGCTTCGAGAACACGAGCAGCTGTGAGATAACGATGGATATGATCCTAGCCTTGTCATGTTCCTCACCATTTCCGATGACGTGCTGGATGACGTAATTACCAAATTGATCTGGGATAAGACTGGACGTGCATGCATGGAGTTCTTCAAGGATAGCCCTGCGATCTGGCTCTGTGCAGTGTTCCAACATTCGTTGGATGACCCTACAACCGTAGGGGTGTGCTGCCAATCTGTGAACTTGTCCCTTAAAGGCATTGATGATGAACTGAATATGAACACTGGGCACCCTTTCAACTGCTTTCTGAATGACGTGATTCCCATTCTGATCTTTAACACATTTCAAAACGTGGTTTTCAAGCTCCTTCACCATCGATGCTTGCTGGTCGGTGAGGATATGTTCTAAAGCCTGTATGTTTAGTGTTGTCAGCATAAAAGATAAACTACATGAATAGGTGTTGGGGAGTGATTGTACCTTCTGAACAACACGACACCCATACATTTGCGTCGATAGTGCAAGGATGTGACCTTTCATTTGATTTGCCAGTATCTTCTTCTGCGACTGATTTCCGTGCTCGAAAAGCTTCTGAACGACATAGTTACCAAAGACATCCGTCATAAGTTGAAGACAGTTGGGCTGGATTTCGCGGAAGACTTGGTCCTTCTCGTCGCTATTTGCGGATTCCAACATGTGTTGGATGAACCGCGAACCATGCTGATCACCACTGAACTCCACAATATGGTTATAGATATCCTGTTATGGCAGTATTAGTCATTAACAGTCAGGGCAGGACGGATTGAATAAGATGAAGACTATATTCTCACCTTGAGCTCGTATCGTTTGTTATTTTTGCTATTCGTTCTAAACTCTTCAAGGAGGGGACTGCGAACGACTTGAATCGGATCCTGCTCGCGATGAAAGTTAAGAGGCAAGATGGACGAAGACCCTAATCCACCGAAAGATGTCACAGGATAATAGTTGGAAAGCGCGTTCACCCTGGAAACTCCTGGAGATCCCGAAAACCTATAGCCGTGGGAAAGAGGATGTCGCCCAGGGATTGGGTTTGTTGCGGACTTTAAGTAATCTTGCTGTTCTTGTTGTAAGCCGCAAAGCTTTCGCTCCAGAAGTTCTGTTTGCCCATCCGGTAATTGCCCAGTAAGTCGGCTTCCAGAAGATGTACAGAACTGGCCATTAGGTATCGGTGTCCCTCCAGCGGAGTAAAAATTATGCACGTTACGGGCGAAATCGTTAACACGTGGTGAAGCAGGGCCTCTGTCGGTCAAGCGGAGCTCATTAAAGGAGTGCTTAGCTGGGATATCGATTGTATCATCAGGTGCGAGAACACCAGCCCCATGGGAGCTGAGGTTGGAGTTGAGGTTGGAGGATTGGAAGTGGTTCAACGATGGATCATACGAGGTGCTTGAGTGGTAGGATGGTCTCTGAGCTAAAATGTTGGGGTTAAAGTTGTAGTAGGCCTCATCCTGCATTTGAAGTTTGCCCACGCCAGAAATTAGATCACTTTGACTACCGGTATATCTGGGACCAGCACCATGAGAATCGGAATGAAAGGACGCGTGAGCTGAGTGAGCAGGTCTCTGCGGAACAACCGAAACTGAGCTATGGGAAAAGTGGCCATATGGCGAATGCTCTTTTGACCCAGGGGCTTGATCGGTACCGTTTGGAGAGAAAGATTGGAGATTTAGCGAATTGATGGCGTTTTCAGACAATGGCGCATCCATGTCACATAAGGAGAGACCTTGTTTATGAGGGAAGGATGCACCCAGGTTGTTTTTCAGAGGAACGCAACTCATACGACGGCGGCCAGCTTCATCCGATCTGTAAGTAGTAATCCCCATGACAGCAGAGTTATCCTGGGCTGGGGATGAGGGAAAAATATCAGGATGCGTAATGAATGACATATTGTTAGGGGTGTGAGACGGGTGACCGATAGTTGAGGATTGAGAAACGGAAAAATACGAAGCCGACGTGACACCAGACGTATTGCTTATCCCCATGGGAGTACTGTGATCATTTTGCAGAACTTGTCTGGGAGGATTGGCCAACGGGCCACGTAGTTGCGACGTTGAATTGGAGAGATCCCAAGGTGAGTTGTTGCGTCCTGACCAACCGTCAGACTCTGAAGTTGACAACAGAGATCCAGATCCAGTTTTGCCTTCGATCGGAAGCTCAGGGTTAGGGTCACGACCTTTGTGGTCTACTGGGCGGTTGAAACAATAGGTCAGTTTATTCAACAATACCAACACCGTTTTTATCAAGTTGGTTTGGAGGAGGGGAGAGGAGAAGAGAAAATTATACCTCTCCGTTGACCCTTGTCAATTGCTGGGTCGCCAAAGCCACCTCCCAAGCTGTTGTTGCCCCAGATATTACTGTTCCAGTTTGTCTTGGGAGTCCCAAATGTCTTGCCGATACTTGAAGCAGGGGAAGGTTTTGAGGGATCAGTATCTTTCAAAGTGGATGAAGTGCCGATAGTGGAAGGCTGAACACCGCTCTACAACGTTCAGTATCGTTAGTTACATTAGTTGTAAAATTCCTAGTTAAACACAAGTGCCAAACGCCATGATATCCGGAGGGAGCAGGAAGGCAAAACTCACTCTTTGAGCGTCTTCTAATGCTAGAGCCATCTTTGGAAGAAGTAACTCAGAAAGGATAAAGCGAGCTTGCAAAAGCTATTGGTACAATCAAATATTGTCTTTGAAGGGCTATCTCGACGGTATTTGTAGCTTTTGAAGCTTTTGTTGGTACACAATAGACAGTGCAGCGGTAAAAGAGGTTGGGGGGCGAGGGGGAGAGAGATAGTGAGAAAATGTTCACAGAGAAGCTATATTTGCAGGATACCATGCACATAAATCGAAAATCAAGTGGGATGGTAAAAATAATAAGTGACTATTGATCACGTTAGCATTATTTGAACAATGAATCACTCGGAGAAGTGAAGAATCGGTATTAACCATAATAAGTGAATATTATTGCACTTACCACCGGAATGAAGAAACAAGAATCCTTTCAAGATGAAGCTGTTGATCAGCTTGAAGCCGGAAATGCCAGGTCATGTACACAATATACAGTGTTGGAAAGATAGGCGAATGGCTTCTAAGACTGGAATCGAAAGCTAGTTGAGGAGAGAGCCCAGGTAGAAGAAGGGGGAAGAAAAGGAGGGAGGGGGGAGAGAAGAAGATTAATTGAGGGTATCAAGAAAATAGAGAAAAGAAAGCCCACGAAAGGAAATATTTGCAGTGGCAGGGATTGAAGAAAGGTACGGGACTTGTGTACAGAAGCGGCGGGTATAAACGTAGGGATGTAATGAGCCAGGCCCGATATTCTAGCTGAAAGCGAAGCGGGCAATTGGACAAGCAAGAGGTAAAGTAGACGCCGTCTTCGTTTGCCTTCGCAAATCGCCGCAGGCAACCGGGATGAGTGGGTAAAGATATTGCCTAGTCGAGAGAGTGAGGCCAACCTGAACTGGGGAGGCGCGATTAGCGTCGTGGTGCTACTCTATAACTCATTAGGGTAATTAATATTATCTCTTTTATTGACAGGACATCAACGAATCGGTCGAACGAGGCGGGGGTCGCAAGGACAGGCGAGAAACGGAAAGGGCGAGAATGTCCTAGTCGCCTGATATTTGTGTAATGGTGGTGGAAGACAAGGGAGGACAGGTTTGGAAGTAGAGAGCAACAAGGTACGTTGCTCAAGGCCAACAGTGGGCATGCAAACCGAGAAGGGGGAGAAAGCGCAAAGAGTGCCGCAGACTAGTGGATAAGAACAGGCGATTTTAGGAGGCGGATCAAGGGAGAGAAAAGGAAGCGGTCACGACAAACACGGGAGGGGGAGGGGCGGAGGGAAATAGAGAGAGAATGAGTGCGTGTGCGAGCGAGAGCGTGTGTGTAAGTGTTTTGAGAGCCGTAGCAACAAGACAAAGGCGGGAAGGCGTGTCGCAGGGAGACAAAGAGAAGCGGAAAACGCATCAAACTGTCACACAGACAGACGGAAGCATGATCGCACAGCAGGGCCTTGTGCAAGGGAATTCAGCGTACTGCAAGCAACAGACACGAGTTAGTTAGTTAGCCGGTTGATCGGTCAGTTAGATATGATAAAAAAAAAGGTAGGTGTTGGTGAGAGATATGTGGAGGACGCGTCGACTCTTGTTATCTCCTGCCTGCCTGTCTGCCTGTCTGCCTGCGTCTACTCGATATTTTCTTTTACTTTTGGGACATTGGTGCTGGGGAAAGTTGGGTGACGAAGATCAGGGAACCAGGCAGAGAGGCTACCACTACTGCTACTGCAACTGGGGTGCTGGGGGTGGAGGAGGGGGAGGGACGAAGAAGAGTGGTACAGCGTATGAGACGAGGGCGTACAAAGACTCACATCGAGCACAGAGCAGGCAGCATTCCCTTTGCCTTGTTCCTGGGCGCTCTCACGACCAGTGTGGCCCAGTGGGCGATTGCGCAGAGGGATAAAAAGCCAGAGCTCAAGGATGTCGGGGGGAGAGGCTGACAGAAGGGAGGGAAGGGAGAGAAGTGAGGTCGAGAGGAGGTTGAGGTGAGGTTGAGATGGACTGAGACGAAGCCGGACAACGAGGTTGGAGGTTGGAGGCTGAAGATGGACGGCGCTCGCCGTGTTCTGATACAGCAGGAGCACAGGAGCAGCTGTCTGTCTGCGGTGGTGCCTTCCCAACCCGGCAACCACGAGCTGCCCTCGTTCCGCCTTCCTTTTGTTTTTCTTTGGTCGGCTTATCTGCTCTGCTCGGGTTTCGTCCGCTGCCTGTGGCGACATTACCTAGGCATTACTCACGATTCCAAGCTTCAGCGTCGCGCGTTTGATTCCTAACATTTCTTCCGTCACGCCGATTTCTTTCATCTTGCGCCTTTCATCTTTTTTCTTTTTCGTTTTAACCCTTGCTTCCTGGTCAAACCCGTTCTTAGCCAGCTAGCCCCAGATTAGGCCTAAAAAAATAAAAACTACCCATTCGCTATGGATGTTTAGTGCTGAGCCCCAACCTATCGAGGCGCATGGCCAAGCAGAAATAACTTTATCCCCTTACCGTGTCCCAAGGCTGCTTCAAACCCAATTCCGCCTGTTAAGTTGGTAACACCCCAGTTGAACTACCAGCTAGCAGTTTTAGCTCTGAAAGCTCCAAATGGTCCACCCTCTCGAAATGGTGTCCGATGCGCTATTCATAGTATCTACCAACCAGAGATGCGGCAAGTGGGTCGGCCCTATTTTCACTAAAGTGGAAGGGGAAAAAAGAAAAGGACAGAAAGAAAAGAATCACATCTGTGAGGCCTGATGGTTGGTGTTTATGCCTCAACCACTGCCACTACTGCCACTGACAAAGAAAAAAAATTTTTTTTCTTCAGCGGATGCGAGAAATAACTCCACCAGGCGCACGGGGGAGAAGAGAGGGAAAAAATGCAAACAAAAAAGCAAAAATTGAAAAAAAAGCTGGCCAACATTGCAATCTGACAGATTCAACCCTTTTTTGTCTTCTTCCTCACTTTGGTTGCCTGGTTTTCCCACTGCCTACAATAACCTTGGTCCAACGTTGGACAGGTACCGAGTCGCACGACACCTTCCCATGAATAATACAAAGTAACCCTCGGGAACGAGATGGACCGCCTGAAGCCGCAATGCCTTTCAAAAATGAAATCAGTTCAAAACCTGAAACCGGGAAAATCTCGTTGGTTCTTCGAAGTTAGCGCCATTGTTCCAGCCCTTGACCGCATCCGTGGGACAGTGCTTATATCCTCCAACCCAATGGGCGATCGGTGGCGCTGTTTGTTTGGGGGGCGAGCGCCCTGTGCCTAACCAAGTAATCCATGTTCCTAACTCTACGCCGTAACAACCTGCGCTCAACTCAGGGCACAATTCGAATCAACCCGGGATCCTTGAAACTAACCCGCGAACGGACGGATTTCAGCCTGTCCCAGCGCCCAACTGCCCAGCTTCCAGCTTCTCCCTCAAGTCAGCTTGGCAGATGGGCCAAACCAATCTTCCTCCTCTAGCGCCGATCATTTTAAGACAGGCGATGAGATCTCTTGGAACGAAGAGACTGGGGCACCCTGAGAGCTGAGGCTAACTTGTTCAGAACAGCCGTTCAAAAGCTAGTTAAGCTGGGTGGAGACTCTGCATTATGAAACGACAAAAGACAGAAACAGCCATGTGTCGATTTTTTATGGCGGAAAAAACTCCACTATTGCATACGTATATATGAATTGACCACGGGCACCTTCAATGTACTAAGGTATGCAATTTAGCTTCTGTCTTGGACATACGGGACAGTTGAAGCCAACGCTCCATCCTTGTCTGGCAAAATTTCGCAGCAGTGGACTATATAGAGCCCGAGAGCTCCTTTTGTTCCGTTACCCCAAGATCTCTCCGGAACAAAGCTCTTTGGATAGCTCCAGAAATCGAACAGCTTTAAAAAAATAATTATAACCTTCCAGACTTCCGTCATGTGATCTATCAATGTTTTCGAGAGAGATATCTGATACTGATGCTGATACTTTGAACGACACATCCCTACTCCTACTGCGTACATGCTGCGAGCATGTAATCTACAATACTGCCAATCAATCAAGCCCACCACCTCTGCACCAGAGTTAGGGCAAGATTTGAGTTAACCGGGATTTAGAATCCGTCATTACCAAGAGTCGTGTTCAGAGAAATGTTTTCAGAACGGAGTAGTAAGATCTGTTCACAGGCTGCAGCGTATCTACGTATGTACTGTATGTACTGTACATAGCAAATCTCGACTGAAATAAAAACCCTTGAGTGCATGGTTCCGACGAGCAATCACTCTACACGGCATCAAAACCAAGATTCTTTCGATCAGGCATTCTAGATTAGCGAGCTTCTACCACAACTTTACGATCATGGACGAAGCTATCCCACAGTCCTGGCCCTGGTTCGTATTGAATGACGGTGGCGATAAGATGTTTAACCCGGAACCCACTTTTCGAAAACCACGCCTTCATTCAACGTCCGCGTCAACTATCACTCCTGACTACCTGGCGGTTAGAAAAGTACGACAAGAGTTCTGCGGCTCAGAACCCCTTTCCAAAATCCATGGGTCATTTTCATCCTATGTACAGAGAACAGAAAATTGAAGTCCCTACACACTCCAGAAATTGGGCTTGATGCTTTCGCAGTTAAAAAAGGTTTACTGTCCAACTATGTCAAGGCGTCAATCCCCACACATGAACCTTCGCCAGAAGTTCTGGGCATTTGACATTTCCCCTTTCTTTTCTGAATTGAATATCTTTCGAGTTTCGAGCAAAGGACCTTTTTGTTTTTCTTCCACAAATGGTAAATGGCCGTAAACGGTTAGCATACTTGAACAAAAAAGTTTTTTTTTTTTTAAACCAACGCCTCTACCATCATTTCGAAGCCAGATAGACTTTGATTCCACAAGTGTTTCCATGTGCCAAACGAGCTAGCGGGACCACTGTAAATAGAGCTTAATATGACCTAAGCTGCGCACATCATAACTATATAAAAAGTAAATAAATAAGTAAATAAATAAATAAATAAACACTTTCAATGCATGAATGTACGCTGTATGCTAACTAGTGCAGTTAAAAATAAAACCATACCGCTTTTCACGATGAATCCATCCAACCAAGGTTTTAAAAACAAATGTTTTGTTCTCACTTATTCCGCGCATATGCCCTAACGCGCGCCTGGCTAATCTCTATCACCACACAGATGTACAGTCTGTAGAGCTTGCTACATTTAGACTTTCAATCTCGGAATGGAATTCATTATGCATGAGGTATACTATGTATATATATGGTGGCTGTCTTCCGTATATACGGCTATGTCCATTGAGCTCTTTAAATTACTTAGCTTAGATTAGTTACCTTTCTAGCCTACCCGCGCCGCAAAAAGGAACTGTCAGTTGATCATCGCATAACATTCATGGCTATATCCCAAAGAAGAGAGGAAACTTCGCACCGAATATACTGGGGTGGGTTGGAGGCAGGTTGTTCAGCCACCCTAGGTCCTTAACCCACAACTTCGAAGCGGAGTTTCCCGGCATGGTGAGTGGGGAGGGGAACTAGACTGCTTATAACTAACTATCTTTTCTCCGGTGGTTCGGAATCGCTAATTCCCCATCAAAGTTGAGTGTATTAAAATGTGTGCGGCGCATGGACGGTGGGGTCGAAGCGGAAAACTCAAAATGTCCATCGCAAATGCTGGGCAATCAACAATGGTTAATGTGGATCAAACCACGCAACGCTCGCCGTTTCTTCAGTAGAAAGTGAAACATAATAACTAGCAATCAATCTGCGTATAACTTTAGAGGAGAAAAGATAACTTGATTTTTACCATATGTAATACAAATCATATAATATAATTTGATAGAAGAGTAAAACTTCTTAAAATTAGGTACATTTAGCAGAGGCTTTTAAACTACCACTTATACATTTATTAACTATCATAATTTGTGGCTGGCATATGAGTGTCAAAATTTGTGGCAATTTGTACGGGAAAATGTGAGTGGTGGGTGCTTGATCCACATTACAATTTGACAAGGCAATATAGGCGCTCTTTCCTCCCTGCTTTAGGACTTTTCAATTATATATTTTTTTTTGTGTGGATGTAAGCATACGCTGAGCACAGTATTTTCACGAATATTCGTGGTTGTGGCTGTTAGTCAGCATGTACAGTGCAGTTGAAATAACTACCAAGGAGATGTTGGTGGTTTGGATTGGTTCGTCCCCTCCACTACCGGCATGCCGCTGGTGGTGATCGAGCTGTGTTGCCCCCAGTGGCCTAACCAGGATATTCTAGCCACGATGAGAATTATCGACTAGGCTCACCCGCGTGGTTGGAATTGAATCGTTTATTTATACTCCATTGTGTGCGATATGTGGATCACCTGGTCTCAAAAGCTCCTCGGCAGAATGGAGTGGATTCACCTGATTATATACTGTTCATAAATATGAAGGAAAGAATCACATTAAAATGTTTCTAGCAATTGATGACAACTGCTAGTAGCCAAAACAACAAGATTTTCCCCATAGCGCTTACTGCCTTGACTCGCCTTGCCTCACACAGCAGTCCACCGCAAGTGCACTTCATTAGCATGACGTATCTGCAAGGACAACTTGGACACAGAATCCAATGTCACCCGCAGCAATCGCTGTCTCAACGCCTCTGGCTCCTCGATCCCAGCCGTAGGCAGAGGATCACACCGTGCAGACCGGAAAAGCGTCGTCAAGGTCGCAACAAATTCTACCTGCGACATCTTTATGCCGGGGCAGATGCGTGGGCCGCTTGACCACGGGATGTAGGCCCCCTTTGGCGGGGTTATCAGTTGTCCTGACTCGTCGATCCATCGCGATGGCCTGAATTCGTTTACGTCTGCACCCCAAATCGTCGGATCCAGGTGCATACTCAATTGGCAGATCAGTATGTCCATAGGGGGTGTTAACAGTCGAGTTCTGTTGCCGTCCACTATTTGCTGTGGCTTAAAGACTGAGCGGTTGGAATGAAGGACTGGTGGGAAGAAACGCAGGGTTTCAAACTAGGGGTATGTTAGTATACTTAGTACCACGGGGGTGGGGAAGATGTCAAAGAGGTACCATTAGAGCGAGTGTGCGTCGGCATTTAGGAAACACCTCCTCATATTTCCATTTCGACGGGTCCGGGTCAAGCGTCCGCAGCTCTTCGCGGATCCAATCCTGCAATTCGGGATACACGGCCAGATGAGCCACTGCGTAGCCCATGGTATTGCTAGTTGTTTCGAACCCGGCTGTGCTGAAGACAAAGAGGTTTCCACTGATCTCATCGTCTGCTAATGAAAATCCATTGTCCCCACTATTTTTCTCCTCGTCGGACAGCTTCAGGAGAAAACTCAGGAAATTGTTTCGACGACCAGTTGAATTTTCTACAGCCTTCCGCTCCTCATCAAGAACCTCTTTCATATAGATCGGTGCTCTCTCCATATGATATCCCATCAATCGCAGAGTTGGCGGCATAAACGGCAACCGCATCACCTTTGTTGGAAGCAATGCGCCTTCAAGAAGCATCTCAGTGGTCAGGGAAAAGGTCTCCCAAAAAGCTGCTTTTCCAGTCGTAGCCTTGCCAGTGCGATTTCGCATAGTTGGTGCCCACACCCCGGACTGGTTGAATCCTGCTTGGCCAATAACATTGATTGCGATGCTCCTGAGACCGTCCAAGGTCTTGTTTCCTGGGTTCTTCAGCATGTACTTTATCATTTCACTAGCGTGGCGACAACTTTCTGTCCAGACAGTCTTGCTGATACGTTCATCCAGGTTCGCAGCGAACATTCTACGATGGCGTTTCCTGGGAATATTTAGCTCGTGAAAGCGTATACCAGGGGTGCTACCTACCACTCCTCGCCGTTTGCCTGCGTGCAATCCTCGTTAATAAGCTGAATTGAGAACATGCAATAAATGGAGTGAGAGCGCTTACACTGAACACATTCGGGCCGTAAAGTCCAAGGATTTTAGCAACTATAGGTGCTTGCGGGAAATCATTTCTTCTCTGCAGAATGGAAGCCCCAACGGCGGGATCCGCTACCCTGCATCGCCATCAGAGTGCTGCCTTTTCAAAAGTTTCGGCCAGAAGCTGAATTACCAAATCAAGCATTCATCGGGAGTAACAAGAGCAAATATGTTGCCCAGCCTCTCATGGAACTCGCGCCCTCTTCGGTACTCCCATCCATGCGTCACTATGTCTAGCCGGTCATACAGCAGGGCAGGAAGGTGTTTCTGGAAAAATGGCTGTAGATATGGTCCGAGGACCATCCATGGTATACTTTTGGACAGCACCGGTGAGATGAAGATAGGAAGCCCGGACCGGCGAGCCTGGATATAATGTCTCACAAAGGATACTAATTTATAGATGAAAAATGAGAGACTGAGCGTTATGCCGACGGAAAAAACCGTGAAGACCATCCCTTCTTCAGTTATTCCGCACGTTCGATGAAGGATACTTCAAAAGTTTACGCGCGTTGGCTAAAATCAAGATAAATGAAGAAATAATTTTGCGGCCGCACCAACATAATGGAAGACAGGGGATTTCTGGGGGACCATCGGGGTTTAAATTGTCCTGCTTTGAAAATATTAACCCTGGAGCCGGGATGTATTGACACCCGGCACATGGTGGCCAAGAATTGACTATTTCTTAGTGCATAAGCAGCCTTACATCTCAAAGTAGGGGACTCCATTTATATTCGAGCATCTCATTACGGCAGTCAGTCTTGTGTGCGGAGGTCAGAATGCATTGTCTATCCTCAAAAGCAATGTCATGTGGGTTCTTGTGGAGCGCTGAGCAATCATGAATAAGCAGATATTGATTCTCTCTGAGTATGATTCTATAATTTACAATCACATAATCCGTGATTGATTCTGCAATCAAGGTTCAGCCGTTTTTTCAACCGGTTCATAAGTTCTCTCTTGGTCATCTCCACGGAAATTACTCTTCACCTCCAGAATTTGATCACCATCAGGCATGGAACTAGGTGCATGCAAGAAAGATCTAATCAAACTGTTGTGAATGCTCTATTTGAGAAGCCTGGCTCTCAAAGATAGCGGAGGACACCATTCGTAATTCTACTTGAGCAATGCTATACCATGATATTGTGAAGATTTGGTGGGGCAGGACATCCCATCTTCAAGATGTTGCCGGATTCTACTTGTCTTTGAAATCTACATTGAAATACTAGTTATTTTGGATGCAAACTGTGTATGTACTAAAATTTTCAAAGAGTACTAATAGTGTAAAATAGCCTACCCCGGTGGCAGATATTCATCTTGGAAAGATGTCAGCGGAGTAACGCCAAAGAGTAACTTTCACGCTGTCGACCAAGCGCTGAACAGAAAACACACGCATGTCGAGTCAACCGATTGGTAGTGCTATAAGAAATGTTCCCATTCAGCTTAGTGGGAAAGCTTTTGATAGTCACTAGTTGATGAGGATGGGATAGAACCAACCCAGTTCTGTTGTTATCGCGGTCGTCACCCTTCATATTTTTTATTAAGGCTATATGCAGCCGGAGACCCTGTGATTCTTGATCTCACTAGCCTAGTTATTGCTTACAGCGTATATGCAGCTACTCTCTAGTTACATTTCTCTTAACCCTGCATGGAGAGACTTCACTAACCATCCCCTCATCTGGCCGCGAGCTACGCAGAACAAGGACCATCCGTGCTCTGTGCCTTGGCCCATTTATTTTATTACATATTGTGTGTCTTCCATGTTTAGTTATCCTCTGTGAGCTCAGTAGTATGAATATTCTAGAGTCTCCATGTATATTAGCTAGAGAAGCAACAAATAATAAATTCATCAAATTATATAAACACTTCCGAAGAAGGGTTAACAATGATAGCGTGTTTGCATGAACACTGAGCTATTTATATGTCAAAGCTATCCCTTCGTCTGGCCGCCAGGCACAATTAGCGCCCTTTTTTAGTGTGTACATTAGTGTATTAAAACCATGAAATCTACTGGATTATATGAGAGATTGTCTGTATTGACATGTTTTTATGTAATCTATATAATTTATTTGATCTAGTCCTAATTAAGAATGGAACTCCTGCCAACACCAACTCTTCAAACAGAGAGAAATATCATTACATACAGTACAATCAGATCTTGTTCTTAGAGCTCTGTTCTTATTCCTCTCTGTTCTCTTTCTTTTGTACTGATATCAGACACAAGTTTGAGTGAATGACAGAGAATTCAATGATGATTCAGATCAGTACCACTTTGTACCACCACATCAAAATTTGTATATGATGTTACTTTCTCATGTTTGTAGTGTTTGTTTTATAAAGTAGCATTACATACAAATTTTGGTGTGGTGGTACAAAGTGGATAATTTGTCTATATGACTTGCTTGAGATAGTGGATCTTGTATCAGCAAATCAGATTACTTAGAATTTAGTATGAGAAATTATTGGTTGGTACTTCTGAACTAACAGCTTAGTCAATACACTAATTGTATTGCGCTAATTGTGCCTGGCGGCCAGACGAAGGGATAGTCATTTCATCACAGCTGTATTATAATTCTGATCCCATTTTACTGTTATAGTAAAGATTAAGTTCTGAATATTGTCCTTATCGTAATTTCTAAATCATGATTCTATTTAATTAGACGGAGCGGAGCGAGCCTCTACGCCGCGTAAGAATCATACAAAGCTCCAGGAGGAGACAAAAAGTTGCTTCTTTTTGCGGCTGAAATGGGAAGGTCTTGGATTTATATACAGATCTGTACACATAACAGCAACTTACCCGGATGTATGCAGGTAAGGCGGTTGAATCTCGATGATTTTATTGGTTTAAATGCGAGAATTCCCACTTCGATTTCCGCAGTGGAGACTTGACATTTGACGCTAGTTCACAATAGGCTTAGAAATCACAAGGGGTTTCAAACTTAATTCCGACCGATTGCTGATGTAATACTCCGTACTCCGTACTCCGTCAGGGCCATTAAGTTTGAAACCCCCCGGTCGGCCAATATTATACTAACTATAAAACGTTAATACCTATATCGCTGCTTTTCATGCTCATCTGCGTAGTGCTGTAATTGATAGTAAAAATCACATCAAGGGTTTTTTCAGTCAGCATTTTAAAATCCGTTGTTTTGGATGTGCAAAAGGACATAACCTTCTGAGTTTGGGTTAGTGATAACTTGGCATCACAAGGGGTTTTCAAACTCATGCTAGCTCGATAGCTGGCTACCTATCTCTGTACCTCCCTACCTACCAACAAACCTGCCTGCTCAATCTCCAATCAATCTCTACGAGAATAAACCTCACCATCTAGCCACCCTCCTACCTGTCTGCCTACCTTCCTCTCTATCTACTGACCTGCTTGAATGAGTGATATCTACTGATGATATCTATTGATGACATCCACTAATGATAGCTAGCGATGATATATATCGATGATATCTGTGATATTGTTTAATAGCAACGTAATGAATAATATGACCTCGTACTTTCGCTCCGTCTTGCCCCGGCCGCATGTTCCATGAAGTTTCTGCTATAGAGTGTTGTGTCTGAGCTTTTTTCAATCCTTTGAAGAAATTAAAGATGCCTTCATCTCTGCGATTTAGCGGTTCATTTGCCCACCCCTAGAAGAGGGGGGATGGGGGGTGGGGTTTAATAAGAGGCAGGCTGCCCCTAGCACTTATAGAAACGATTGTCTAGAGAATTTATTATTATTGTAATTATAGAGACTACAGAATGTATATATAAAAGCAGCTGCTATAAATTCTAGTATCCATCTATTGACTACTAACTAGCATCTCTACGAAGACTCAGTGACACTTGACTGTGTCTATGTTGCGTATATGATTTCAGTAAGGGATTACGCAGTTGTGGTGCACATACCATCCAAGTCTCCCCCATTCACACCATGAGCTACTAGTATGTATCAAATATCTTTCACAGGGGATAAAAGTTACAATAGATAAATGACCATTAATCTCAATAGTTGAGTGAATACTGAGCTTGTTTGCAAGAGTCGGTATATGCTGTACGCTGTAACGTCTGAGTGGTTGTATTGGTTACTATTCTACTGGGGGTTGGTTATATACACTTGCGAGACACTAGTCCGTAGCATAGTTGAGCCGAGTGTTGAAACTGATTATATTTATCCGAATATTACCTCAAAACCACTACATCTCATGTTGAATTGAATCTCTAATAGATATTCTAGCTACTTACCTGAAAAGTAGTAGTATTTATAGAGAATGAAATAGATAAGATTTAGATCCCACCATACATAAGTAAGATTGTTGAGAACTTGGTAAGTTCTACTATCAAGGATTTGAGAAGATTCGAGCAGCAGCATGAATGTCCTACCAGATAAAACTTAACAATGCTCAGAACTATCTCTTGTGTATATCTAAGCATGATCTTTTCTATAAATACTGCCTACTTTTCATGTAATTAGTGGAGTTATAATAAGCAAGTCAATTAATATTATCAATATTCAGTATTTGAGACAATATTTGAACTTCATTGGTTCTGACAGTTATGAGCCCAGTTCAGCCACCTATCATTATATTATTATCTATTTGATTATATCTATCTGATCTCACCAACCATCTAATTGGTGATGATTGTGGCAATATATCTATATATCTATATCTATATCTATCCAATCCTCATTGATCTACAGCAAGAGATAGCAGCAAAATAACAGTTATATCCATACAATTCTATATTAATTATTCAATTGATTTGATATCAGTTCAATTTCTATATATGATTGATCAAGATGTCAGCAGAAAATTCTTCATCTAAGAACTCACTTTTCTTGAATTTTTCTAGAAAATGAAATTTATAATACATCATGATACTAGATCTTACTGATGAGTTCCAGGTACTGAATCTTATTAGTGAGGAAAGTCTCAATAGAATGAGTGATATATCTATTTCTATTTCCTCAGAATTCTCTACTGAGTGCACTATAGAAGCAAGAATTAATTGAGAAATGAAGAACAGCAAATATAACAATGATAGAAATCTCTATAAAGATAAGATTATAGATATTAGTAGAATCAAACAAGAGATCTACAGAACAGTGGCATTCAGTGAGCTAGAAATAGCAATCAATGAAAATGCTCACATTGATGTGAAGAATTTTCTAATTGCTCTCAAGAAGAGATTATCATCTAGAACTACAGATTGCAGATATAAAATATAAAAAAGATATCAGAACTTATAGAAGCTGTCTAAGCAGAATCTAGATCAGTGATTAGATATCTGAGCTCTGATTGAGACAGAGATCAAGAACTCTGAAATAGATAGCAACTTTGATATATGAAAAAACTTCTTTCTTATTAATATATCAATCAATAATTCATACACAGCTATCTGAAAGAGAGAGATTGAGATGAAAGATGCAGAGAACTACTTCTTTGCAGATGTGATCAATGATTTCTATTTCAAATATTACAAGAAGAGATATAGCAAATCAGAACTGCTTTTATTCAATCTTACTATCTTTAATAAAAGACAAGCAGAACAATTGAAATTCAGAATCTGTATTTATAACTTGAAGTATTTCTGAGTTAAATGTTATTATCTCAACTCAAGTCAGAAATCAGAAGAATGAAAGAAGAATAAGCAACAATATAAAAAGATGAATAAGACACTTAAGAATGAAAATATTAGAAAAAAGATAGATGCAGTAATAATCAAGATAGTGTGACGGGCGTGCCACCGATTAAGCAGATGTTACCGATGTTGCAGATTAAACCGTTCGTACCGCCTGCGCAGTTCGTACGATCCGTTCCAACGGCAATATCAACGGACTTGACACTATCCTGGTAACAGTTTACGAATCGATTAAGGAAAGAAAGAGAAAGAAGATCAGAAGAAGGGGTCGTACGAGGGGGTTCTTATAGAAGGAGGATCGGGACGGAAGAATATCGGGGGTCGCGCTGCAGTGGAGCGCGGAGCGGAAGAATGTTAGGGGTTACGCGGAGGAATCGTTAGAGACTACGCGAGCGCGGAGCGGGATCGCGAGGAGAGGGGCGTTTCGTAGGTACGCGAGAGCACGTGAGAGGGCGAACGGGCGATAGGGGGTTGGTTGCGTAAGTTAACTACTAACGGGTGCTAACCCGTCACATTATCCCCCCCTACCGGGGCGAGCGAGGATTCGTAGGCGTCGAGTGCGACGGTGTCGTCCATGGCGGACGCGGGTTCCCAGGTTGGACGATCGTATCCTACCCATTTGACAAGGTATTCGCGGCGGCGGCGATTGGTTCTATCGCCGAGGATTGCTTCAATTTCCCATTCGAGTTCATTGTCTTCTCCTACGATGGCAGGTGGTTGCCAGTCGGAGGTCTTTTGCGAAGGGAACGGGTCCTCGGCCGCGGGTCGGAGCAGGTTCGTATGAAAGACATCGTGGATGCCAGGCGGGGTGTCCAGTCGATAGTCGTGGGTGCCTAGCACTTCTACTACCGTGTATTTGGCGTGACGGTAGTCCAGCGTACGCGAGGGGCGGTCCGTTCTTATGTTCTTGAGATCTAACCAGACCTTGTCTCCTATGCTGTAACGGGTCGCAGGACTCCTTCTGGTGTTCGCTTGGTCCTCATAGTCTTGTTGAGCACTGGCCATCGAAGCTTCGGCCCACTCGCGGGCTTTCTTGAGCTTGCTGACTATGTTCTCTGCCGCCTGTACGGGACTGCGGGCGTACGTGGTTTCTCGGGGGGTCTCAGGGAAGTCCAGAATCTCTAAATCATAACCGTGTAGAAGGAAGAACGGGCTTACACCTGTCGTAGCAGAATCTCGGCCGTTTATGGCAATCTCAGCATGCGGCAGCAGGTCGCTCCAGTCATCTTGCGCGTAGTTGCAGAACTTTCGGAGGATGTTCTTAACTGTCTGTATCATCCTCTCAGTGGCTCCATCGGTCTCTGGGTGGTACGCTGTCGACAACTTTCGCTCGATTCTCAGTAGCTGGCATACGCGGGTCCAAAGTGCGCTCACGAACTGACTGCCTCTATCTGATACAATGGACGAAGGTAGGCCGTGCATGCGATAGAATGGGCTCCTGACGAAGGCGTCCGCAACGACTTCAGCATCCATCTTGTCACAGGGCTGCAGTATCACGCCCTTGCTGAGGCGATCGACAATGACTAGGACATTCGTAGAACCACCGCTCTCAGGTAAGGAAACTGCGAAGTCGATAGCTATATCGCGCCAAGTTCGTTCGGGGACAGGCAGGGGTTTTAGCATTCCTTTTCGGCGCTCACGCCATGCTGTTACTGAGCCGCAGCGGTCGCAATTGCGTACAAACCGGCGTACATCCTTCGACATATCCGGCCAGTAGAATCCTCGGGCGATGATGCTGTACATGATCTCACGCCCTGGGTGCCCAGTCATCGGCGAGTCGTGGATATCCTGCATGATCCGTGTTCGTAAGGGTTCTGAATTAGGGACCCATCGCCTATCTCGAAAGCGTAGGCAGTTGTCATCGTCAATCGAGCATGCTGAGATGTCCGTTCTTGGGTATACGCCTGCGGGGAATCGAGGTGCTTTGCTTCGTACGGCTTCCGCGGCCTGTTGCCAGGATTCGTCCGCCTCTGCTGCTTGCTTCCATTGTTCTTCGAGCGAAGGTTCCTGAGCTCGGGACAGGTTAACGCGTACGCGGGAGCTATCTGATTGCCTGGGACTTTCTATAATCGCGGGGTCGATTAACCGATGTTCTCGGTGCTTCCACCTGTCATCTAGGTCGTCAGAGGGCATATCTTGTTCTCTGCGGGATAGGGCATCCGCAAGGGCGTTTTCTGCCCCTGGTCGGTAACGGATCGCGAACGAGAAACGGCTGAGGAACAGTGACCAGCGCATATGCCTCTCTGTGAGCTTGCGAGTGGTTGTAAAGTATTCTAAGTTCTTATGATCGGTGACGATCTCGAACTTCTCAACGCTCATGAGCTCGGATTCCCATTCTTCGAGGCATCGTATGATTGCCAGGAGCTCCTTGTCGTAAATCTCGTAGTTACATTCGGCGGGCGACATCTTCTTTGAGGTGAAGGCACAGGGTCGTAGAACACCTTCATTGTCATATTGCATCAGTGCTCCACCTACTACATAACCTGAAGCATCTGTCTCGAGAATCGTATGCTTATCTGGGTCGAACGACTGCAGCATCGGGGCGGTCGTGAACATATGCTTCAATTTCTTGAAAGCAGCGTCCGCTTCAGTGGTCCATTGGAATACAGCGTCCTTCCGTGTCAGGTCCGTTAGTGGTCGTACGATATCCGAGAAGTCCCTGATGAATCTTCGATAGAAGTTGGCGAATCCTAGGAAACTCCTAGTCCCTTTTACCGAGATAGGTGCCTCCCAGTTGAGGATTGCTTTCACCTTTTTAGGGTCCATTCGTACGCCTTTTTCAGCTTCAATGATGAATCCTAGATAGGTCGTAGACTTGGTCTCGAAGTCGCACTTGTCAATGTCCACTTGTAGTCCTGCTTCTCGTAAACGGTCAAGTACCTGTCGTACGTGCTTGCGGTGTTCAGCGAGCGATCCATCGGTGAAGATCAGGATGTCGTCCATGTACGCTGACGCGATCTCATCGAGCAGGTCTCGTAGGGCCCAGTTGATATATTTCTGAAACGTGCTGGGGGCGTTCGCTAGTCCAAAGGGGGTCACTGTCCATTCGTATAGTCCGTAGCGCGTACGAAAGGCGGTTAGCCATTCGTCACCTTCATTAATCCTTATCTTGTAGAAGGCCGCGGAGATGTCAAGCTTCGTAAACCATTTTGCTTTTCCTATCCGCTCGAGTGTCTCATTGATGAGCGGGAGAGGATATCGGTCCTTTCGCGTAATCTTGTTAAGTCCTCGGTAGTCGACACAGAATCGTAAGCCTCCTCCTGGTTTCTTCGCGAATAGTACGGGGGCTGCAGCGGGTGAATTGCTAACGCGGATGAAGCCCTTGTCCAGTAATCCATTGAGTGTTTTTCGTAAGACGAGGAGCTCATCGCGCGACATGCTGTAGAGAGGACCCCAGGGTGGTTGCGGGTCCCTGCCATCTTCCTTGATGAGCTCAATCGTATGATCTATGCCGCGTCCTCGGTGGGGGGGGAGCTCTTCGGCCGCCTTTTCATCGAACACGTCTGCGAAGTCCTTATACGATTCGGGGAGTTCCTTGCGGGGCTTCTTGGGGTCCTTAGGTTCTAGCTTTTCTAACGCTTTCTTGATATCCGCCATACTAGCAGCGAACACTTGGACGTTCTTCTTCTCGCGCGCTTGGCGGGTTAATAGCTTGAACGCTTCTGCCGATATCTGAGTGAGATCAGCAGTCCTATCGACATCCTTCTCATAGACGCGGTCGCTTCCTGG